GGCGATAGCTATCGCCAGACTAGGCTGGCGGCGCGAAGGCTGGAAGGCTGACTCTGTGGAGAAGCCATGGACAATGCTAAGCAGCCACGAAGAAAATGAGGGCAGTATTCAAAAGGACGGTGGAAAGTAGCAGTGACACCGGGACAGGCAATGGGACGCATAATACCAACAAAGACCATCAATATTCAATATCAATATCAACATTCAATATCAATACCAATAATAAATACAACCCATAGGGCCTATACAAAGCCGAGAAGTCAGTCCTACCACTGTCCCAAAAACACACAAACACACCAGCCCGAACATTGAACATAAAATCCAGATATCCCCCCGTCTCGCACGCATATCCTCGCCTTTTTTGTTCTCCAGTCCCCATCCATCCATCAATCCATCCATCCATAACTATCGTCACAAGAAATAAACATAAACAGGTAAAAAGTAAGTATGTAGGCAGAAGAAACAAGACTATCCTCGAGCATCCACGTCGTCGTCGTCGGCGCACCATGTATGTACCCAATCCAATCGTACACTCAAATCAAACCACAATCCACAAGCAATTACATCCCGAACTCCGTACCCCACCAGCCCCCTCGTCCACCCGCTATTCCCACGCGGCTAAACAAACAACCAATCCCTGCCTCCCTTCTCCAGCAGCGTCCAGCCCCTCTCTCCACCCGCATCCCCGCGCTCCCAAATATCCTCCAACACGATCCCCGCATTCTTAATATTTCCCTGCGGCAATACCTCCCACAGCCTCCCGAGCTGTGTCCTCGTCCACGCGCGCTCCTCGGTACTATGCGCGCCCGTCCCCGCCACAAAAACGGGCCACACCGCGCCCTTCAGGAAGAGACTGCGGTCCTGCAGCGCGGCGATATGTCGTCGCAGCTCTGCATGGTAGGGGGCGATGGCGTCGCGCGTCGTGACGAGCGGGAACAGCGTTTCCACCGCGTAGACGCGGGCGGCGCAGCGGTAGGCGTGCACCAGGTGCGATAGCGCCGGGGAGTCAGCGGCGTCGATGTCGGTGCGGGCGGCGACGTAGGTTGCGGCGGAGAAGCTATCGATGCGGGCGAGGAGCGCGCGCGCGGTGGAGAGGAAGTCGCATGCGTCTGAGGGGGGGTGCGTGCGCGCCCGTGGCTTGAGCAGCGTGACTGCGTGGATCGTCTCGAGGAGCTCGGCCGGGCACCCGAGGAAGTTGTGGGCTTCGCCTTCGCGGAGGACTGCGAGGAACTCCGGGATGTCTTGGTCGAACACGCTGGGTTGCGAGGTCGCGGAGAAGGCGAGTGTGCGGCCGATGATGTCGACGAGGGTTACGTGGTTCATGAAGATGCGGAGCATCGCGGAGGTGTTCTCCGGGAGGGAGTCGAGCGCCAGGCATTCCTGGATCAGCCGGCGCGCGCCGCGAAGGTGGATCTTCCACGTGTTGAGCCCGCCGTCGAGCGTCTCGAAGAAGATGAAGAGCATCACGACGGCAAGCGTAGGCTCCGTTAGGATCCCCTTGGTGCCGAGGCGCTGCAGGTCCTGTGACAGGTGCGCGAACGATAGGCCCTTGTACGGGAGGTGCTTGGCGACGGACGTGTTGGTCAGATTTGAGTGGTGGCGCGCGGCGACGGCGAGGATGCCGTTGAGCAGCGCGGGATGGTGCGCCGCCGCGGGCATCAGATGGCGATAGGGGTTGTCGGACACGCGATCAAAGAGCACAAAGTCGCGGGCGACACGGTCCTCGACTGCGAACGTTAGAGACAGGTACGCACAGTAGGCCGTAGATTGAAGTCACATACAGTACTGCATGTAGAAACGCGCTTCCGGGTTGAGATGTCCGAACGGCGAACCCTGACTCGGGGGTATCTGCAATGTGAGCGTCAACTCTCCTGGCACGCCCATCTCTGCTGGCGCCGCCGACAGCTGCATCATCGGCCGGGCCACTGTCGTGTCCGGGCCGCAGTGATTGCTGCTGCTGACGACGCACAGATCCTCATTGTCGTCGTCATCCGCCTCCCGCTTGACCGGAGTCCGGGGGGCGGCAATGGACAACGGCGTGAGCGGCGCCACCGGAGAAACCGGCGTATTCGGTAGCGTCGGCGACACGATGGTGGCAGCCTTTGCCTCATGTATTTTCTTTCTCTGCGCGGCGGTCTTTCCCGCCGTCGTCGCCGTCGCCGTCGCAGTCGGCGGCGACTTCTTGACGGCCGCAGTAGTATTACTCGTAGTCGCTGGAGTAGGAAACGTCTTGCCCATCATCTTGCCACGGGACGCAACGCCCTTGTTCCACACCAGCGGCTTCTTGTAGCCTAGACATTCGAGCTTGGTACGCTCACACTTTGCGCACAGCGGCAGCTGGCGGTCGCACTTGACGCGTCGCCGCCGGCAGGTGTAGCAGTCGACATTCGACGTGGCACCGCAGCCGGCGGCGGTGGTGGCGGCGGCGGCGGGCAGGGGGGGAACCACCACCACCACGGCGGGTGGGGGGGCTGACGGGAACGACAGTTGGTGGTGGTGGGGTTGACGGCCGTGCGCGGGCTTTTGTGCAGTTGTTGGTGTTGTTGTTGTAGCTGGCGACGCTTTGGGATTTGCGAGGGACCGACGGGGCGCTGAAGCGAGTGGTGATGTGGATGTCGTCGGCGTCGGCGGCGACTCGCGATCGGACGACGGCGGCGGCGAGTCGGTGCACGAGAACCCGGCGGCCGACGACGGCGTGCGTGATGCAGAGCGGGAGTCGAGTAGGAGTGACATGTGCCCCATAAAATATAACGGTTGGCCGGGTGCGGAATTGTTGTTGCTTTTGCTGGCGGTGTCTCTGGTGGTGGTGTAGTGGAGGGCGTTATGGTTGGTGTGGGGTATGATGTCGTGCGGATGGCGTTGCGACAGCTGCTGTGAATGCGGGTGCTGCTCCACGTTGGGGTAATTCGAGGCCCTGCCTGCTCCTGTTCCTCCTCCTCCTCCTCCTCTGGCAGTGCCCGTACTGCTGGCTGCGGAATTGGTGGAGCACGAGTTGCCTCCTCCTCCTCCTCCTCCTCGACCTCTTCTCCCCCCTCGGATGTCCTGCTTCCAGGGGGCGATCGACAGGCCAGAATAGCCAGAATACACGATATACTGGTGCTCGCCCGAAGCGGAAGCTGCGGGTGAATAAGCTACGCTGGGGCAGTCACTACCGCCGCCACTGCCGCAGTGGATCCCTGAAGTTGGCGACGGGGAAGGAGTTGGAACGTGACCGCCGTGGTTGTGAGGGTAATATTGGTGGTTATGGTTGTGGTGGTCGCTGTTGCGTATCGCCGCCTCGCCGTGGCCGCCAAAAGGAGTCCAAGAGGGATGTGAAGAAAAGCAGGGCTCCGACGACGACCCTCTTCGCTCGAAGGTCCCACCACCACCAGCACCAACAGCAACCGGAATCGAAACCCTGTGGCTGTGGCCCAGGCCGGGGTCGGAGTACTCCGACGAGCGTGACAGCGGGGACGACCTTGACCACGAATGTGTGCGGATAGCTGCTTTGACTTCCGGCTCGCGCTGCTCTGCCTTGACCGCCGCTCTCTGTGCCTGTGCGTCGAACGGATGGGTGAAGAAGTAGTGGTTTTTTGTGTGTACGTCCCCTGCTGCCGCTGCTAGGGACCGCTGGTAGTGGTTGAGGTCGTGGTCGTGGTGGTCGTGGTGGTGGTGTTGCGACGAAACAGATGACCCTGCTGACGGCGACGATAGTTCTTCACCCAGGCCCGGAAATTGACGGAGGGCGTGTACCTGTGCTTGTGCCTGTACCTGGGTGTGGGCCTCGTTGGTGTTGGTGTTGGTGTTGGTGTTCTCGTTCCCGCTCCCGCTCCCATTCTCGTGGTATTCCCTCTTCACGGAAAACCGGTGGAGTGGATCACGATCGATATTATCACCGCCGCTACTGGGAACGGACCGTCCAGGGGAGACGGCGGGAGAGAGTTGCTGTTGTTGGTGCTGTTGGTGGTGCTGCTCACGTTGCAACTTTTCTTCCGAACGTAGTAACGTGCTCGAGAACATCACCCGTGGGGACAATGACTGGGGGAAATAGGAGGAGGAGGAGTATGACGAGGAGGAGGACGAGGTGGGCGAGGTGGAGGAGGAGAGTATGGAGCAGGCGGAAAGGGGGGGTGAGGGAATCAAAGGGAACTTTGAGGGGGGACAACCAAACGAGTCGGCGGCGGTGACACTCTGCTGCTGTTGGGGCCAACAAGCCCACGGGGACTGGTCCGCAGTGGCCATAAGATGGTGAAGCCGCTGCTCTTGCTGTTGTCGGTATCGTTGTCTGTGGTGTTGCTGGTCCTGCTCTGCTCTCGATGGTCGTCCTACGTCGTTCCATCCATGATCGGCGGAATGCTGGATATATGGGACCGCCATCGGGGGGTCGGGGTGGAGTGGAAGCCGGCCGAGGGCTGTTCTGTTTTCTCTCTCCGATCTCCCCTCGATTGCCTACTATCTCTGCTGCCTCCCGTGGAACTACAAGGAGTCGAGCTGGGTGAATAGGAATGCTCGAAGCTCAGCAAGTATCTAGTATGCCGGCGGTTGATTGGATTCGATAGACAGATTTGAATTGTTCGATTGCTATCTATCCAGGTATGTTGGCCGTGGTTGATTTGATATTGATATTGATATACTGGCAGTATCCCTCGACAATGGCTGAAATCCGTCTCGATATGTCTGATACACCCACAGCCGGTATTGTATGTGTGAAGGCTCGCTGTCTCTCGGTCTGGCTAAAACTGGAAGGAAGTGGTAACACGCGGCACAACCTGAGTATATAATAAATAACTACCATAACTACCAGCTGGCCCTTTCTTGCTTGATCTCAGATTCTAAGTAGCCGACATTACCTACCGTACAGACATCCGCACACATTACACTACAAAAGGAATATTTCGCACGGGCCTGCGCGGTTCGCATTTACCGATTTACCTACCGACCTTCACAAGCAAGGCTACTTATTTACTTTTCTGGCTGAGGCTGCCGCACATCTCTGTCATTAACGCTCACCCGCCTCGCCTCGCCTCATACCGAACGATGCAGCATCAACAGCCGGTGGCGGTTTCGAGTATGTAACTGATGTACGGTACGGACGGTACTTGGACTGTCTGTCCATGCCGAATAAAAGAAGCAAGAAGAAAACACGCGGATACCGCGGACGCTCCGTCCACCTTCCTTAACCGCTCCATCTGCATTCAAAGCACTCGAAGCACTCGGCCACGGACCTATCATGAACGAGTAAAAGAGTGAAAGAGCCGGACTCGCCTGTATGTATGATCATAGGGCAGCAAAAGCAAAAGGCAGCAAAATCAAAGGGCAGCAAAGCTATAGCAATGCAATGGGCAGCAAAAGCAAAGCAAAAGCAAAAGCAAAAGCAAAGCAACAGTAAAGTAAAAGCAATGCAAAAGCAAAGTAGTTAAAGCACTATGTATATAGAACGATTTCGAAAAAGAAAACTGGCTCGCTAGATATGTCGGCACAAGGATCTCTATGTCTCTCTCTCTGTGTGTCTGTGTGTGATTGTGGGTATCACAGCATCACAACAGCATCCAGAATCCAGCAGCAGCATCCAGCATTACCCAGAGACACCGTCCGTCCGTTCACCCATCCGTCCGCTTCAGTCAGTCAGTCAGTCAGTCAGGTCAGTCTGGCTCGTTTTCCCACCGGCCACGGGCCACGATTGACGCAGTGGCGCCGGCTCTGGCGCTCGGGAGTCGTGGCGAGCCATTCACTTTCCTCCACGCGGACAAAGTGCCGAACGATGCACTACACACCACGCAATACGCACCACGAAATGCCCATTGCCAACTGCCTACTGGCACGCGGAGGAGCAAATGGCGGTTGGCTCTATTCCTGGCTGAACCTGAACCTGAACGATCGTTCGGCAGTTTTGATACATACCGGTACATACCGGTACGCGGGAGAGTAGCGAGTAGTGGGCACAGACGTGCGGCTTGGTGTGCATGGAGAATGGGGATGGGGAGGTGATGGTGGAGGTGGTAGATGAGGTGGATGAGCAAGAGGAGAGACACGGAGATGGAGACACGGAGACACCCCCGAGGTCTCCAAAGGTTTCACGGTGCAGTGGCGGCGGATCAAACACGGAACGGATTACAGACAGAAAGCGGTGAACAGTTTCCACCGGCAAACATACTGGGCCCGGCCACCGAGCTGGTGGGAGGGGAGGGCAGGAATTGGATCTGACGACCGTAAGTATGCTCGAGGAGCTTCTGGATGAGCTTCTGTGTTTCCGCCGCACGGCTACATACCGACATATGTACCGACCTACCTACCGACCTACCCACCTACCGATCCACCGAGCGCTGGGCAGTGGTACTCGAAGCCACCCTGATCTCCACCGTCCCACCCACCACTAACCACACACGCACGCACGCACAAATCGATTAAACGAACGCCACGCCACGCTTCCCCGCAGCGTCTTCTTCAAATACTCATATACGCAGCACGCACCTCCCATACATGCATCCAGAGACAGACAAATACGCAGGAAGAGAAGAAAAGCACAAAACTGACTGACCGCACGCCCGAACGAAGGAATCTAATCCGTGCTACTATCCTTCGACGAGCTGGCACGGCTGTGCAGTGCAGGTGGCTTGCATGCTGGTGCCGTGGTCGATTTCACCATGGACTCCTCGAGACAGCTCCAGCTCCAGCTCCAGCTCACCTACAGCGTGATCTGATGTGATGTGATGTAATGATATGTGATGTCCCTCCGTTTGTTTGATAGTTTGATGGTTTCACTGGGTTCGTTTGTGTCGAAGCTTCACGTGGTCGAATCTTCACTCGAAGGAGTCGTAGGAGTAGGAGTCGTAGGGGCTGGAGGATCAGGATGAGGAGTGATATATGGCCACGTGCTGCACTTTCATCACAGATTCACAGTTAGTTAATTGCTATTGATTACGCTATTGATTAAAATCGACCAGAACGGCGGAGCTCGTGAGCTCCCCCTCCCTTCCCCTCACTCATGCATCAAACCAACCCAAGCGTGCCCACGGATTTCCATGATTCGTTCTTTGGTTCGTTTCTTGCCCTACCCACCACCACCACGACGGCGTTCTGCGAGCCTGGAAGCTGCAAGCTCGCCCACTGCACTCCACTGCACTCCACTGCAGTTCTGTAGGTTATAGAAGCATGCATGCATCGCCAAAACCCAAAAACCCCAAACGTCCCAAAAGAGTGACCGGTGAACGAAAGAACGATTCCGAACCCGCCCACGCACGCACCCACCCACCACCCAGCCATGCACGCACTCTTGTTTGCACTTGCGATCCGCCGCGATCTGTCGCGATCTGTGTGGTCGAAGGCTTGGGAAAATATGAAAAATAAAAGCGGGGAAGATCGGGAATGTCGTGAAAGCAGCAGCAGCAGCAAAGTGAAGCAAGGTGGAGCATGGTGGATAAATGCTGCTCATAAAAAGTGCAATTGGCAATTGATGTCCGCTCGGTTGCGCTTACTGCTTTCATGCCAGCCGGGATTAAGTTCCGGAACGTGGAACGTACCGTGGGAGTCTGGGAGATCTACGATTCACCCTTGACTGCACACCGAGAGCTGAAGCTGGGTCGCCGGTGCTGAATGTTGACTTGAAAGTACCTGCTACCGGCGATCCTGCTATTGGATTGGGCGGGGGAGGGGTCCTGCAGCGTTGGCAATGCCTGGCAACTTGACAGATGGAGGGCGGGGGAAGGGTCTGGAGCTCCATGGACCGTGCTGGCTCGCCAGTCGCGATGGTTTGGATATTCCTTCTTGAAAGAAGGTTATTCTATCCCAACTATGGTTTAATCCTCACCGCACTCCACAAACTTCAAAGTTTATGTCGGCCAAATCCCTCGTGAAATCCAGCCAGTCATTAAACCAGCCCAGCCAGACTATCACGGGCATGAGCAGTTTCAACGCCACTGGTCACGGCTGGCCACAGGTTCAGTACACACCACCGCAACAATGCGCCACCACATCCGCTCTTCCGAGACATCCAACCACTGCGGTGCCCAACTCTATGAGTAAACCGCTGGCAACACTGTCCCACTGTCCCACATCGTCCCTCCCAGAGTCCCAGCAGCAGCAGCAGCCAGCTCACCGCCCCGCTCTCCTGAATCCTTACCACACTCCTCACCACCGTCAGCCCCGCCGCCCCAACACCCACCCACCTAGCCCACCCTCCCTCTCTCGTTTTCATGGATTACACCCATACCAACAATCACGACATTAGATCACCACATCCCCGCCTTGCCAGGTCATATTCTGTTACACGGTGTATTTTCCCTTGGTAACGATTCTCGGCACGACCGAGACCGGCTGGACCGTGTTAGAGCAGGCAGTGGGCACTGGGTGGAGCCCTGATGACGGGTTTTGTTTTGTTTACTCATTGATTGTATACGACCTATCTAGGTTCTAGATAATGGTAATATAAAGCCTGATGACGGAGGTGGTGGTGGAGGTCGAGGTCTAGGTGGACTCTGGCCGAGTGATTTGGTGAGTGAGTGAGTGAGAGCGCACCCCGGTGTCAAGACTCGGGGGGTAGAGTCAAGAGGCTCGGTTACTGTGAATATGGCGTTGATCAGGCGTGCGGAGGCGGGATGGAGTCGCTGGGGTGCAGGAGACATGCTGAAGGGGTGTGAGGTAGTAGATAAAGGTGGATACAGGTAGATATAGCTGTAGAATTGGGAGGGTGGGAATGTCAGTGGGAGCTGGGCACTGGGCACTAGGCAGCTCTCCTGCTGGCAGCTCTCGCTTCAAACTTCATACCTGAGGGTATGGGGGTATGAGGGTACCTACGGAAGTGATCCCTCGCGCTCAGAGGGGGTACACGCGAACTCGTACGCTCTGTTCTTCCAACTGCCAGCGTTCGAGACATCGGTGTCGGTGTCGGTTTCGGTGTTGGTGCAACAATGCGGAATGCAGCAGATTTTGTCTGGGACGTGGAAACATGTTCAGCTCGTACAGTTAACACCAACAGCGACACCGAGCATGTCATGATTCATCTCTGGAATATTTATACCCCAGTCACCCGCCTAGGCCCGTCCAGTATCGCCGTACCCCAGTGTATGGAGTAAATCCATACATCCCATACATCCCAGGGAGTGGATAAATGGATAAGTGGATCGAGCAACCCGGTCCTGGGCAAGTACTATTCATAAATAAGCATAAATTCTCTAGATATCTAGATATCGGACGTTGTTGACGGTTGACCACCTACATACCTGGCAGTTATTCCCCGGGTAATATGTACCGGTAACTGCGGTCCCCGGCTCGCTGGACGCTGGGGAATGCGCTAGATACGGTAGTTGAACAACTGCAAGTCTGCAACTGCAACTGCAAGGGACAACGCAGCGGCTGAGTCCTCAGGACTCGTTCGTGGCTGTATGAATAGTGGCAGCAAGTCTCGAATCCGCCTTCGCTAGATATCACCGTATGTATGTATGTACATACAGCGCGCTGCGCGCGGCGTGATCTCCGCAGTACTGGTAGGTACGCCAGAGCCGGTCTCACCATCAATGCGGCCAGCTAACGGAGCAAGTGTGAGCCGAACCGTCAACTACCTAGGTGCCGTATCGGCGAGATTGTCGTGCCGCAATACGCATGCAGACGCGACGACGTTACCGCAGTGACTCCACGCCTCACTCGCCGCGGTCTGCCCGGCCTTCGCCAGTCTTCCGTGGTTGGGGGGTGCTTGAGGATGCTGGGGAATCCCAAAGACCATGCGGTATTGCACAAGTGCGATGCAAGCAGTTGGCTGAAGATTATCACGTGACCATGATCCACCTTTCGAGTCTTTGGCACGGCGACTCCAGTGATGTTCGATATTCCGCGGGCGCTAGGTTGAAGGTTTGTCGCAAGTTACTCCCTCCCCGCGCTATCCGTGAGAGTAGCTCCTCGGCTATTTAGCGTCGTTTGACTCCGAGCCACTGGAACGGCCGGCAGCGACCCACTGCAGGATCCGGCACCGGCGTGTCCCAGTCTCCAGACCGTCAGCGCAGCCTTCGCCGCTGATGGTGAAATTCTCAGTCTGGCCGGCTTCGTCGCCAGTGGTGGGATGGTACCTAGGTGTGAGGCCGTTAGTTGAGGTGCGAGGAGGAGAGGGAGACTTATGATAGGGTTTTTTTTCCGGAGGGTTGTGACGTAGCCCGGGAAGGGAACGGCGAAGGTGAAGAATGAAGGAGCAGTTGAGGTTCTACTAAAGTTTGAATATGGCTCACCTCTACTGCTACATACAACTTTGAGGACCCTCACTCTCTCCGACGTTCAGGGCCACCCGATCCGGCTAGCCACTCCTTCTATCTTATCTCATCCATCTAGCCTATACATCGCTCCTCTCATAGCACGTGGTGGTAGACAACACCATGTGTGTGAATCAATCTTCACAAACATGTGGCAACGCGTTAGCCTTCTTAGTATCTATTCAGGCGCGAGTACTAGGTGGCGTTACTATATCGGTTCCCTCCCGCGCATCCACAGGCGCCGGCTGATGATGCTGAACAACAATGAGTTTTCACAACGAAAACACAAGTCATCAGGGCCGGGAAGAGGTCGATTGGATAGATGGCTACTACTGGGCCCAACGGTGCAGTCCGGAGATCGGTATAATATTACTCACATCAATGGAATCATGTACATATCACTCGATACTTGGCATCGTTCATGCTTCAGTCCGTCGCTAGATTCCTAGATAGAAGTATGTAGTATCTAGATGGAGTAGCATAGATTCACAGACCACGAAGCGAGAATGCTCGTCCAGTCGAGAGTCCATGACAGCTACCCCTCATTGAGCGCTGTGGATATCTCTTGGGGACCTGACGGATGAAGAATATCTAGGCGGAAGCTCCTCTTTGCACTTCATTTCTTCTCTCCCATCAATTGCTGAATGAATCCCTTCTTCTTCTTCTTCTTCTTCTTCTTCTTCTTCTTCTTCTTCTTCTTCTGTGAACTCACATTCCTGTGATTTGAATCGACCTTTCGTTGGTTACTTCACAGTGAATCACTAACAAGAAACACTCGCCACTCACAGTGCGCCACACTGCGCCACAAAGACCAGGGCTGAGAAATGTGGGGTAATCTCGATAAGTAGCTCTCAACTTCCAGGCACCCACCACTGCGAACTCTCGACCCGAGGGCTCCCCACCGTCACTTCACCAGCCTGCAACACTGCTCACCCCCCATTCGCCTCTAAGATGCACGTCCTCGTACGCACCCCATCCCCCCAATTCTCCTGTTTCCACTCACCCAATCCAGATTGTGAACGACGATGGCCCGCCCTCTCAAGTCTCCTCCCCATACGTCCACTCGTTCATTAGCGAACTCCAGGTGATCGGCGCTACCGTCTCTGTCGTCCTTCCCCACACCCAGCGCAGCTGGATCGGCAAGGCTCACCTCGTTGGTAAGACCGTGACGCCGACGTACTTCAGACCAGGAACGCTCCACACGGACGACGGAACGACGCATGATCGTCCGCGCTCCGAGGGAGACGACGGCGAGGAGTGGATCCTTGTCGATGGCACCCCGGCGAGCTGTGCTCAGATCGGAATCCACCACTACTTCAAGGAGAAGGGACCGATCGATCTGGTTGTCAGCGGGTGAGTGCGAGTGTGCCGGGGATGTGGGGAACGAGGAGAGGATGTTGACGGGAACGCGGTGCAGGCCCAACTACGGACGGAATTCGACGGCGCTTTTTGCTCTGTCTTCCGGAACCGTCGGTGGTGCGATGGAGGCTGCGGTCTGCGGAAAGCGCGCCATCGCCCTGTCGTACGCGTTCTTCAATCGCAATCACGACCCGGTGATCATCAAGGGTGCGTCGGTCGCCGCGGTCAAGGTGGTCAAATACCTCCACGAGAACTGGAAGGAGGGTGTGGACCTCTACTCTGTCAACGTCCCACTGCTGGAGGGCATCGAAAGCCCTGCTACAAAGATACTCTACACGCACATGTTGCAGAACTACTGGGCGTCTGGCAGTTCTTTCGAGCCGGTGGACGCGGAAGATGAGTTGTCACCCGAGGAGAGCGAGGCGATGATCCGAGAGAAGGGCGAGCAGGGCAAAGAGGTCGACGCACTGTCCGCAGAGACGAAGCCGAAGACCGGGCTTAGACACCAGAAGTTCAAGTGGGCACCACGGTTCCATGACGTGTACGCCTCCGTCGAGACCTCGGAGCCTGGAAACGACGGATGGGCGGTAGCCAAGGGACACATCAGGTACTATCGCTCATCATACTCCTTTGTTGCCTGTCATGACGGTGCCGAATCTGACGGGCGTGCGAGAATAGCATTACACCTCTCAAGGCGAACTTCATGCACGGCGGTGAGGATCTCATCGGCACTGAGTTACACCTGTAAGTGCGGCTTAGAAGGGGAATCGTCAGCATTAATCTCTGTTCAAGCGACTCACTTTCTCGTCTTTTCTCGTATTCTTTCCTTTTTCTCTCTGTGATTGACTTGTATGATTTTCATTCTCGTAGTGGCAACGGGAAAGATGAATCTACTACATTGGAAGCTAGCACCGAGAAACTCAGTCTTACGGAGCACGGCCCAAACGTATGTGCTCTCGTTGACTACGAAGACGCTTATGTAGAGCCCAAGATCCTCGCCGCACTACGGAAACACATTCCCTCCATCAGTACCGTAACGGATGCCTCGGAACTACCCAAAGACGCAAAGGTAGTGAATTGGTCTGCATACGAGAAGATACCCTTCGAGCAGCTCATGGAGAAGCCAGAAAGCATGTTGTGCTGCTCCTATATCATCCGGTAATCCCACTCCCCTCCCCCGAATTCTTTCATCCGCCATCCTCACGATAACCAGCAAAGCCCTGATCCGCAAACACCACCTCGCGCTCACAGTGCGGCATCACGTCGCCAAAAACCCCAGCTCAATCCTGAGCTCCACTTTCCCACTCACCTGCGACTTCGAACTGGACTTCGCCGAGTTCTTGGACGAAGCACTAATGGAAGCGTACGAAGTAGCTGACTCCCTCTCCCGCAACGAAGCGGACGACAAACCCGCCTCGGAGCGCGAATGGTGGATCCTGAAGCCGGGGATGTCCGACCGGGGGCAGGGGATACGGCTCTTCAGCACGACGGAGGAGCTGACCGAGATATTCGAGAGCTTCGATGAAGACTCCGACGACGAAGAAGACGATGAGGAGCAGGAGGAGCGGGAGGGCGACACGTCGGTGGTCACCAGCCAGCTGCGACACTTTGTTGCGCAGAAATATGTGCACCCGCCGCTGCTCATCGATAATCGCAAGTTCCACATCAGGACGTACGTCCTCGCCGTCGGCGGCCTGCGCGTGTTTGTCTACAAACCAATGTTGGCGCTGTTCGCCGCGAAGGAGTATTCGCCGCCGTGGGAGAGCGCCGAGGATCTGGCGGCGCATCTGACGAATACGTGCTTGCAGAGCGGCGAGAGGGAGGGCAGTGTAAGGACTTTCTGGGAGCTGAAGGAGCTTGCCGAGAAAGACGCCACCGACATATGGGAGAAGATCTGTAAAACGGTGGCGGAGACATTTGAGGGCGCGGCGAGAGGACAGAGAGTCCATTTCCAGGTACCGCTCCCCCCCAACCCTCCCTTCATCCTACCAGACTAACGGAAATAGACCCTCCCAAACGCCTTTGAGATCTTTGGAGTCGACTTTGTAGTCGCTGCGGACATGAGCGTGTCACTGCTGGAGGTCAACTCATATCCTGACTTCAAGCAGACCGGCGACGATCTCGGCGCGGTTATTGAGGGGCTACTGGAGGAGACGGTGAAGATTGCTGTTGCGCCGTTCTTTGGTGTGACTGCGGAGCAGGAAGTGGAGAAGGAGGGAAGCGGGATGGTGAAGGTGCTGGATATCGGTCTCGGAAGCTTTTAACTCTGGAAGTGGGATATGCGCGTGGGTGGAGCAATCGATGTCAGGGGGGTACATATCAGTGGAGGCAACTGAGTTCTATTAGATACTTGATGAAAACAAGAATCCTCGGCTCCTGAGGAAGTGAAGCGCACCCAGTACATTACGTGGCGTAGTGTGGCGCGGATTCAAGTCCCTTCTTTTTTGACTCTACGACATATCACGGTGGGATCGCAAACGAGGGAGTGTGCGTAAGTGTACTTGACGCTTCCATTGATTGATTCCCGTAGCCCCCGCAACGGACGATGTCGAAGATGTGACGGTTCTGTTCTACAGCACAAACTGCGTGAGCTGGTAACAAGCAGGTTTTTGACTAGGGTGGGGAATTTCCCAACCACACATCCACATTCCGAATTAATGTGGTGGTGATTGTCGATGGAGATATACCGGGAAGAGGAGGGTGATTTTGGGAGTTTCCAGGGATTTTCTAGGGAGGATACCGGCGCCCCGATATTTATATTCGAGTGAGCGGTGGTGAAGATACTTCTTTCGGCTCAGTATGGAGAGGTGTGGCTACCTATTCCATATGTACTTTCGAGCGTGGTGGTATCATCCGGCTCGGAGTAGACTCCTTCCATTCATTGGGTGTCGAATTCCGTGGTTGCTTTTCCGAAAGCAATTCTTGCGCAATCTGTTCCATAGGCGTCCGACTCGGACCCCCGTTGTGCCCATTGAAGTACCGTAGAGCAGGATGGAAGTTATTCTTCAGAGAGTATTTACAGAGAGCACTAGACGGGAGCGGCCGTGTTTGATGCCAACTTTCGGAAGCCCTTTTTTTCGAGTCGTATCGGCCCGGCCCGGCCTCGGGCAGTTTGTACCACATCCCATGAGCAACGAGCAACGAAGGTCAAGGAAAGAAAGGATGCTTGACGCTCATGGACGGGATTTCCCCACCCGTCCAACTACATAAATGCACCTCGCCCGTCGCCAGAAGCGATTCTACTTGTGCTGTATTGTATCAGAACAGCCGCTCGACATCCAACACCAGCCAGCCGACGATACCTACCTACCTAGCTCGTAACAATGGCCAACTTTGTAAATAACAGAGCACTGACCAACTACCGACCTGGCAATGGCGAAGTCGGCGACGACAGCGACGACGAGATGTATGGCAGCGACGACTCGGACAACAGATGTATCTATGCGGGCCACACTGTGCCTGACTACGATCTCACGCAGATGCCAGAGTACGTGTTCCAGCAGAGACGGCTGCACCTCGAGCGTCCGAACGCGTTTACTACCATGAGGTGGCAGGACCGGTACACGAAGCAGCGGCGCGCAGAGGACAGGGACACGGCGGTGTGCCGGCGTCCCGCCGCCGACGACGATGACGATGGAGACATCCAGTGCTGCCCCGACTGCGGCCGGGGTCACACACTGACCGATCGCCAGAGGATCGATCAGGCCGCTGAGGTGCTCGGCCTGCACAGGGTGACGGCGGACGAGCAGGGCGCGGAGTGGGTCGTGCCGGGGATGAAAACGCCGTTGCTGAATCACCAGGTTCTGGGCGTCAGGTGGATGATCGACCGTGAGATGGGCCAGACGCTTCCGAGGGGCGGATTGCTGGCGGATGGCATGGGGATGGGGAAGGTTCGTTTTCCCCGGCGTGGGTGCGTTTTGGAGGCTGACGACAGCGGCGGCGTCGTGAAAGACCATGCAGGCTATCGCGACGATCTGTAGGAACTTACCTGACCCGTCGGCAGCGCCGCGAGGAAGACGGCGTGATCGTATGGTGCCCAGAGTCACACTCATCGTCGCACCACTCGCGGTGCTGGCACAATGGAAGACCGAGATCCAGCTGCACTGCGAGGCAGACTTGCTTCGAGTCCACATCCATCACGGCAACCACAAGCTTAAGACTGTGGAAGCATTTCACCGCTACGACGTCGTCCTATGCACATACCAAGCGGTCCTACACAGCTTCCCTCACCAGCTCGAGTGCAGACTCAATCCCGGCATGACCCCGCGCGAGGAGCGCCGGTGGTGGTCGCAGCGCGGTATCCTGCATCGCATCATATTCTGGCGCGTGGTCCTGGACGAAAGCCAGCTCGTCAAGAACCCGCAGGGACAAATATCGCTGGCCTGCCAGGCCCTCGAGGCGGTAAACACATGGGCGCTGTCCGGTACGCCGATCCAGAACCGACTCGAGGATATTTTCCCAGTGATCCGGTTCCTGCGGCATCCGCTGTATGGAGCTGTGAAGGATTGGAGGACGTTGATGGGGCCTGCATTCGAGCATGACGATATTGGGAAGGCGATGAATGTCAGTCAGATCCTGAAGGGGTTTGTGCTGCGCCGCACAAAGAACGATACGCTCTTGGGGGACAAGCTGATCACACTGCCGGAGAAGCGCGTCGTCATGCTGAAGATACGACTGTTGCCGTACCAACAACGGGCATATACCCTTTTTGTAGCCGCAGGGCTCGCCGCGGTGAACAAGTTTGTCCTCGATGGATCTGTCAAGGCGAATGTGGTGGGTGTTTTGGCGATGATCCTGAGACTGCGGCAGGTCTGTAATCACCCGTATCTCACCCGTAAGTCCATTTCCCATTCATGAGGGAATGCTTGGTTACCAATCGAGTCCCCATTGAGCCTGAGTGCGCGTCAAAGCCACGGAAGTGTCCTGTCGCTAGGAAACATATTGCTAACTTTCAGCGTCACACTGCAAGTGATTACCAATGGCAAGCCCATCGACATGATCGATTACCTGAAGCATCTACGGTACCCAGCCCGAGCACGATCTTCGCAAAACGGCCGAATCCGGTTCGTCGAGCGCAACGACCCGACCGTATTCGTGCACAGCTCCAAGACGCTCGCGCTGCTGGAACAACTCGAGAAGTGGAAGAGGAGATATCCAAACGACAAGATTGTGATCTTTTCGCTCTTCACCAAGATGCTCGACATCGTCGAGTACATCGTGCGCAACGAGGGGTGGACGTGCCAGCGGTACCAGGGCCGCATGAGCATGGCCGAGCGGGAGGAGGCACTGAGCGCGTTCCGCGACCACGACCAGATACTGCTGGTTTCGCTGATGACTGGCAGTCTCGGCCTGAATCTCACGTTCGCGAACAGGGTCATCTGCTTGGACCTGTGGTGGAATCCGGGAGTCGAGCTGCAGGCGTTCGATCGCGTGCACCGGATGGGGCAGAAAAAGAGGGTCGAGATACGCCGCTTCGTCACGGAGAGAAGTACTGAGATGCGCATGCTCGGCCTGCAGCGGAGCAAGCTGGCACTGGCCGTCACTGCGCTCGACGAAACTGGGAAGGATGAGGGGACGATCGCCGCGCTAGAATCGGGGCATTTGACCGAGGAGGAGTTGCTAAGTTTGCTTGTGAGTTTATGGTCGATCGCCATCACCACCTGTTCCTAGCTGACATCATTATAGGGAAAGATAGAGCAGAATAAACAAGGACGTCTGGAATTGGTTCCGTATGAAGGAGACACGCCGTTACAACAATTGTTTATATCATAGGTCTCTCCGTCAGAATCGATGGATGATATCTCCTAATTATTATCTACCTTCCCTTCTGTTTCCATAGGAGCGTGGAGTGCAAAACCACCGATGTGAGCGAAAAGGCGTCGCAGTGCGAGTGATTCACAGTGATGCGGTGTCCTAAGTACAACCTGGGGTAGGTACTTACGACCTGTGGAGGACTTTAGCAAGTAGCTTCGGCTGCGAATACAAGCGCAGAGACGCAAAGTACTCCGGTCTCAAAGATCCGAACGGGCAATAACACTATGCAGGAAAAGACAATACCCGCTCTCTGCTAGTCCTCCGCCTCTTTCCCTAATTTTTCCACACGAGATGCCATGAAAAGCGGGCGTGGCAAGGATCAGCGGAGGTGACCCCGGCTCCTCGACCTCAGCTCTGCCTCCTTTTATTCCCGCTCCGTGGGCTCCCAGTCGCCCACCTTAATTGTTACATCTTCCCCAGCGGTCTCTGGGATCCGCTTGTATGTGAAAGAGAGAGATCTTCCTGTTTTTATTTCGCATGCCGCCTATCTAGACTATGGCGAACCAACGAACTCCTTTCCTGCCTACCCTGGCCGCGCTTGTCTGTGAAGTAAGAAATATCGGTGGCAATTCTTAACCCACCGAGTGACATCGCGTGACCACGGAACAGACAACTACATATGCGGGAAAGGCTCGATCATCCACTCGCTCATCCACACAAGTATTTGCAGAATCCCAATGATTTTTCTCATAGAACAGCTGTAAACAGGGCAGAGGCATACTGGTCGCGGGCGAGGTTGACTGATTCCAGGGGGAGTTGAGAATTCCTCGAAAATATCCCGTGTGCGCATCGGCATACTGTTAGTTTACCTACTACATTGACTGTTTGGACTGCATGGATTGAATGCCATTTCCGCCTTGAACCGGGAACAAACACGGTACTCTAATATCGGCGTGGCACAATTGACGGCTGTAGTTACGGCTAGCGAAAACGGTGGTATCACGCTTCCTCTCGTAGCTAGGTGGCTCAAGGACCCAACTGTAGCGTACGGAAAACATCTCCAAGTTCACATTCACGTTCACGGCACGATCAAAAAGTTCCGATATGTACGATCCGGATCCCAGCAAAACTGTACGTACGTGTATTCCATTCCAATCCAATCCAATTCAAAGCCCAGCAAAACCGCAAAACCGCAAAACCCACGCAAACGCCTTTAAATCGACACCCGTAACCCAATACCCAGAAACCGTAACTACACACCCCACTATCCTACGTCTATTCTATCCTACTTCGTCTTCTTCCTGTACGGTACTATTACACCCACAATACATCAGCATCACGCGCACCACACCACACCACACCATTACACCCTTAGACACGGAGCCACATACGCGGACTGAAAGAATAGGCGGCCTGCATGGGGTTCCCGAAGAAGGAACCACCGGGCGAGCTAGCCGTGCTCTCGACGGGGAACGCGCGATTAAACGGGTTCACCTCGGGCTTGGCAATTTCCTGCGCGGGGACAGTGCTGAGCGGCGACCACGAGTACCCGCTGGTGGTGATGGTCGTCGCCGCCGCCTTGCGGCTGTTGATCGACGACGACTCCTCGTCCTCCTCGTAGCACTCCTCGCCCTCCTCGTCGGAGTCGTCGCCCGCATCCGCTGGGTCCTCCGCGTCAGAGTCGTCCGAGTCGTCCGAGTCGTGGTGGAGCGTGGAGCGGTCTAGGGTTGGGGGTTAGTCACGCTTCGACATCAGTGGACGGGGGGGTAAGTACCGCATTTGACGCCGCGCAGCGCGCGCCCGGTCACCTCGAGGCCGCCGGCGAGGCTGATCCGCTTGTTCTCGAGCCGGTCGCGGCGCTTCTGGTCTTCGGGGGCTTCCTCGCAGACGGCGGCGATCGTCTCGTATGACATACGCACGACGCTGAGGGGTGAGAAGATCTCCCACAGATCGCCGACGAGCCGGCGCTCGACCACGATCGTGGCGACGTTGTCGACGAAGGTTTTGTATGCCACCTGGGAATGTCAGTGGTATTCCGAGTGAGGGGGAGGAGCGGGGGGCGGGCGGGGGGCTACCTTGTAGAATGCGAGCATGGAATCCAACGCCTCCTGACACGCATAGTCCTCCATACTCGCCTCGGTCGGTGTCGAGATGGCCTGCATCAACTGCGCCTTCGTCAACGCGGCGCCCGAGTTCGAAGACTTGTTCTGCTGCTGCAGGGCCGCCTCGATGACGGCCTCGTACTGCTCCTTCAGCCGGCGGTCGCGGATCTTCTGCACGTTCTCGGTGTAGTAGTGATTGTACGTTATCGCGTGTCGCCTCCTGTCGTTGAGCAATCCCTCGAGCTCCTTGTTCGCCCGCTGGAAGCGCTCGGCCATCTCCTGGTCGATGTGGTTCGCGAACAACCCCTCGATGACGTCGGGCGGGGCGACGCCGACCAGCGCCAACCGCAGGAACCCGTTGAGCTTGCGGTACACCTTCTTCAGATGTCTCCGTGTAATCGCCTCCCAGCCCTTTGACTGCTCCCAGAACAGCTCACTGATCAGCAACGGATTGAACGTTCCGGGCAACTCCCTCCCCCTCCCGCCCAGCAGCAGCGGGCGCACCCACTCCATCGCCTGCGCCCTCGTGATCGCCTGCGGATACCCGTTCTGGCTGGTGATATCCTCCTCATGCTCGACGATCTGCCTCGTGTGGCCCTTGAGCCGCATCTTCTTCGCAAAGTCCGCGCCGAGCGCCTGCACCTGCGCGCGCAGCCGCTTCTGCGAGCCCTCGTGCTCCTGCGTCAGCCCAAAGAACATGTGTTCGTACGTGCCCTCGACGGCGGACTTGCACAGGCCGCCAAAGACCTCGCTCGCGCGCAGCAGCACCATGCGCTGCTCCTCGGGCGTCGTCCGTCGTGTCCCCAGCAGCTCGAGCTCCGCCTCGCACTCCCGCAGCGCCGCCACGATCTCCTGGTGCACGCGCGGCAGCTCGCGCTTGATGTGGTTCAGCAGCAGGACGCTGAGGCGCGAGCGCAGCGACTCGATGCCGTTATCGACGCCGCGCCACGCACCGCGCGAGAAGAACTCGCGCTCCAGCCGGTGGCGCTCCTCGAAGCTACAATCGCGCTCCTCGTAGTTGCGGTTGCGCAGGACGTGCCACCCAAGCTTGAAGAAGATATCCTTGTTCTTTGCCAGATTGACGAAATCCGACTCGCTCGCGCTCCCGGCGGAGAGCGTGTCCGGCTTCGTGATTATCCCGAGCGTGCGGGATCCTTCGGGGTCCGCCTCCTTCGCCCGCTTTAGCACGATCTGATTTGCGTAGTCGTTCTTGGCCGTGACGACCGCGAGGATGATGGTCCGCTGGTCGGTCATGTACCGGTGCACGAGGTCAGACACGATCTCGACGTCGTTCTTGTTGCCCATGTGGATCAGACCGGGGAGGTCGACGATCGTGAGCACCGGCTTGTCGGGTCCGGAGATCTACCATTCCATTCCCGTCAGCGCCGCACATTCCCCCGCCTCCAAAACCCCCCCGCCACATTCTCCCCCTCTCACTCTCTCTCTCACGCACGCACCTCAATACTAAGCGTATCCTTACAGAACGCGCCCTCGCCATCATCGATGCCCATGACAGCCTTGGCATCCTCGACGAGATCTGGCAGCTCCTCGAGCTTCTTGATTTCGCCGGTGAAGGCCTCGAGCTTTGCGCGGTCGGCGGAGTTGCGCCCGCTGTCGGGGATGATCTTTACGCGGGCGTGCGTGGTAGGCGACCGCCGGAGCATGATCTGTGTCGCGAAACGTGTGCAGAGGTTGTCCCGTCGTGGAAAGGGGATCTCCGTGATCGCTTCGAGGACAGAGGATTTGCCGGAGGATTGGTCGCCGCATACGACTGGGGAACCGAACAGGGCAAACGGTCAGCTATCCATGAAATATCACTCTCTCCCTTGCCGGGGTGGGGCGGGGGGCGGGGTTTGTCATACCCAATTGCGGCAGCGAGACGAAATCGTTGACGCCATGGCTCCTCAGCTGTCAATCACCGTGTATCAGTCTCCCATTCCCCATTTGTTTGTCCCTTCCCCTCCCATCCCGCCGCTTCCACCCCGATTGCGCTCACTTTATCGATCTCATTAAGCAGCTTCAGCTGCTCCTCACTCTGCAGACTATTCAGTGTTCTCGTAACAACCGTCTTCCTGTCTCTCTCCCGATCTCTCCCAGGCGACGGCGGCGGCGTCCCGGCGGGCGTGGGCGCATCGATCGCGACAAGACTATTCGTATCTGAGAAGGAGTCCGCCATAGTGTGTAAGTCTTGGTGGCGGTGGGGGTGGTGGTGGTGGTGGTGGGGGGGACGGGGTGAGTGGAGATAACGTCGGGAGGTGGGAGAGAATCCGCTGGCGGACGGGGTAGATATAGCTCGCACAGCACTATTTGCTGCTATTGCTACTGCTGCTGCCAGCGTCTGACGACACCCCACGACGGCCGCGGCGGGGTAGCTCGAACTTGCGAGCGAGCGGGGTTGCAGAGGTAGGGGTTTCGGGCCCTGCGGGCGCTGCGGGGGCGGGCGACGTGTCCACGCACTTCTGGCTGCTGCAGGGCGGTAAGGGCGTAGGTACATGTTACTATAGGCAGGATCTAGCCGCCGCGCAGGATACATGAGATGGGCGAGAGGACAACACACACTTGCACGAGTGATATGATATAGGTGTATAGTGGTGTTTGGCCAATGGGCAACGCCGGAGCTGCGGCGAAGGTACGGGCCCATCTCAAAGCTCTCGCTGAATCCCCGCCGCGAGAGAGACCACGGGATCGTCTGCGCAGTGAGTGAGCTGTCGTGACGGCCGCGGACGGAGCGATCCACGCAATCCACGCAATCAGTCGATAACAGCACATAACGCCACTGACACTGAGCGTTACTTGCTGCCGGGAAAGCAGGAATCACTGGCCCGCAGTCGAAGCAAACCACCCCACCCCACTCCCGACAGCACCGCCCCCGCTACGGCAGAATTCGCTGTTCAAAGCACTTGGAATTGTCCAATGACCGTTACTGCGGCCGTTGCATTATTGGCCGTTGCCGACGGTCGTAAGAAATCTAAAGTGGCCATTGAGTACCTCGCACATCAGCACCAGGGGGGAAGACCCGCCATTATTTTTCTGTATTCTTGACGAGTATTGCGGAACAAAGCACCATATCTCTCATTCTAGGTAGTCCGACCCGCACCCACACAAGGAAATTCGTGTCTATCAGCGTCTTACTGTTTTTTGTTTACCCAACCCCAGCCCAGCCCAATCCGAACCAGCCCAGCCATCCCCCTCCAGTGAAAAGCCCCAAAAGAACAAGCCCGCAAGAACAAAGAAAATGAAAAGGAAAACAGAAAAAGGTAAATGAAATCAGCCGGACGCATACAACAAAGGCGTTCCATAACAGAAGAATGTGTTTAAAAAAGAAAATCGAGAAAAAACTTTTACACGTTTCCGGCGGCCAACATCTTCTTCCGCAGATGCGCCTTGTACTCGCCGATGCTGCCGGGCCACCTGCGTACGGTTCGGTTTTCGCACACGAGGATGTCCTTGGCGATCTTGTCGAGCAGTCTGCGATGTTCATCAGCACGTGAAAAAAGTAAAGCACGGGGAAGGGTAAGTACCTGAAGTCGTGGGACACGACGACAACTCCACCGGAAAACGCATTGATGGCATCGGCCAACGAGTCGATGGTGGGAATATCCAGACCGTTGGTAGGCTCGTCGAGCAACAGCATGTTGGGGCTCTCAATGGCGAGGAGAGCAAACACGATTCTCGATTTCTGTAATAACGGGTATCAGCATCCGTGGGTGCATGCATCGACCAGCGAAGGGAAAACAAAGAATGAAAAAACGGGATGAAAGCTGCTCCATCCCGCAAGACACGTCACATAACAAGGGGGGATATCATACCTGTCCCTCAGACAGAGTTCCAATCAAGGCAGTCTGCGAATCTCCGGACAGACCGAACTTTCCGAGCTGCTGTCTCCAGTACTGGTAATCCTGGGAGCGGTCGGAGTACTTGTCCCTGACGAAGTCGAGAGCCGACTTGGTGAGGTCGAGCTGCTCGGCAGAGTGCTGGGAGTAGACACCAAGCTTCAAGTGAGTGTGGCGACTGACATTACCACCTGTGGGCGACAGCTTTCCGGTCATGATCCTGAGCAGAGTAGACTTGCCAACACCGTTGGGCCCAACGAGAGCGACACGGGAGTCCATGTCGACACCCAAGTCGAGGTTCTCGTAGAGGTTATCGGACTTCGTGCCAGAGTAGGAGAAGGTGACCTGGTCGAACGACAGGACGGGAGGCGGAAGCTTCTCGACGTCGGCGAAGCGGAAAGCGAAGACGCGGTCCTCGGCAACCTTCTGGATCAAACCATCGGCCTCCATCTTGTCCAGAATCTTCTGGCGCGACTTAGCCTGCCTGACCAGATTGGCGTAGGTACCGGCGGACGCGATGAACTTCTTGATGTGGGCGATTTCCTCTTGCTGCTTAGCGTACTGCTTCATCTGGTTGACTTCCTGCTCGGCACGGGTCTTGTGGTAACTGTTTTTTGTCAGCATGAAATAAAAAAGAAGCAGCGAGTGATAGAAGCTACGTACGAATCGTAGTTACCACCGTAGTAGAGGAGAGTCTTCATGCGCATGTCGATCATGGTGGTGCAGACACCGTTCAAGAAATCCATAGAGTGGGAGACGAGGACGAGGGTGTTGGTCCACTTCTTCATGTACTCTTCCAACCACACACACGCCTCGAGATCCAAATGGGCGGTAGGGTCGTCGAGAAGAAGAAGGGAAGGCCTCACGAAAAGCGCCTTGGCAAGAGCCACACGCATACGCCATCCTCCAGACATGTCCTTGGTCTTCTTCTTGATGGTGACCGGGTTGAAACCCAGACCAGTGAGAATCAGCGAGGCACGGGTAGCGAACGTGGACGGGTCCATCTGGTCGATACGCTGGAGAAAGGAAAACAAGGTCAGCGCAAGCGGTCAAGAGAAGGGATAAGATCATGTGTTCCGTTACCTCGTACAAGTGGTCAAGCTCAGGACTCTCATGGCCATCGTGCTCCAGGGTGTCCTCGGCCAGCTTCTCGAGACGGGCGAGCTCCTGCTCGGCCTGCTTGACGACGTACTCGAGAGCCGAGTAGTCGGTCGGCTCGGCGGGCTCGTTCAAAAGATAGATATCGACGTGGTCGGGGATGGGGAACTCGCGCGCAGCGAGAGCCTTCAGCAGGGTGGACTTTCCGCATCCGTTTTCTCCGAGCAATCCGTAGCGACGGCCAAAGTTGATCTCGATGGTGGTGTCGTTGAACAGTACCTTTCCGTGGAACACAAGCGACGCGGATGTGATCTTGACGTCACGGGACGCCTCGAGCGAGGCCAACACTCCGGTGGTGACACGGTCCGAGATTCCGTCGTCGTCCTCCTGCAACTTGAGTTTCAGGAGCTTCGCGTCGACCTCGTCGTCGCCGTTCACCGAGGACGCAGCTGAGGTGTTGTTGGAGTTGGCCTGGCTGGCGGCTCTGCTCGCCTTGCTGGCGAGGGTCTTCTTGGGCTTCAATTCTTTGCCTTCTGCGGCAGCCTTTGCGGCCTTTTCGGCATCACGCTTGGCCTTCGATGCGGAGACCATTCTGGCAAGAGTTTCTTTAGGGAGAAAAAAAGAACGGAAGAATTTGCTGAGACGTGGCAATTAGGATTACAGGGTAAAGTAAGCTGCAGCGACAGAGATCTTTGACGACAATGGAAGCGACGAGTCGAGGGGGAGAATCGACTATCGTGGGGGGAGGGGGAGGAGGTGGTGGTGGCGGGTAGGATGGGAGGTGAGGAGTAGAGGCGGAGGAGGATGTCAAAGATGTGGTGGTGGAGGCAGTGGAGTGGAGTAGGGTTGTTGGGATTTCTTTTTTGCGCTGACAACGTTGTGTGTGGCGGGGTTGATTGGAGGTGAGTGAACAGTGCATACCCCGCGAGCCAGGAAACGCAAACGCAAATTGTATGAAAATTCACATATACGGTCTAGGAGCAGTCTATGGAAATACATAATACTTTAAATGCATCGAGAGCGTGTTTTGAGCGATCTGTATGGATTTTTTGTGGATATGCTGTGCACTCGAACGGGCAAGTCTAGCCTGCCCAGCATCGCCAAGTAAAAGCCTCATAGTGGCGCACCTAGTCCACCCAGCCACAGAGCGCAGCCTCTTCACTGTGGCTTCTCCATCCTCTCCATCCTGCCCATCCACGCAAAGTAGCAGCCACACTGTGACTTATCGTTACTTGCACTCGCCACCCCCGAGCCACCTCAGCCACACGCCCCACGCCACCGTAACACCAACGACAACCCGACAACCCAACCACCCGACAAGCGCCTCCGCACCAGTAACCAGCCCGCCCGCAAAACCCGCAAAACCCGAAGGTGCAAACGGGCTTCAACACGGAATCTCTTCAAAGTACCGAAAGCACCGAAGCGGCACATTGACGAACAAAGAGACCCCCACTCGATCAGCGGTCAGCGCACGTCACCCCCATGAAAGGGGTACTTATGTGCTCTGCACAGCTGCTCCGCGTCGGATCGATATGCTTGATTGAGCGCGGATTGGCAATTGCTGCTCTACGGTACTCTGCGGTACTATTGGTGCTCCATGGTACTATTGGTACCCTACTCTACTATTGGTACTGGTACTCATCATGAGCATCACCACCGTCACCCACCTCCACCTCCACCTCCATCGGTATCGGTACCGTATCGGCGCGGCGCACTCCGCGCAATTACCCCATACTACCCATGCCATCGTGCGCCACCCGCAAACGTCGCAACGGGCTGTCGGGTGAACTTGTCTTTCCTTGTCTTTCCTTGTCTCTGCGCCTGGCACCTTCGTCCCCGCAAATATGTGCTAGATACCCATCGCCTATGCATAGTGAAGTGACTGCGACGCCGCCATTCACGAGCAAGAGTGAGAGAGAGGGAGGGAGAGGGCTCATTTAAAGATGCAGGTGGCTTGCATGCGCAATGTATGTGCAATGTGTGTTCCCGCTGCTGTGCTCCACTGCTGCTGTGCTCTGGTGGCTGCGGAGAGTAAACAGGAGGACGAGGAGTCAGGGACGGGGAGTGGAATCACTGGAATGGAGGGTATAGTAGATATAATAGGTGTATAGCTGGCCCGTTATGAATGCTTATGAATGCTTGTGATGTGGTAAAATGTCTTCACCCATACGGTACCGTATCACTCCGATTGATCGACCGCCCGACTGACCCGCCAACCGGCGACGGGATGTATATCCAGCGGAGCTGAGGGGAGTTTACCAGCCCAATTTAACATACATCCATCCAGCCATCCACTGCCGGCCCGGCGGGAATTCCGCCATGTCGGCAGGTATATCAGTAAACGAGTATCGTTCTCGAGCTCTACCGGGTCCGCCGTACCACAGCAGCCTTATATATCGAAGCGAGCTCCGAGCGGCGTGCAAAACGACGGCAGATCATAGGCAAGTAGGCAAGTATGTAGGTGCCGTAACTTACCTAAACACATCCTTCAAACCGGGGAATCACCCCAAGTCCCGCGCACCGTTGCGCGAAATGTCACGGTGCACGGCACTGCCGAAGCCACAACCAGCACTGCAGCGCTGCAGCGCTCGGTGCTCTCTCCGCTAGGCACACGACTTCTACATACCGCCCACCACCGATAGGCACGGGATCGGCGCAAGGAAGTCGTGCGGAATGTAATTCTTCCCGCGGACGTCGATCCTCCCCCGCGGATCACCAGCGGATCACCCGTGCGACGCCGGATCATGCAAGCCATCACGATGCGAGGGAGGAATGGTCGTATAATGGTAGTATAATGGTAGTATAATGGTAGCGACGACTAATTCTCCGGTGGTGGTGGTGCTGCTGGTGGTCTGATGTTGAGACATGGAGCGTGGCCGGCATGAGCGGCGCAACTGATGGCTGATGTCCAGTATCTCGTGTCTGATGTCTTGTGTCTTGTGTCTCTGTCTCGGGAGTCGGGAGTCGGGAGTCGGGAGTCGGGAGTCGGAAGTTGGAACAGGTACGTCCGTATATGTAGTGTATAGCAACGATTCCAACGGCCGTAGCATGCGTTGCCCATCGCTCCCCATCGATGGGCTCCATATATCGATGCACACCTTACATACGGCTTACAAGTTGCAATTACAAGTTACGATGTCCAGTGTTATTTCCGTCGTGAACGCGGCCCCCCTACATACCGATGCTACAATCGATACGAGGCGATGGATCATCCATGACCATGACCATGACCATGACCATTGAAATGACCACAGCATCGAATCCTCGATCCCGGCAGCGCATCACCCCCTTCCCCCCACATACATGCTCGTAGATCGTCGCCCCACGACCTTCCTCGTTGCTTCCTACGGTAGGTATAGGGCAGTGCTTACCCGGGCTGATCCTCGCTCGCACGGTCGAGGATCCTCGCTCTCGCAGCTCGCAGCTCGTAACTCGGGGGGTATAACACTCTACCCACTACTCCCCTCCCTACTACTTTCCCCTCCCCCATACCCATGCCCATGGCGATTGAGACTCGCTACCTCGACTCGCTACCTCGAAGCAGCCACAGCCGTGTCCGGGTCCTTGTCGGTGTCCGCAGCAGGAGTAGGAGCAGAGCGGATAGGCACGGTTGTTTCACGCTTCAATGATCACCGATCACTGCTCCGTCAATGATCACTGCAGTAGAGTAGAGTAGGTACGGTAGAGTAGAGTAGCACCCACTGGATACCGTATGCGAGGGTCCTTCATTCACTCCTTCATTCTCTGCTTCATCCACTCCTCCGTGGCTCCGGCAAACACCTGCGTCCCAATCCGAAGTTCGCACTGCGCAGTTGTGATAAAAATACATGCCCTGATATGCCCTGCCATCCCGTACCATGCCTATTGCACATTGCCCATATCCATGCGGCGCCGGAAGTAAAAAGTAAAGAGCAGAAAGCAAGAAGCAAAAGCAAGAAGCAAAAGCAAAGCAAAAGCAAAAGCAAAAGCAAAAGCAAAAGCAAAAGCAAAAGCAAAGAAAGCCACGGGGAAACGAAAGTGCAGAACGCCACACGCCGACAAACATCCCGCACAGTCCGAACATCCCGAGCAGCTCGGAAGACATTACATAGACCCGTAAGTAGATCAGTAGATCAGAAGATAAGCAGATAGATATGAAGATTTGTAAGAAAAGCCCAAGCAGCGGCGTACACACCAAACTCCCCAGGACAAGATAGATCCAACAGACACCAAAACATAGCAAAAGGACGGTCAAAGTCAAGACCGGACCAGACGGAAGCTCTAGATGTATATAAATGTAAAAGGAAGAAACACCCCCAAAGGTAACATCCCCAAAGCAAAACGAAAAGAAAGCAAGAAAGCAAGTAAGTAAACGCCCCCGCACCCCATAGCCTAGTAAAAGTCGTAGTCATAGTCGTAATCGTAATTGTGGTCGTAATCATAATCGTAAACATAAAAAAATAGTCGTGGTCGTCAAGTCGTGTCGTAAATCGTGTCGTTAATCGTGTCGTTGATGAGTCGTTAATAAGTCGTGGTCGTGAAATGCCAAGTCGTAAGAGTGATGATGGTACATACAAGGAAAGGACATATCGGAATAAAAAGATAGGAAAGGAAACAGGGAAAGGGAAAGGAAACAAGAGCACAATCATTAGAGGGAGTAGTAGTAAGAGGCGGAAGATGACGAGAAGCACTGTACAAAGGAACCAAACCGGCCGTGGCAGCCAGACGCAATGAAACCCGCACCGACAAACGGAAACCCCGAAGCCCAAACCCCGAAGCTCAAACCCCGCTCGCGGAATCATCTCGGCTCAGCTCGTATCTGATCAGAACAACCCCTCAAACCACCTCCCCCAGGTGTACGCATCCTCATCTGGCAATTTAACCTCCAGCCTTGGAGGACAACCCGCATCCACCTTTTTTTCCTCCGCACCAGCGGCCACCACCGCAGCAGTGGCGAGCATATCCACCCTACTCTCCATACCGACGCACCTAAAATCGAGGGTACTTGGCTTCCTGCTACTCGCGCGCAGCATCTGGACCTGAGCGTGGGTGGGTTCTCTTCCACCGCGGAACATCTGCTTAACTTTTGCCAGGAGCAGACGGCGGCGCGAGGAGCTCGACGAAGAGGAGGTGCACGAGGACGAGGTGCGAGAGGTGCGCGACGAGGTGCGCGTGGAGTGCGAGGATGTGGATGTCGATGTCGAGAAGAAGCTGCGGTACGTGCGGCTGGTTTGCGTCGAGTCGAAGCTGTCGGGCCGTGGGCCGCTGGATGACGGCAGTCGGCGGTGCCGCGGGTGGAAGGCGTGCATCGTTATGTGGTGTTTTTGTTTCTGCTGGTGTTGTTTCTGGTGTTTTTGTGGATGTGGATGTGGTGGTGGTTGTGCGCGAACAGCCTTGTATTTCGGATTGTGCAGGGTGTATGGCAGCTCGGCGGGGTTCGGCAGGACCAGGTCGGTGAAGGAGCAGTAGAAGTCGCGGTCGCGGTCGCGGTCTTGAGCTTGTTGATCTTTTTTTCGCAGCAGCGGAGGAGGCGGCATGGCGTCGGTATTTGTTCTGTGAGCGAGCAGAGCAGAGCAGAGCAAGCAGAGAAGAGCAGGGCGCGGGAGTTGTGTGACGTGGGTGGTATGGGTTGGGTGTGTGGACGGGGGGGATATATGGCGTTGTGACAGCTCCGAATATGGAGGGTGGTGGTGCGGTTGGGGGCGGAAGTGGCTGGTGTGATGGTCGTGCTGGTGGTCGGCGTAATTGGTAAGTTTGCGGGTTACCTGTGGGTGGGTATCTGCCGTCGTCCAATTCGTGGTGGAGATATGGTCGACTGCGGTGGTGGTGGCAGTGGTGGTGATGATGATGTGAAGATCAGTTGCGGTCGTAGGCGACTTGTACTCTAGGGCAGGCAGGTAAGAAGTACTTTCGTGCGGGGGGATCTGGTGAGGCAAGCAAGTATAAGCCGTTGAGTTGACTTGGGAGAGGGGATCATCGGGCGGGGACGAGGTTGCAACTTGCAACTTGCGGAGTCCCAGTTGGTGGAGCAGCTGCCGAAGGAACGAAGGACGTGCGGGCGGGGCAGCTGCGAGCGAGCGAGCGAGCGGGACCAGTCGATTATATCCACTGGACTAGTTGGGGACTTTTTACTTCGCACCTCTCACCACACGTCACAGCCCGCGCCCGGACGGCTACCTGAGCTCCAACTCCAGTCCAGTAATTACACTTCAGTCCTGTTCTGCCAATTCTTTTTTCTGCTTTCTTTTCGGACAGTCAGTCGGTTTCTTGTGGTTTTTTTCTTCTGCGGGGCAGCAGCAATATCATCAGGATATTCTCCCTCTTTGAGACCGGGGCTTGCACCGGGGCTGGGGCTGGGCAACACTTTTGCCTGCACAGCTTTTCTTTTCTTTTCTTTTCTTTTCTTTTCTTTTCTTTTCTTTTCTTTTCTGTTCTGTTCTTTTCTTTTCTTTTCTTTTCTTTTCTTTTCTGTTCTTTTCTGTTCTTTTCTTTTCTTTTCTTCTTTTCTTTTTCTTTCTTATTTCTCTATTTGCCTATTCCCATCCGCTTTCGGCTCCGACGATGGACGGGAACGGACATCATGGGGGGCAGATAACTTTCCTCATGCCCAATTACTAGAGAGCAGAGTACTCTATCTGCCAATAATCCCACCTCTCCATCCCTTTGTGCACACTCCACTGCACCGCACTGCACTCCACTCCACCGCACTGCACTGCAAAGCACGGCAGCGAGCGAGCGGAAGTGAAGTGAAGTGAAGTGGAAGTGGAAGTGGGCCCTGACTGCGTGCCTGCAGAACACACACGAATGGAGAGCGTGGTGGAGATGGGATGTGCGAAAGCGTTTTTTCCCCTTCCCTGCGAACAGTGGCTATCTCTGTATGTAATGTACCAAGTATGTGTGAAGTATGTACATTGTGTGTGGAGTACGCCGCCCGCTTCTGCAGGTGTGAGTTGTCGTTCCCGAGAGACGGAGGGAGAGCGGTTTGTGAGGAGTTGGGTTGGGGTGAGTTGGGTTGGGGTAGAGAGAGAGATGGGTAGGGAGTCCGCGAATGGGCGGACGACAGCCCTATGCACGGCCTTCGGCCGGGCGCACGGTGGGAGCTATGGAAAAGTACGTGCGCGAGAACGGCGAGAGGGCGGCGGCGCGGGCCATGGACTAACGGGGTACTTGTTGCTCCTCCAATCTACAACTGCAAAATACTAGCAGCATGCGTCGCTGGCGTGAGGTCCATCTCCGCTCACCAACTGGCCGCCTCGTCGCCTTCATCCTTCATCTCGTATCGATGGCTACGGCAAAGATTTGCCCGGCTCTACTCTACTGCCGGCAAATCTTCAACCTCTCCCACGCCCCCGGTTTGCTGCTGATGCTGCTGCTGCTCTCGGCAGATTCCGCCCGCCCTTTGCTCGTGCTCGTGCTCGAGAGAGGCAGAGAGAAACGCCTCCCAAGTTCAATCGGGACTCGCACCCACCCAGACTGTCGGAACTCGGAATTCGGAGGCGCGCCTTCCTTCCTTCACGCCACTGGATGTTGTGTACTACTACTACTGATAGTACTGATAGTACTTGTGGTCAACGTCTCCCTCCAATCTTCAGAGTGGTACATACTGGTGCGTATTTCGGGCGGGGAATCGGACGACGGAGAGCCCCCGCCAGAGTCCAGCGTGCCTGGCTCCAGAGTCGAGAGTCCAGACGGCTGGCCGGCCGTGGTGAAACGAGACATCGAACACCGCATACCTCCAACGCATAAATTCTCACATGTAGTGCTATAGTTAGGGTTCCCCCCGTCACTCTCACGAGTCACGACTATCTTCGAATTCACATCGCTACCGAATCCCGAGGCCGTGATGTCTTCGTCAGATGCAAACCCCTTTAATACGCAGCCGACACGGGCGACCCGGCGACACCATGGCACTGGTACTGGGCACTGGCACTGGGCAAGGCTTTCGATAAATAGTAACTACCGTAGGTAAGAGGTACCGTATCTCGGAGCGACAGGAGCGACAGGAGCGACAGGCTAGAGTATTTACCACGAATCCGATTTATGCATTCACACACACCCGAATTGGCGACACTGCTGCTAGTTACACACGAGTAACTACGGTAGAGTAGACAACTACCTACGTGGAGACACAAACACCACACTGTGTCGCAACTTCTCCATCTCCTTCCGCCGCTTCCGTCTCCTCTTACCTGTTTGTTTCTGGACTATCCGCCGATCGCGATGGAGCTCGCGTCGCTGGCTGGCTGGCTGGCGGGATACCTATGTCGCTGCACGGACTGGTGAGGACGGAATTCGTGGAGACAAGAAACGTGCATACGATTGGTCCGTCCGTCCGCCACGCCACGCGCCCGTGCGGTGAGCAGGGGGGTTCCGCCACAGGGACATGCATGCATAGGTAGGTTACCTACGCACATCTCAACTCGAACGATGGCTAGAACTCGCAAGTAGCCAGCAGGAGCAGGAGTAATCGAGCAGGAGTACCTAATCGAGCAGAAGAAAAAGAAAAGATCTCGTCAGCCTCATGCGGCATGCGCCAGTCATCAGTCGGAGTCGGAGTCGGTTCTGCTTTGTCCCTCGCCGTGGCCGGTCATGCGTAAAGTAGGTACCAACCAACGGGCCGTTGTGCTGCTCTCTCGGAGTCTTGGAGTCTTGGTTTCATGTGACGGCTTGTTTTTTTATTCAAGACCTTAACAGATCATGGCAGATTATATGACCTTTTCCATCCGGCTGTCCCGGACCACTGACCGGCCGCGAGCTCGACATGTACCGGTTCCCTGTTGCTCTCCGCCCAGCTTTCATGTGACGGCGTGTACAGTGCAGGAATGGTTACTTCCCTCTGTTGGGCCCTTGGCCCGTTGGGTGCTGCACTGTGCGGTGCATCTGGAGTGTAAGAACTTGCGCACACGCATAAAGCACCGCGACGTATGTATATACCTACTAGTAGTAGGAGATGACCACTGGTATGTATGTAGATATCCTACGCCAATCGATGACGCATTCTTTTCCAATTTCAAGACACGCGCGGGAGGTGAGTGGGGCGAGTGAGCCGTGATGACCCACCACCGTGAACACGTGTACATACAAGTGCGTGTACATACTACATACAAGTGTAAGTACAAGCCCAAGTGCAGTCGATGATTGACAGCTACCGGTATGTAACTACCTATGGATCGGAACTTGGGACTTGGAAGTCTCGCAGATATGTAGCGCGGGGGTGCGAGTCATGAGTCTCACATCGCGAGTCGCCATATGGATTCATGGATGGCGGTAACCAGTAACCAGTAACCAGTGTGTACATACGGTACGCAGAAAGTACCGGCCGGTATGTATGTACGCCTTGCATGCAGGTAGGTACATAGGTAGTTACCGTGACCGTGGCCTCCAGTAGTGAGTACATAGATCTGGCCAGCATAACCAACCAATCGTGTAGGTAGTAGGCAAAAGAGGCCGAGGCGCCACTGAGGAGGACAGAGGGAATTGAAAGTGCTCCGGGTTCGCTATGTATGTATATCTGGCAGCTGCATCAGCCGCGAATCGCGGACGGGGTCGCATCGAGAATCCTCCTCAGGGGCGATTTAATCAGCAGGCTGTTCCCGAGCCACAGATCTGCCGTCCCCGAAGCCTGCAACGGCGGACGCAAGTGCCGAAACCGGCCTGATGCCCCGCGTTGACGCCGTGAGATCGCAGATTGGAGTGAGCCGGCGTCGGTGTCGGTGACAGGGGGCTGCTACTACTAGTGAGTGGCCTGCTAGTTTACGGGCCGGGGTCGACTCGGCGAGAAACGAAACGCAGAAAAAAACGGCCAGTAGCCGACGGGAGCGGTTACTGGGATCAGTGGGTGGTGTTGACTGTCGAACTGCTTGATACATATTACCGGTTTTACCTATTGCGCGGTAACTGATAGCTCCACTTGCAAACGCCAGAAGGACAGGCTGGATATGATACCGTAAGCTAGCGGTCGCCGCGTTACATGGCATTGGCAGATGCCGAGGTTTACTTGCTATACACGGATGCTGAGTGACCGCCTGTGCATCTCGATGCCTGCGGAAGTGCGCAGATGATGCCCTTCTCGGTCGGAGTCGGAATGAAACGCGTGAGCCTGACTTCCTGTGTAGTATGGCGGGCATGGGTAGGCGCTTGAGCAGCTACTCACTTGAGTACTTACCTGGATATTCACTCTGTGTAGGCCGACCGATCTACTGCTGGTTAATTGCTACCACCGTAAAACGAGCAACTTTGGTTCGCTACTCACCTCCGAGATCACCGCCGCGAGTCGATATCTAAGCCATCATACCGGTAGGGAGGTATGACAATACCATGAATCCGGACTCTCGAGTCCCGACTTGATTTGGCCTCGGCATTGGGCTCTGTATAATGCGGAGAAGCAGGGCGAGCTTTTCCAGATGGTAGGGATTTGTGTCATTCGAATTATCAAACATTGAGCAACATACACCCACCGCACTCTATGCGGGTTTCTCGAGGCGGTTGAAACCTTCAAAGACTCAGCTCAGCGTTAACCGGTGTTTCGAGGATGGTCCTTTGGGGAATTGGCAAGCCCTTACGCCTTACGCTACCATTTCGCGACACGCCAACGGGATGCACATATCTAGTATTATTAGATACCAGATCCTGAGATTTTACATAGAACGTTGCCACGCAACTTCCGAGTGCAGGGGAAAGATATTATAGTTCAGATCTGCCTACAGAGTCGGCGGATATGTGTCGCACATGAGCTTCTCGCCTTCTAGACTGTAAGCCGGATCTGAATTGTATCGTGCGCCGTGCGTCGTGCGACGGCTGCCGAGGTGTCCAAGGCTTAGATCCCTGGATGTATTTTCTTTACGAACTCAAGCCACAGCACCCGATGTCCATGTTTGAGAGCCGCGGAGTGTCAACGGTTTTTTTCTCGCCATTTTACACGTCGCCTTTAGCGGCGAAGAGTCGGGATCAAGGGTTCAGTTCTTGAGCTGAAACAACAGTGGGTTGGTACCGAGCTGTTCCAGGGCGGCGATGCTACATACAGCAATACTCAATGTCCCGTCCAAGTCGCGATCCACACCTCAGTCCAGAGCATCCAGTCGGAACCATGCGCTCTGTCCCCGGCGGAGTGGCGGCCACGATGGCTGCTGGGTCTACTATAGAGGGTATTTGTTTAATCGTCCATTACAGCGAGAGGTCTTCCTGTTTTATTTCGCATGCAGCCTATCTAGACTATGGCGAACCAACGAACTCCTTTTCCTGCCCGCCCTGGCCAGTCAAGGTGAAAGCCCTATACTGGCCAGTCCGATGCGGTGCCCCACTTCCCCTACCCATCCGCACCGGGCCGACAGAAGCAAAAAGTAGAAAGTAGATTGACAGTAAAGACCGGTATGGGCCTGCGTGCCTGCTCCTCCTGCTGCCCCCTCGCCTCTCTCCCCCGTCTTCCGCCTTTCCGCTCCAAGAAGATATCACCACATATCCTCATCTCCTACTTTCTCGCACCGGCCGCAGACACAGTACCCTGCTGGGAACTCTTGCTCTGCCCCCGATGCGATGCTTGCCTCCTCGTCATCCTCCTCCTCCAGGTCTGGTGGAGCTTTCCTCCCCACATCCGTCGTTCCTAGACAGTCTACGATCGCCTCGCTGCACCGCTCGTCGGCGAACTCCGCTATCGACCACCTCTCTTTCCTTCTCTCCGCCTCCTTCCCGACCTTTGCCCACAAGGCTTTCTGTTGACTTCTCCACCGTGAGCAGTTTTTGAATAGTTGCTCGCGGGATTGTTTGAGAGGCTGCTTGGTATCGTACGGCCGGTTTTTGATTCAGGTTAGTGACCACTGATGCGCCTCTCTCCACTTTCATCACTAATCCGCCTCTTGAGATGTGCCAGTGAGACCGGAAGGGGCACGTCACACCGGCGTCCATATCCGCCAACTTGCCGGAGCCATTCTACTCCATCGTCGTTTTGGTTCTCGCTGCCCGCTTGGCTCACCCATCTGTGATCTCATTTCCTTCGATTTTCTGAGACTTTCCCGAGTAGTTCATTGGCCATGAGGCATCACTCGGTGGGGTCGGATATCGCTACCAGGACGGATGCCAGAGGTAGCTGAAGAATATTCACAGACCAAGGTGTGCGAGCTGAATCCCAGGGAAAGGGAAGAAAGCGAGGTGGAGCTGAGGTCAAGAAACCGGGGTCACTCCCGATGTTCCTCCCTACACCCGATTTTTCACGGTATCTCTTCTGTGGGGGAGGCACGGCAAGGGTGAGGTCGGTAATAAGGAGCGGGCTTCATGTTTTCCTATATAGTATTATTGCATTGGTGCGATCTACTTCCATCTCTGCTTCTACCGCTGGGACAAGCCAGAGCGGACGAGGGTATGGGAAGTCACATCGGGCGCCGTGACGAAAGTCGGATTTGAGAACGGCATGGAACCAGATTACGTGTATCGCCATGGGCTACGTAGCTAAAAACAGAAAAAGCGTCTCTTGGGTTTGAAACGTCCGGTACTGTATTTCTGGCTCCACGGGGAAGGCAACGGTATGTACATATAGTATAGATAAGACTCCCGTGGCCATAGATGCGCTCGTACATATTAGAATCTTTTAGCTGGGCTTCAGTAATAGTATCCGAACTGTCTACTCTGCTGCTTCCAGTTCCTACGGGTGAAGTTCTGTGAGGCTGGGTATCTGAGTGCAGTGGTCGACTGGCTGTTGCCATGCTTGATTCCCCGAATTGTCTCTCTCCCACAGCAGCAGGATATCGGATTCACAGTCAAGCCTTGGCAGGGCTACGAATAGCATGAAGGATTCCTACCAGTAGTGGCGATGGCAGTCACGTGGAAAACTATTCTATTAGGCCTCGAGTGGTGTAGGAACGCTAGCGTCGACTGTACCCTAAGTCGTACTCACAATCGCACTCACAATCGTACTCACATGTGACATCCTCAGCTATAAAAGCCCCAATCGTCTCCCTCCCAACTTTCCTTTTACTTCTCTCTTCATACTTCTCTCTTCATACTTCACTTCACACTACACCTTTTACTCCCAATACCTGCACTCACAAGTACATCATCCGTCACAAACCCTTCGGTGGTATAGCCCCCCCCCTCCATACCATCAACCAAACAAAACATTCATCACCCGCATCCCAATACCCCAATCTGAGCTCTCAAGATGGCAACGAGATGTCTGTGAGTACAGTTCAACCTCGGATGCATTGTTCCAGGCCGACCGCTTTGGGCCCAGTCCTCATTGTCTGCTAACACAACTTCACCACTGGTGCAGGCTTCCGCAGCCATGCCGCAGCCATGCCGCATCCCCCCAAGCGCCAATGCGCAAGAACAGGGCCAGCATCTTCTGGTCATGCTGCTGGCGTTTGGAGGAGAAGAAACTCTCCACTTGCGTCACCACACCAGCATCGTCGAGAACACACTCGGTTCGGTCCGGTGTTAGTCTGGGCATCTGGGAAAATCTTCCCGGAGGTTGGTCCGAAACTTGGGAATAAGTTCCCAAGTTCATTGAAGATTGCTACACTCTTCGCGCCTCCTGACAGCCGAGCAGATCAGTGTTGGGTTTGGGAAACAGCAAGTTGCCCAACAATGAACCCTGGCTGGGGGGCCGGGCCGAGCACCGGATGGCCACATTGGCACATCCGCGCTGGTCCTCCACCCCAGCCTTTACCTCCCAGGTCCAAACGGGACCGAGGAGAGGAAGCTCTGCTCCTGGCAGTCAGAGACTGCCCGCCGACCCGAAGGCAGATTACTGCCTGGGTCTGGTGAAGAGGGAGGAGGCGGTCTCCTCCAAGCAGTCTGCGACTGCTCACCGATCCAAAGGCAGGTTACTGCCAGGGTCTGGTGAAGCGGCAGGGGAAGCGCCCCATGAGGCCGGGGCCCAAGAAGCCTGCGAAGCGTGGTCGGATAGAGCCGGTATGTTTCATTCCCCCCTCTCTATCTCTCTTCCCTCAACGGTCTAAACGAGTACTAATGTCATACAAGTGGGGGCGCGAGACATTTACACGTTTGTTTCCCGCAAACGTGTGGCGAAATACGAGCACGAATCGTTCGAACAAGATGAGAACATGGAAACCCATTATGACGTGGGCTGGCCCACGTTACGAAGGAGCAGGCGATCGGGCTGGGGCCCGAGGACTTGCCGGGGCTGCCTATGGGGCTGTTGCAGCAGCGACTGGGAGAGCCCGATGAGGCTGGCGTGCAAGGGGGAGGAGAAGGAGGGCCATATGGGGCCGGAGGAGGGGGGGGGGGGGGGGGCATGGGGCCGGTGCGGAAGGAGGAGGAGGAGGAGGGCCATATGGGGCCGGTGCACAACACGCAAGACCATCCGATGGGGCCGGCTTCGAGGGAAAGGAAGGATCCATGGATGATGGGGTCGGTGGCCAAGAAAGAAAAACTCGATTCCTATCGGGCCGCCGCACGAGGAAGCGCCGCCGACGACGACGATAAAAGAAGCAGAGCGGTCGTAGCGGATAATTCGAATCGATAATCGGGGCAGACCAATAACCGGCGGCGACGCGCTCCTTAAAGAGTACGCTATGTGGTGTATGCTAAGGGTGGTATGAGGGGATCTATGATCCTAACTACGTATCCCGCCCCCAGGCTCTGCTCACGGTAACGACTGGATGATCGTGCCTCTGACTCTGGATTTGACCGACCGGTCCCGTTTGGGCCGGTCGAGCTCTCCGCCGGGCAGTCTGTGACTGCCCGGCGTTTCCGAACCCCGATGTTGTCTGGGTCTTGTGAAGATGGAGGGAAAGCGTCGCATGGGGCCGGCGCCCCGTAGCGCCTGCAGATGGATCTGCAGGTCCGGCAGCCGAAAAAACCTGTTGTGCCGATCTAAGGAGCGCCGGATAGGGAGTCCATGAACGAACTATGGAACTATCTACGATACAAAAACTTCCCTTCGCGCCGCAGAACATCGACACGACCATATTTCGTCGTCCCTCCGGCCCTGCGAAGAGACCGGTCCGACGTTTCGTCGGCTGCTCCGGCAAGTCATTGCCGCTCGACTTTTGCCCCCCGCCGGTCCCGTTAGGACCAGTGAAGCTCCCCTCCTAGCAGTCATAGACTGCCTACCGTTCCGAGCCCAGACACTGTCTGGGTGTCGAGCGGAAGGGAGGGGAGCGCCCCGTGGGGCTAGCGGATGCCTCCGCGACCCCTATTTATCCTTCCCCGTGCGTTTGCCCGCAATCGGGAGAGGTTCTTCCCACATCTATTCTAGATGATGGTAAGCCTCGCCGACCTCCCCTATGACCGCTCGTACATATGCTGATATGAGATAGGGCACAATTTGGGCTTACTAGTACTGTGGTTGGCCGAGGGGCGAGATATCGCCCCTCGACCTTGTCCCCCGGTCCCGATGGGGCCGGGCATGCTCTCCTCCTGGCAGTCTGAGACTGCCTACCGTTCCGAGCCCAGACAATGTCTGGGTCTTGGGCGGAAGGGAGGAGGAGCGTCCAGATTGCGATCGAAACTCACAGCCCCGGTAATTGCTCAACCGATGGATCAGACGGCAGTTCCACAAACCCCTCCGAACGTGAGCCGTCACATTCCGACCAACAACAATGGATGGAGTCAGACTCAGTCGCCAATCAAGGAAGCGAGTGTTCATCACACTGCTAGCAACAATAATGGATGTGGTGATACCCCGTCTCCAACCAAGGAAGAGAGTGTTCATAGCAACAATAATTGCTGGAACCAGGTCTCATCTCCAACCCAGTCCAGCAAGGGCAAGGGCAAGAAGCCGGTGTGGAACTCGGATGGCCCGGGAAAGCCGGAGCCTAGAGCTCAGAAGCAATACTGGGGTGACGACAACAATGACGAATAGTACGGCACTGTTGAACCGGGACTGAGAGAGAAGCGAAGAAGAAATTTTGGTGGTGGTGGCTTCTCTTCTCTACTTCTCTTTTCATCTCCCGGTCTTCAGTCGTGAGTACCTTTTGTTTCATTTCCTTTTTTCTGTTCATTTCTTTTCTTTTCTCCGAGTGCTACGAGCATTCATGTTAATGCTTTCCCTTCCTTTCCTTTTGAAAACTTGATTTCATTGTTGCGTTTCCTTCATTTGTTGTTTTCTTCTATCTTGCGAAGTTTATACATATTTGTTTACCTTCGTTGGTGCGGTGTCCAGCCTTTAAAGTATTTGCTACGTGACTGTACCTATGATATTTGTCTTTATCCTTGCTCTCGATTCGATTTTCTCTCCATAGGCACAAATTGTCTGCCAACAACTTCTGCATAGGTAGTCCAATCGAGTGATATTAGGTGAACAAGTAGCCAGTACGTACTTTCCGACCGTTCCACCCACGATCACAGGGACGGATGGATTACTCTCATCGGCGATTACGAGGCAATACTCTTCCCAATATGTAGATACATAGTCGGATGTGACGGCCGGAGGCTGGACATGGTGCCACTGACGATCTCCGACGCGTGCGTGCGTGCCATGCCTGCATGTTTTGCTCTCGTGGTCCGAGCTCCACGTCAAGTGACACGGTTTGGTGGCACCGGAACGTAATGAAAGTCTTCGGGGCCCGTGACCGATAGCTTTCGATACGAAGTTGGGCAGATGAGGAAACTCCCCGGATTGACTGACAGGTAAGACGGCCCGGACGAGCTGGGGTACCTATACCTACTTACTTAGCTGTGTAGTTGTTTCCGAACGTCAGCTCGTAACTATGTACGGCCGGTGACCCGTCCCCCGGGGTGGAGCGGAGATCAGGGCTCTACATAGTCTTGACGAATCATCTGGACGAACGAAAGTCGCACGGATGGTCTGCTGGTCGGTCGGACTGTCGGACATGGCCATTGGCGATACGATTCTCCTGCAGATGCGCCAAGAAAATGTGAATGCGGGGCAGCCATCAAATCACCGGAAAGTATAAAGTTAACCCAGACTCCTCGACTCCTTCACGTACGAGACGGACACTCTTCGCGACATCTATTGCGATCGATCAATCAATCAGTCCGAGACGAAGAATGACAAGGTGAATTGATCTCTTCTCTCTCTATTTGGCTTCATTCTGTGATGGTTTCTTAGTCGCGCACTAAGACTGACTAATGCCCCCCACTGTCCCTGAGCGAGGAGCTGATCCCTGTCCGTCCCCCCCCCCCCCCCCCGCAATAGTGACTGGGATGGGAATAGCTCAGAAGAGAGCTCCCTAACCACGAAACTGTCTCGCTCTCCTTCTCATCCTTCTGTGCCTCTCCCCTCCGTGTCTCTTCACTCCCCTCCATCGTCTATCTCCATCTCTCGATTCCTGACTCCAACTCACTCACTGTCCGTATCCCAGCTCTTACTGCCACCACGACCACTCTTCCTCGGGCTCGCATTTCCTCCCCAACTCCCAGCCACTCCAGCAAGTAATCGCCAGCATGGGCGGCGGCGGCAAGCCCACCTCGGCGGAGACCGGCTACCCCCAGTTGAACTTCACGCCCAAGGGTGCCCAAATCCGCGATATCTATCAGAGCCGCATCCGTAACTTCACCGCTACCGGCCAGTACCAGCATGTCAACCTCCGCTCCATGTTCGTTGCCGACAAGGAGGATGGAAAGGAATTCGTCAAGCTGGAGACCTGGGCTGCGTCGGGGCAGGATAGGCCGACTTTCGAGGAGGCTGTGAAGGGTGTGTGCTTTTTTGTGTTTATTATCGATTGCCTAATTGCTATGAGGTGATGAGGGAGCTGTGCTAATGAACGTCTTCTTCTTCGAGACAGGTACCTTCAAGCCCACTGGCAAACACGCCAGCTTCGGCCCCTCGTGGTCCACGCACTGGTTCCGCGTAACGATGACGGTTCCCGAGCGGATGAAGCACCATGAACGCGTACAATTCAACTGGGATAGCAACTCGGAGGGCATGATCTGGACCGAGGATGGCGACGCCGTGCAGGGACTTACCGGAGGCGGCGAGAGGGTGGAGTGGATCTTCCCACAGCAGTGGAAGGATGATGGAAAGACGCATGTCTTTTACGTCGAGATGGCCTGCAATGGAATGTTTGGAAATCCGACTGGGGGTATGTGCTTTTTTCTCTGTGTCTTGTGGTGAGTGGCGGAGAAGGAGCTATAGTGGGCTGATGCGGATGCGTATAGGTGATACGATCCAGCCGCCGAATCCGAGTAGGACATTCCAGCTCGTTCAGGCCGACATCATTGCCCCGAACCTCGAGGCGGTGGCCTTGCACATCGACATCTGGATCATCGGAGATGCATCGAGGGAATTCCCTCACGACTCATGGGTAGGCGCTCAAAAATATTTTGGCTATGGAAAATACTAATAATTTGCAGGAGGCGCATACCGCTACCCAAGTGTGTAACGAAATCGTCAATACCTTCATACAAGGCGACCAGGAGAGTATCAAGAAGTGCCGGCAAATTGCGGCGAAATACCTCGGCGACAAGGTCTCTTCGGCAGATGTCTACAAAACTGGGAATACACCGCTGGTGTTTGGAACCGGTCACTGTCACATCGATACGGCATGGCTGTGGCCGTTCGATGAGACGAAGCGTATGTTCCTCGGCTACCACTCCAAATGAATAGCGACTGACGGGTTATTACAGGCAAGGTCGCTCGGTCGTGGGCTTCGCAGTGCAATCTGATGGACATGTATCCGGAACACCGATTTACCTGTTCATCGGCCCAGCAGTACAAGTGGCTCGAGAAGCTTTATCCCAAGACTTTCGAACGAGTCCGCGAGAAGGTGCACGAGGGCAAGTTTCAGTACATCGGCGGCAGTTGGGTTGAGCACGACACCAACATGCCGAGCGGAGAGAGCTTATCTCGTCAGTTTATTCTCGGCCAGCGATACTTCCAGAGCCGGTTCGGAGCTAGATGTACCACTTTCTGGCTGCCCGACACCTTTGGTTATAGCGCTCAGCTGCCTCAACTCTGTCGGCTGTCGGGAATGACGAGGTTCTTCACTCAGAAACTATCATGGGTGAGATGGACTTGCATAATCCCCGAATCACTGAATTGAAACGGACTGCTGACGGTTTGCTCTCAGAATAATGTCAACACCTTTCCGCACAGCACTTTCAATTGGATCTCGCTTGATGGGAGTCAGGTTCTGTGTCACATGCCACCAAGTGAGACGTACACCGCCGATGCACACTTTGGCGACGTTAGGCGCTCCATGACCCAGCATAAATCCTTGGATCAGGACAACACATCTCTCCTCGTCTTTGGGAAAGGTGACGGCGGAGGAGGACCAACTATGGAGCATCTAGAGAAGCTGAGGAGGTGCCGCGGCATTAGCGACACTGTCGGATTACTTCCCCGCGTCCATATGGGAACTTCGGTCGACGAGTTTTTCGGCAACCTGGAGAAGAAGGAGGCTGCCGGTAATAAGTTCGTCACCTGGTACGGCGAGCTGTACCTAGAGTTCCACCGCGGAACGTACACCACCCAGTGCAAGAACAAGAAGGGCAACCGCCGGTCGGAGGTCCTGATGAAGGATCTCGAGATGTTGGCTGCCTATGCCAGTGTTCAGACCGACTATGTGTACCCAAAGCAGGAGATTGATGACATGTGGGAGGACGTCTGCTTGATGCAATTCCACGATTGTCTCCCGGGAAGCTGCATCGAGATGGTTTATCGCGACACCGATCGGATGTATGCCAACATCTTCAAGCAGGGTGCGCGAATCATCGACGAGGCATCGGAAGCACTTGGGTATCTGTCGAAGCCGGGGGCTGACACCGTGCCCCGGATCATCAACACCCATCCCTGGCCGCGTACCGAGGTCATCAAAATCCCCAAAGCTGCGGTTGCGAACGGTCAGTTCTACCAGCAATCGATCGACGGTGGCGACGATACCTACATTCTGGCAAAGGATGTTCCGGGCACTGGAGCTGGTGACATTATCTCCGCCGCCGATGCTACCTTCTCTTGCGCCACGGCCAGGGAGGAAACGAACGGAATGTTCATTCTCGAGAACGGCACGATCAAGGCTACGATTGTGGGTGGTTCCATCGTCAGTTTGATCTTCCTTCCGCAGAACCGGGAGGTTATCCCTCAGGGCAAGAAGGCCAATCAGCTAGTCATTTATGACGACAAGCCGATTTACTGGCAGGCATGGGATGTCGAAGTCTACCACTTTGAGTGAGTACCCCTTCTCCTCCGTTACGGGGTCAGGACTAACTATGGACGATAGGACTCGTGAAGAGCTTCCCCGCGGCGACGTTACGATTCTCGAGGCCGGACCACTTCGTGCGGCGCTGTCGGTCAAGACGAAGATCTCTGCGAAGAGTTGGATTAAGACAACCATCTCTCTGGACGCCGCTGTCCAAGGCGCCGGTAACATGCTCATGTTCGATTCTGAGATCGAGTGGCAGGAGACGATGAAGTTCTTGAAAGTGGAGTTCCCCGTCGACGTCGTCAACACGGAAGCCACCTACGAGACCCAATACGGGGTGCTGAAGCGACCCACCCACTACAACACCACCTGGGACATGGCTCGTTTCGAGGTCTGCTGTCAGAAGTGGGCCGACCTGTCGGAGCACGGCTTCGGGGTGTCGATCCTCAACGACTGCAAGTACGGCTTCGCCACCGCCGGAAACGTGATGCGGCTCTCCCTCATCCGCGCTCCGAAGGCCCCCGACGCCCATGCCGACATGGGACGCCACACCTTCCGCTACGCCATGTACCCGCACAACGACATCGTCGGCGAAGCCACCGTTCGCACCGCCGCGGACTTCAACAACCCCCTGAAACTCAACCACGTCCTCCGCAGCAACGCCGACCGCGCCCACGACCTGCTCAACGCCGTCGCCGTCACCAAGCACTCGAGCGTCATCCTGGACACCGTCAAGCGCGGGGAAGACGACGAGGTCATCTCACTCGGCGGCTTGCCGACGCGCAGCGGCAACAGCGTCATCCTGAGACTGTATGAGAGTCTCGGCGGGAGAGCGAGCACGTCGATTAAGACCAAGCTGCCCGTAAAGAAGGTCTTTAAGACTAATCTCCTCGAGGATGACCTGGAGGAACTGGAGTTCCAGGAGGTTGAGGTTAATGGTGAGACTACTAAGGAGGTCGAGCTCGTTCTCAGGGCGTTTGAGGTCGTGACTGTTAGGTTGCAGTTGTAGGTGGATGGGATGCAGCGGGAAAGGGGGTGTCTTTGTCTTTATACTTGCTTGGTTTTGCGTTTTTGTTTTATTGATGGATTTGATGAGATCGATGATTATGAGAGGGGATGATCATGAGGGGACGATTATGGGAAGGGATGGTTGGGATGTACTTATGAAGGGGGTTTATGCGGTTTTTGTACTCGTGTGGTTATATCGAATGAAGACTGCCACTCTGGTTGTCACGATGGCTCTTGAAGGATCACAATGGGTTGTATTAATCTTCTTTCCAGTATGTAGTTCTGTCACACCTAGTGACACTGATTGGCGCAGGGCCACTCTGCTTTTCGCACACCTCATATATTCCGTATCACTCGGAATCTGTCACTAAGGTCCCCGCTCCAAACACCAAACACCACTCCATACATACACGTTTTGGGAGTGATTGGAGTCCGGCAGCTAAGCCAAGCTACGGTAGTAGGCGGAAGTGCGTGTGAATTATGGATTCACGCTCGGTGGTCATGAAACAGCATTCGCCGCGATCACTGCGATCACTCGAACTCGTGACGCGACACACGTGATGCGAAACATAGGAGATCACTGAGCACGCAGCAGATCACGGATAGATCACTCGCGGGACAAACTGCAAGAACGAATGGCATATTTGAGGCTTGCTAGGAAAGCGAATAAACTAGAACGCATACTTAAACTCAAAGATAAAACATACTCCTCCTGAGATTCTCATGGACCCCGCGACCCACGCCACCCCACCACGACTCCACATACTTCGCGGCCGACTCCTCAGTCCACGTCGGCAGCGCCGTCGCTGCCTTAATCGACTTATCATTCGTCAGCATAGCGTACATATAGCATCTCGCGCGCTCGCACGCAATATCGGCGTAATACGCAGGCGTGCAGACACTGACACTCCTATTCGCGCGCGCAAAGTTGTAGCTAAGGTAGTACGTCATCTTCTGCAGGTCGTCGACGTCGAGGCGGTTATCGTCGACGAGGACGTAGTAGTGGCAGGGCCGCGCGGTCCCGCGAATCCCCTGGTGCGCTTGCAGGAAAAAGTCGAAGTCGTACGGGTCCGTGATCGCACGGTCCACCACCGTCCCTGGCGAGGGGTTGCCGTTCCGCGGGTCCATGTGTGTCTTGCTGGACGGGTAGAAACGTGTGTGGTGCCGCTTGCCGACGATGATAAGGGTCAGCCGGATCACTGGCGCGTTCGGCCCTTGCAGTTGCCGTGATACGTCCAGGCACGCTTTGCGGATCTGGGGGAGCTCGGTTTTCATCACTGCTGCGTATTGCGACTCCGATACCCCGTCCCGGTAGAAGAAGATGCGCTTGGGAAGCACGCGTGCTGCCGCGTGGTAGGTGGTGAGGCGCTCACACATCATCTGCTCTAGGTGGGTGATCATCTGTGAGGACGAGGTTAGTTGGTAACGTGCGATACGGTGGAAAGGGTATAAATAACTACCTCTTTGCGGCTCTCTTGGGTTCTTATCGAGGCCGGATAATTCGTATATTTCGAGTCGTTACTTGCCACGACCGCCGCGATGGAGGGGCAGTGTCGTGCACTCGACGGGCCGGGATGCGTGACATCGGCACCGACAATCATGCACTCCTTCGTGCACGCTCCCAATTGGACGTAATGGTTGGTACCGCCGGACTTCAGGTTGAACTTGAGCGCCACATTGGAGGCATACTGCGACCAGCCCTTGGGATTCTTAATGAACTTGTCTAGCACCGAGCAGACCGTCTGGAAGCCCCAGCGCAGATCGCCGAGCCACTTGATCGCCGCGTACAATGCCATGTCGGCCTTTTGAGAGTTTGCGATGACCACGTAGATCAGCGCGATGTTCTTCGCTTTGTCCTTACTGAGCGCCTCGAATTCACGACACAGCGGATTTTCGGGGTTCTTGTAATCCGTCCAAGTGCGTCCAGACGGAATGGTAATCGGGGTACGTCCATTGTCATAATACGGCAGGTTCGCTCCAACGTTGCGTAGAGCCATCATGATCTCGTCTAAGTTCGACTTAAGGTCCTTCGCGTTGAGCTCTCTGTTCCCCAGGTTTAGGACCAGACGCGTCCACACGGGCGCCAAGTTGCCGGCCGGCGCAGAGAACAGTTTCGTGCCGTGCTTCATGTTCCAGCCGCCGTACACCGGGCGGATCGAGCCCTGCCGGTAAATCACCGACGGTGATTCGAGCACGCGCATGGGCACGGTAATCATCTCCTTGCCAACGGTGATGCCGAAGCCATCCTACACGCAGTGCAACAATGCAGATGATCAGCAAATCGTGATGACTCGCGAACCACAGGAATAATTTCGATGATCAAGGAGCACATACGAGAAAACGGTTAGGAACGGTAACGCCGAGATCCGCTAGACCTTCGCTCGTGATTATTTTCGCGTTTTCAGCGGGTGCCATGCACGCCTGCTTGATCATGGTAGCGGCGAGCCTGGGGTCGAGTCTTCCTCCACCCCTGGGGATCTGCCCGGGAACCACCTCGAGGAACTCAGGTGGTATCAATAAGGGCATGTTGGCTACCCCCGTGGGGAACAATACACACGGGATAGCCGGAGCCTTCACCTGTGTCCCGTAATCTACAGATCAATTAGCACCTTGACTCCCGCGTGAGAGCTAATGGAAAGAAGAAGGGCGTGATTTTCGTACGTCTCTGGAATCGGGCCGATATGAGCTCCTGTGTATTCAAGTACTTGGTACGTCCGGGATATTGATCGGTAAGCCCATGGACAGTTAAGAGCTGCACCTTCCCACGCGTCTGGTGGTCACTTCGCACATGTAGCCCCGTGATGAAGGCGATGAGCGCCGGATCCTTCCTCTGGCAAAGCGTTGCAAGCGGAATTGCTGGATTTTGATCTCCCGCCCACCTATCCATCAGACCCAATAGATCAAATCTGTGGCTGGTGAATGCGGAAGTGCAGATGTTGACATTCAATGTCAACCCGTGATTCAGGGTTCGGAGGGATGTGAAGAAACCTCGAATACAATCGATTCCATTGCTGAGATACATGGCCTTGTTGTCCGACGTGGGGAAGTACTTGTGCTTCCCGATAGTCATCATTGCGATATTGCTGCGCGGAAACTTTGCCAGGATGATATTCAGTGCTGTGACGCTGTGCTCCAGGTCTCCGATGGACAGGCCAGGAAGCCGTCCGGCAGCATATTCCTTGACTTCGGTAGTGCTGATCTTTCTTAGTTCATGAAAGCTGAACGTGTACGACTCCACCTTTGTGACGGTTTCATAGTCGACCCTGACATCGAAGGTCAGTTGTTCTTTGCTAACTATATGGTCACCAGGAAAGTCCATAGCGGTCTTTTCCGAATATACGCGGAACCTTGGCTCTTTCTCGAATAGCGTAACCAATTGTCGCTTCTTGCGCTTATCTCTGACCTCGGGATTGATTTTGATCGCGTAGAGGTAGATTATCGCGTCCCCGATGTCGATGCTGAAGAAGTTTGTGCGGCAGCCGTGCAGACTTCCCGCCTTGCCGTACGCTGGCCGTCGGACCAGCGGCCGAGCTATTGGGTCCTTGTTTCTTCTCACAAGTTCCTGGTCATCCTTGACCAAGTCGGTGGCTTTGAATACCAGCGGCCTGTAGAATGTTAGCACGGATATATACGGCAGCCGTGACCCCTATGTACTCACGTGCCGAACGGGACCGGATCCGGTGCTCTCGTAAATCCACCTCCCCCGGGGGAAGCACTACTACTCCCACGCCCGCGACTACTTCCCCGGTCGCTACTGAACCCACGGCCGCTTCCCCCCCAGTCATTGCCGCTCCCGCGACTGCTCCTCCGATCGCCAGGACTCCCTCGAGCGCTTCCCGTACCGCCTGCCCCTGCAGTACCGACTCCGCGGCCGGTACCGGTTCCGCGAGCCGGTGGTCGCGCCCACCCACTACCTCCTGCAAGCAACGGATAACGACGTTGAATGTAGCTTCGTCGTTTTTCCGAGCTGGTCGGAGCTTCCTCATCATCGTCGGGGCAATCGCACAATCGTCTAGCAGGAGTGCGAGGAGATGGATTAGCTCGATAAGTGCTGTGTCTTCTCCGGTATGCCTCAGATAATGCTGAGTCCCCGGAGTGAGAATCGCTCTCTACCGCGTCCCAGTCGGGGTTGGAGGCTCCCTCTTCCGTGTCAGAGTAAGGCTCGGGGTTTATATCTTCTTCGTCTTCGTCCTCCTCGTCCTCTTCGTCTTCGTCTTCTTCGTCTTCGTCCTCTTCGTCCTCTTCGTCCTCTTCGCCCTCTTCGTCCTCTTCGTCCTCTTCGTCTTCCTCGGAATCCAGCTTCTCCCTATCCTTTTCAATCTTTTCTTTTCCCGGTTCATCCTCGGAAATTTTATCACTTTCATCCCCGTCGCTTGAGTCTTCATCCTCACTGTCGTCATCATCCTCGTTCTCACTCGTCTCGCCAGCCTCCTTTTCCCCGTCCCCAACATCGTCCTCATCGTCGTCCTCATTGTCGTCCGTGTCCCCATCTTCCTCCACTCCAGAAGTGAACTCGGCTTCCGTAATATCGTCATCATCATCCTCCTCCACCACCACCACCGCATTTTCACCTTTGAGAACCTCACTGACATACCCCGCCATCACCTGGGTCTCATCGCGATCTTGCAAGTTTTTCCTCGCCCTCCGCATCCATGCCGGAGTTCCCGGAGACTGATAAGTGACCTTCTCCTCCTCTGTTGACGAAGAATCCTCCTCCGCAGGGACAGGCGGCGCCTCCAAATCGTCTCCAATCCGGATGATGTCGTTATCTCGTGGCGAATCCATGTGCGAACTGATCTGCTCGACGTGTTGCTCGACGTGTGGGGCGAGCGATGAGCGAGCGCACGGTGGGGGCAGGGCGGGGCGCGGCGGTCTAATAGTGGGCAGCGGGATCGGAGCCAACGTTCTTTATTCGCGGCCACTGCACTGCTACAGCATGATATGGCCACGAGATCCCACAGCACCCACAACGGAGTAGAAGGTAAATTACATTTGGCCAGAGGACAAAGACTCTGATCGATCGAGAACGGGAGAACGCGAGAACAAAGGCGGTGAAACTGTGTGACGAAAGGAAGACCATGGCGTTGTTCCATGGCCGCTTGCGCCGCCGCTGGTATGTACCAACCGGCCCGTGATCGTGATCGTGGCCGTGATGTCGGTTCATGTCTTGTTCGATGTGGCGCCGGTCTGTGGCTGGTGCATAGCAGGGATTATATAATTGTCACGGGTAAGTCGCGTCGAGGTTCTACGCAAGTAGAGGCCGCGTCTACGTGTGGTAGGTCACTGTTGAACAGCCTCCCGGAATGTCTCTGGAATGATTGTTGATCTCCTTGTACAATTGCAATCGTTATGCCCGGGCCCTCCAGGAATCGACGATGTTGCGACGAGTCCGATACGCATGCGGTTCTTGCGATGTTGCATCGTGATGAAGGAGGTGATCTTCGAGGCAAGGCCACCGATAAGAGTGGCGGGGTACGGGCTGGTATGTGGAGACGAGGGGGGGCGTTCTCCTTCCGTAAGTGCTTTTTCCGGCCCCTCGCATGATGCCCTTCGTCGGCTCGGCTACAGCGGATATGCGCGCTTCTCGCCCCGTAACCGGGCCCAGTCCCGACGTGGCCAGGTTTCGATGGTTTCAAGACTGTAGCACCTCTCGTGAAGAAACCCATTCCTCTCGCGAGGAACCTGCACTCCGATGGAATGATCTTTAATCCGCCCACCATCGCGATCTTTCTAGGCTTCACTGCCAGGGCCCCTCGTCCATAAGAACCGATCGAAGGACCTAATTCCTAATTCCCGCAACTCCCACATCCCATCCATCCCATCCACGCTGCAAGCTTGCTCCATCCTACATCCCGTTTCGTTTCAACTTTGGCTTCCGGCAAGTCCCCATCACCAGCAATTTATCTTCGGAGACTCGTATCCACTCAAGATGCACCCTCGCACCTTCATCACCCTCCTCGCCGTAGCGGGGCTCACCACTACTATCGCCTCGCCGGTACCGAACTCCGTTTCCATCCGCGGCATAGGCGACCTGCTGGGTAGCCTGTTAGGGGGAATCCTCTACGGCGCCAACAGCGGCCGCGGTGGCGGCGGAAACGGTGGCGGAAATGGCGGCGGAAATGGAGGCGGAAATGGCGGCGGGGATGATGATGCAAATACTACTACTGCGGCCGCGGACGAGGCGTTTCCTACTACCACTGCCGCGGCGGGTGAGGGTATTGTTGCTAGTGGAGTTGGTAGTGGGACGGTAGGCGGGACGGCGATCGCTACTGAGACCACGGCAGACTGCGCGGAGACTACGACTGCAGCGGCCGGTGAAGACACCACTGTTCCGACCGAGACTGCAGCCGCGGGGGCTGAAGAGACGGCGGCGGCGGGGACGGAGGCAGAGGCCGGGCCGACGGCTACAAGGAACTTTGAGAATGTCGCCACGCGGGTGTCCGGAGAGCAGGACACGGAGGAGGAGGATACGGAGGGGGAGGATGGGGCAGAGGATGATTGAACCTGGAGGAATGTACTCTAATTAGCGGATCGGCTCTCGCACCTGTAGTTTTCTGAGCTGGATATCAAACAAACAATAGCAAATGATTCGATCCGATTTGCTCTTACGTTTTGTGTGCAATAGGTAGTGAGTCTATACGATTGGCCTTGCGTTTTGTGTAATAGTCGAGTCTAGCCAACAAGGAGACGGCCTCCGATTATGTGTTGCATTCCGAGTCCCGAGTCCCGACCAATTACTAGCGCGTACGTAAATCAGCCCGAAATTGCGCGGATAGCTCGCGTACGCGCAGGCCTGTCTTTCCCTACCACTTCGCCCTGCCACTTCTGCTCACGTCGCATAACCGTTCCAGCGACATGGATATTTCCCAGCAGAAACGGGTCTAACAGGTGCCCAGTTACATGCATATTGAAATGACGTTTCAAGTGCGGGAGACGTCCGTATGGAGAAGCTCGTGACTCTTGGTGCATATAAAGATTCTCGAGGGCCCTCTCTCTGCCGTTTGATTTGGAAGTGCACGATCGATCTCGTCACGCAACACTCACTCTCCTTTCTTCCGCTCTTTTCCATCCTGCGCTGTAGACTTCTGTGAAGTTTCTTTTCGAATCCTTTCCTACGTTCAGTCAGCTCCGGTAGCTCCAAGTTCAACCCGCCTTCTTCCACGTACCACCTCCTCCAGAAAACACCACCACGATGCGCGCCTCAGCCCTCCTCCTCCCCTTGGTCCTCTCCTTCACATCCCTCTCCGTCGCGCTCCCCCGCCCAGACACGATAGACATCTCGCTCGATGACCTCCGCGCCGCCCTTCCCGAGATCTCGGTCCCGGACCTAAGCGCGATGTTGGGCTTCATCAACAGCGTAGCCGGCGAGGTCGAGGGATTGGACCAGACGCAGGTGCAGACACGGACCCGTGGACGGGGACGGGGACGGAAGCCCAAGACGTGTACGGCCACTGCGACGGATGTTGCTACGGCAACGGACGGTGCTGCGGTGACGGAGACGGCCGTCGCGACGGAGCCGGTCACGGAAATCGCTACGGAAACACCCCCGATGGCGACTGAGACGGTGGTCGCGACTGATACGACCGTCATCGTCACGATTACCCAGTACGATCCTATGCCGACCGAGACGGCAGTGGAGACGGCGGTGCCCACCGATGTTGCGGATCCAGAAGTACCCACCGTGACGGAGGCACCGGTGCCGACGGAAACAGCTGTGGCACCCACGGAGACGGTGGAAACTACGGCTCCAGCGGAAACCACCGCAACATCGGAAACCGCTGCGCCGGCGAATCCGACCACGGACCCGAGCACGGCTAGCACCGTTGCGTTCCCATCCCGGACATTCGAGTTCCTGAACGCGGAGGCGACGTAGTCCGCGCTAGCCAGAGGAAGTCGTATTGCGGAGTTTGGGCGTCTAAGGCCGGGGGAGTTGGTATAGATGTTGTATTATATAGCCGGGATGTTTGTATTCATGAGACCGTTGTGGTAGAAGATAGAGTGCGACACCTCAGCCAGCCTTGAGGTGGTTAAATAGGGCGGCAATGCATGTTTGAAGATTACAACGTACGTGGGCATGGGTGTGTGATAGTGTCTGTGTGCTACGAACCTTCTCAAGGGCCCCGTAAATCTACTAGGTAGGTGTTGTCTGCCCTTGAGTGATTGTGACTTGCATACCCATCGCATCTAGCCTGAGGACCTTCAAGACGCGAGTGACGTGTGTAGGGATCCAGCGTGAACGTGGTTCTCGTGCCCAGGGAAACCACGGTCGACAATTACCCCGAGCTTTCAATCATTCTCCAAGAGACGGTTAATTAATTTCGGTACCGACACACGATGTCCCACATTCCGTGCAGACGATCCCGTCCTACAAGATCCCCACAAGAACCGTGTTTCCACCGCACGAGTGCAACCCCACACAACACACGCTATGTTTCCATTCCTCCCCATTCTCCTTCTGTTCGCGCCCATATTCGCGACAGCTGAGAACACTGCCTCTGTCGCCGCGGCATTCAAAGTCGCCGGCATCGTGCCCGACGTGCTGCCCTACTTCCGCCCCTCGGCGTTGGCGGAGATAACCTTTCCCTACGCCAACGGCAGCTCCACAACGATCAGCACCCCCGGCACCCGTATAGGCCGCAATGGTAATCCCCTTCCTCCTCCTCGCCCTCCGCATACTAACATCCCACCACCGAAGACTCGCAAACCACTCCGTCCCTAACCCTCCACGGAATCCGCTCCCCGAACCACTCGCAGCGTTACATCGCGGTAATCATCGACCCCGACGCGCCGAGCCGGCTAACGCCCACGCGCCGTAGCATCCGGCACTTCCTCGGCGTGAACCTAACGCTCTCCGCCACAGGCTCACTAGAGAACACCACCGCCGCGGACGTGGTCAACGCCTACCGCGGGCCGAACCCGCCCGCCGGCAGCGGGCCGCACAGGTACGTGCTGTTCGTGTATGATCAGCCGGAAGGGTTCGGGATTGGAAGCTTGAATGTGAGCAATATTGCTGGATGGAATTTGACCGAGTGGGCGGGCGAGACGGGGTTAAGGCCGCCGGTGGCGGGGGGGTTCTTTGTGGCGGAGGTGGCGAATGCGACGGTGGTTTAGTGGGGTAGTGTGTGGGAGAGGAGGGGGAGGCGGGGGAGGCGCAGTGGCTGGACGTGGTGCGGCGGAAGCGTGCCGTCGAGGAGGCTGATCAGTGTGGTGGATGGAATAGCGTAGTGGGTATATATACGTACTGAGTTGCGAGAAAGAATACTGTAGCTGTTCACGCAGAGTTTTGAAAACGTTGCAAATTTGTATCTCTCAGTGAGACGGACGGGTGCATCATGTTTATCAACGGTCTCACCATTCTTCCTGTACGGAAAAAACCCCAGCGTGGCCTAGCGGCCACGCACCTGGCGGAGTTAGCGTAGACATTGGTCCACCTATCGGGGTTTCCAAGCCACCCACTGGGGGCGGTGAAGGTTTTTGGTTCAAGCCACGGCTCCATTTTTTTCTTTTGTTTAACCAGGAAGTGCTTGCGACCTGGGTAGATCATGGCAATATCACGCCACAGTTCGCCACGGTTTTATCTTCATCAATTTATCACTCGCCGCGTGATATCATGTGTCCGGCACGTGCTCTTGTCGGGGCTGGGATTCGCCATAGGTAGTCTAGATAGGCTTCATGCGGAATAGATTGAAGATTTCTGACTCTCTCTGGCTCTATCCGGACTCGGATTGGCGGTATCTGTGTGACTTTCGTTGTCAATATTGCGAACCTGGGGATGTGCACCATCGCCTTGTCCTCCATCTTGGAGGATATGTGATTCACAGGAGAGCGGAGACGACGATAATGATTGATACTGTCGGAAGAACAAGCTCGTATATAGATACTACGTTCAGACCTTCTGCTTCGAAGCACTGGAGACCATCGGCTTCTCGCAGACCCACTCCGGCTCGTCCTTGACAGCCTGCTCCACCAACCACTGAGCTAGCTCGCTCCTCCTGACAGACAGCGTCGTATTCCCGTCTCCGACGTACCCGTCCGTCACTGCTTGAAAGTCACCTGCGGAGCATTAGCCCCATATCCAACGAGGGCGGAGGTGGTCTGTCAGCTCACCGTTCAAGACGCCACCAAGCCGGAAGATCGTCCAGTCGATGCCGTCCTCGCGCTTGATAGTATCGAAGTAGTCGCGCACGGCAATGATGTTTCTCCAAGCATTGTGAATGACCGCCCACACAACCCACACCATCAAACTGCGGCCAAAGGAGCTCTTGTCCTTCTCGTCTTCAATGGAGATGGTGCTTTATTTTCTCAAGTTAGCAAGGGCCAAGATGCGAACCGGGGGTAGGGGCGGGGGAGGGAACAGGCATCATACCCCATGACGAGGATCCTCCTAACACCAAACTCCTTCATAGCATCAACGATGACTCTGTAGGTATTTGCAAACACCAATTCCTTTCCGGCGCCCCACGGGTTCATCCACTTTCCGATCTCGCTCGGGGGCGGTCCGAGCAGCGACACGATGGCATCGGGCTTCTGCGCGACCGCGTCACGCAACGCGGCCGTATCCGACAGCTCCCCGCCGGGCAGGATCCGAACGCGGCTGTCGGCCCGCAGCTCTTCCGGGATCTTGGCGGGGCTGCGCGCATACACTAGGATCTCGACGTCGCGCGTCGACGAGAGCGCGTACTGGATCGTCGCGATGCCGGCTTCGCCGGTGGCGCCGAGGAGGAGGATCTTTTTGGGGGCCATGAAGAGTCGGTGCTAGGTGATATGAGGTCTGTATAACGACGTCTAAGCTGCAGCACGCCTCAGGTTATATTCCATCGAATACTTCGTCGATTTCAAAGATCATCTTATGATGCAACGGAATTCCGCACAGATCTCGCGCCGTGACGTGCACATGCCTGGGTTAGGGTTGTGAGCGGGATAACGGATCTCCGAAAGGCCGTAACTATGATAGGTTGATACGGTGCTTTGTGTATCAGTCTTTCAACCGCATGTGGCGTGGTTCAACATGTATGTATGAGGTACGTATCGGCCTTTCAAAGCGTGCGTATTCACCTTTCGACACAGTATCCCGAGGCACTCGCATGACTCACGTCGAACTATGGACCCCCCGATTGCACGTGCCAAAGGTAAACTATCGGCTAAGAATTAACGTATCGGGATCGCGTCGATCCTTTTAGCACTCTTCAACTCGGGTGCGCACCCTTGCACGCCATCCCGCAGAACGAGCACTCGTCCACCTCGCCCATTTCACAACCACACGGCCACTTCCCGTCCAACTCGAGATACCCCAGACTCAACACGTAGTCTACATGCAGCATATGCGTACAACTCGGGATCCTCGAGCCCTCGCCCTCCTCGCCGCCAAGCCCACAGAGCACGCATGTGAACGCGCCGTCGGCGGACGGAGTCTCGTCGACCTGGAAGAGCATTACTATGCCACTCCAGTACTCGTCGAGCGCCTGACGGATACCGCGCGGACAGTTGCATGGCCACATGGGCCGCAGCCACAGACGCTGCGAGAATGTCTCAATGCAGTGTGTGTGCAGCGTGTCGCGGCAGCCGGGGAGGGTCACCGGACGGGGCGCGGTGCGTCGGTCGCCAGAGATGCGGCAGTGCGCGCAGGTGAAGAGGTAGCGCTTGGGGACGTCGGGGCTTGCAGTCGACATGGGCGGTTGGTGATGGGTCGTCGGTGCAGGTCCGGGGGTGCAGGTCCGGGGGACTACCTATGGCGCAGAGGAAAGGGACAGGAACCCGTTGGATACGTTCCAACTGCATACATATATTACGGCGTCGTGCTCAAGTCGCTTCTTCTGAAGCGCGATGTTGTCGGTCGTTTGATACAGTCATAAATCAGGTTGAACGATAACGTCGCTAACGGCCATTCATCGATAGATATGCAACACGGCAGCAGCGCGTTTCAATTTCACGGTGGGTATCGAATCACTCGAGCACCGTTCCTGTTACAAGACTATAGGGCGAAAGATTTCCGCAAGATGAACCGCTCAGTTCTATGGGCTCTAAGCGAATGATTAGTTCTTGCATGCATGCATCTAGCGTCCGCACCCACACACTATATATCACTCGCGGAATGAGTGCTGTTTCATGCACGAAGACGACGCAATTGCAAACGGAGGGGAAGGAGCTGGGCTGCGGAAGCTGAGACGCTTGGCGTACCCGATGAGTAGCATGCATTCGTAAAGCGGTAGCACATAGCAGTTTAGATGGTTGCATAATTATTGGTGTTGACGGAATACCGCAGTGAGTGATGACAGATGACTAACGGTTGCTCCCGGAACCGAGCTAGTAGAGTAGATCCACCACATTGGTGGGGCCGCCAGGTACGTGCATAAAATAGCAGCAGTCGTAAGCGTGGGACCCGCGGTGATGGTACCGGAAGGACCAATCGTTGTATGGCGTTTGCCGCGGTGGGGTGGCTACAATTGGCGGTTGGCGGAGCGAGGATCATCCACCAACGAGAGCACACGTACTGGTAGAGTACTTACACTACACAGCACCGTGTGTATGCTTTTGGGTGACGGGTCATACCCGGCACAGAAAGCCAGAACGTGGGTAGTAGTTACTCGGGCCAATTCGTCCCGAGGATTCCCTGCGGGTTAACCCCGCAAATAGGCTAACCGAGCCGCAATAGTGACTCCGGGGAGCGCGCTTACGGTACTGCGGGGCACCACGCAATCCATATAATCTGCTGGACCCCGCGCTCCATCTGTTCGATATTGCTATACGACGCGACCGGAGAATCGTCGACTGTTTACCATATCAACCCGGTATCCTACTTCCGAATTTGGAATCCAGCCGGCGACCGACACGAAGGGATCGAGTGGGACCGGACGACTGTCTACCATACTCCGAGTCGGACGTGCGAGCCGACCATAGACCTGCGTTACCGACCTAGACGCCATGAGCACCCCCATGCCAGACAACCAGGCGGTAGCGCGGAAAACGACGACTCAGTTCAATCAGAAATTCGCAGAGGTTGCCGAGAGCTGCCGTCCCAAGCTGCACGAATGGATCGAGCGGCCACTCGAGGTCATGTCGTTCAAGCCCGACACGTCCGCCTGGTTCCAGTGCCATCCGGCACACCGAATGACGATCGATGAGCTCGCGTCGACTCCCGTCGGGAAGGGCGATGACTTCATTCTCGATTTCGGGGGTCACCGGGTCGGATACTTCTCCTTCCACCTTGGCGCTGTGGGAAATAACATCGACGCACCTTGCCGATTGCGTCTTACGTTCGGCGAGGTTCCCCCGGACGTGACGGAGAACCTAGCCGATTGCAAGAGTTGGATCAGCACGAGTTGGCTCCCCGACGAGGTGATCAACGTCGACTGGCTGCCCACGAATGTGGATATGCCACGGCGATACTCGTTCCGTTACGTCCGGATACAGGTAATTGATACCTCGCAGCAGTACAGAGCTCTGTTCTCGGATGTCAGAGTGCGCGCTGTCAGCTCAGTGTCGCCGGAAACATTCAATTCCGTACCTGCCCTCAACGATTCTCGGCCGTTGCTGCACAAGATCGACGCCGTCTCCCAGCGCACTCTGCGCAACTGCATGCACACCGTCTTCGAAGACGGGCCCCGCCGAGACCGCCGCCTCTGGTCCGGCGACCTCCGCCTTCAAGCCCTCACGAACTACGCAACCTTCAAAGACTTTGCCCTGGTCAAGCGCTGCCTGTACATGTTTGCCGCGGTAGCCGGCGCCGACGGCTCCCTCCCGGCCTGCCTTTACGAGTTCCCGACGCTCCACGCAGCATCCGATTACATCGTCGACTACGACGCGCTTTTCGGCGCGATGGTGTACGACTACGCCGTTGCATCGTCGGACCTCGACACGGCGCGGGATCTGTGGCCCACGGTGGTCGGCTCGCTGACGACAGCACTATCGCACCTGTCGCCGACCACGGGCGCCTTCGACTCGGCGCGCAGCGACCTGTGGAAATTCCTGGACTGGGATCTGACGCTGCACGCGGACGCGGGGATGCATGGCGTGGTACTGTACTGCTGCAAGCGGGTCGACGCGCTAGCCGAGCTGCTCGGCTACCCGCCGCGGTACGAAGCTGCCATTGCTTCCATGACTGCCGCGGCAACTACAGCATTCTATGACTCCGCCGCCGGCGTGTTCGTCTCTGGCCCCGCGCACCAGATCTCCTGGCTCTCGCAGGCATGGCTCGCCCTAGCGGGCGCGCTCCCCCCTGACCAGTCCATGGCCGCCCTGCTGCGCACCATGAAGGACCCTGCCGCGCTAAAGCCGCTGTGTCCCTACGGCTGGGCGACGTTCGCGGAAGCGCTCGCCGTGTGCGGCGCGAAGGAGGAGTGTCTAAAACTGCTGGAGACGTATTGGGGCGGGATGGTGGAGCGTGGCGCGGACACGTTCTGGGAGTGCTTCGATCCAAAGGACTACAGGAAGAGTCCGTATCAGGACTATAGGAATAACTCGTACTGCCATGCGTGGAGTTGTAGTCCTGCGTGGTTGTTGAGGAGCGTGCTGTTTCCCGATTCATGAGGTGGGACTTGTGCGAGAGGCATAATGAGCATACCTACATCCACCTCGCTAGTTGACCTTTTATTTCACACGTGCTGCAAAGGCCTCAGCGTCGGGCGCCGTTTACCGCTCGTGTTCCCTCGCAAGACAAGTCGTATACATTCATTCCGCAACAGTGCCGTAGTCAGTAAACACGACAATCCTCTCGCCCCCAAGATACCGCAGTACAATGCATGTGCCCACCTGTGACCTATCTGAAATCGCTGCCTGACCAGTGGCCAACCAATCACGGCAGTGTTTCCCAACCGATTCATGCAGAGAAACTCCAGTGACACCTCTCCGCCGCTTGCCATCCAGTTGCCTTACAACTGTCATCCCTTTCCTGTAACGCGAGGACATCATGGTGTGTCACTCCAAGAACGAATCATATCTCATGTTCTGGTGGCACCCACGCGCTTCCCGGTAGGATGGTTGGATTAGCTAATAGTCGCACCATGTTACACAGTCTCAACCGGCGAGCACCTCGTACCAAAACGTCAAGTCCGGCGTAACATCGCTGATCACGATTGACCGCCATAAAGCGCGAGGCAGGGGATGAAAGAGGGGTAGGTACCATGCATCTGCTCAGACATATAAACCTTGTTTTCCTCCGGTGCCATACAATGCAGTGACCGACTTCCCACTCCCCACCACACACGGTACACTATGAACGCGATCCACCTCTGCGGCCCGTGCAATCTCACCTTCCCCGACCGCCCCACGCTCGCAGCGCACTGCGCTGCGGAACAGCATCCGTGCTGCCAATTCTGCAACGCGTACTGTATCGACATTAGGCAGTTATCGCTGCACCGGCAGCTTTTTCACAATGACGTGCTGCACCGGTACTGCACCCTGTGCCAGCGCGTGTTTAGGGACGCAGAGGCGCTCCAGACCCATGTTAGATGGAGTCCGCGACATCGCTGGCCGCGGCTGCAACACGGCCTTCCCGCGCGAGTGGTGGTAAACGAGGATCCGACGGAGGAGGAGGATGATGATTATGAGGAGGAAAATTACTGCGCTACGTGCAATTGGGATTTTTTCAACGCTGAAGCATTGGGTTCACACCTGTCGAATCATCCGCGACACCGGGTGCCAGACCTTCCGGAGAATGCCATGGACGATGAGCACCCAGAGACCGAAGAAAGCACCAGCTTTCAGTCTGATGCGGACAATATTGATTTCCAACTTCGGCGGCAGCTGCAACAGCATTTGGAATCCTCATTGACGGATACCTTTCATCAACTCAATCTTAGGGTGACGACACAGCAAGATGCCTCGTCAAGTGCTATTGCTAGTACAGTGCCAACCTCACCGGTGCCTGTATCCATTACCGGATCGGAATTCCAACCTCAATCCCTCCGGGAACTATGCCCATCGATCATCTTCCAGCCCCCTGTTGTTCTTACTCCGGTAGTTGTTCCACCCGAACCCGTTCCGAGCGCCACAGCGACACCCATTCGACCAACAGCGCAACAGGCAGCGCCCGTGCAACCTCGCCGCCGTGCAGCCGACTGTATATCATCCCGCACGCAATACTCCTATGCGGCCAATCCCCAGCACTCGGGACCAGCAATACGCCCTCCCGTTCCTACACAACCAACACAACCACCGTCGCGCCCGTCAATCCCCAATGTCACCACCGAACGCCGCTGCACCGAGTGCAGCAAAATGTTCAAAAAGCCCCAAGATTTGCAGCAACACCTGACGTCAACCGGGCACACAATGACGGCCGCTGCGAGCACTCTGTCCCGTACAGCTCCAGCTCCAGCGCCGACGCGAACGAACGCTGGACCGCACTGCGCGGATTGCAACAGAGATTACCGCACCGAGGAAGCTCTGCAGCAGCACTGGGACGCGAAGCATAAGCAGCGCGCGCCGGAGAATGTGAGAGCAGAGAGCAATGCTCCCCCCGCCCCTCCCGCCGCTCCCGATGCCGCTACCACCCATCCTCCTGCTCCCGTTCCTATCCCCGTTCCAACCGCCGCCATCGGAACGTCACCTAGCCGCCCAATGGAAGAATTCTTCGCCTCGCACGCATTCGTGCTCGATCACTCGCGTAACTACGAAGCCGAATTCCTTCGTCTTTGCGAAGCGCGGGGGTGGCCACTCGGCAGTAGGCAGGGAAACTCGGCGCTGCGCGACTTTCGCGCGGCGCAGGTGCGAGCATTCGGCGGTGCGACGGTGACAGCGGCGACTCAGACGCAGCGGGTGGTTCCCGACGCTGCTGCTCCCGCTCCTACCGCCGCTCCTGCCGCCGCACCTACCCGCGCACCTGCTGGCGCTGCTGCCCACGCTTCCGCGCCCGCTGCCACTGCCACTCTCGCTCCCAGAACGGCACTCAGCCAGCCAGTCGAAGAATTCTTCGCCTCCCACGGGATCGTGCTCAATCACGACAGTAACTACAAAGGGGAGTTCCGCCGTCTTTGCGAAGCGCGTGGGTGGCCTCTCGGCGGCAGCCAAGCGACCGTTGCGAGGCGAGACCTCCGTGCGGCGCAAGTGCGAGCAATCGACAGTGCGACAGTGACAGCGGTGACCCGGGCGCGGCGGGTGGTTCCCGCCGCCGCCGCTGTTGCCGCCACTCCTGCCCCCGCTGATGCTCGCGCTCCCGCCGCCGCCGCCACCCGCGTAACAGCACTCGGCCGCCCCGTCGAAGAGTTCTTCGCCACGCACGCCTTCGTGCTCGATCACTCGCGCAACTACGAAGCGGAGTTCCTCCGTCTCTGCCGCGAGCGCGGATGGGATCTCGCCAGCAGCCAGGCGACCGCGGCTCGGCGCGACTTCCGCGCGGCGCAGGTGCGCGCATTCGGCGGCGCCACGGTGACAGCGGCCGCGAAGACGCGGCGAGTGGCGGTCGAACACGCAATACGCGGGTTCTTCGGTAGGTTTAGGGACTTCCAGTTTAATCCGCAGGCACACCACCGCAACGAGTTTGAGCGGCTGTGTGTGCTGCGCGGGTGGAGCCGTGAATACGGTGCGGGACTTGGCGCATACAGGAGGCTGCAGGCAGCGGAGATCGCCGAATTCGAGGTACAGTTCGGAACTGATCCTAATGAACCTGAGGCTTGGAGACGGCTCTGCGAGACCGCGGGGATCACGCCGATTCCAAGGACGCTGGATGAGAGGCGGCAGGTATGTAGGATTTCGCTATCGATCGGATCTTGCTGACTTCAGAATGTAAAGAAAATCCTGGGGTCGCACATCAACCTGGTCGATATGCTGGACGCTCGGCTGCGGAATGGAAGAGCCAGAATCTACGATACAGAGAAGGAGTTGGCAGACTATACAAACCGAACTGGAAAGTACATCCGCAAGTCACTAGCATACAACAGTGGCCTCTTAATGTATCTGTTGCGGGAGATACTCGAAGATAGCCATGGCGATGAGGAGCCGGATGAGCATAAGTACTATGGGGCTAGACCTGGCGGTGTGGGAAGCAAGAGGGGCGAGGGAACGGTCCGGGTGCATCCACAGAAACGGCGAAATTTGTGAGATGAGGAAGAGGGATAGAGGACGATAGCTGGTGCCCTAGTGTGTGTATGTACTCATTGCATGAAGTTTTATGGGTTCCTATCATGATGCCCGCACTATGCGATACGCCCATTGACCGCATGGGGAGGATCTATCACAGTAGTGACGAGTGGCAGAGAGAAGATTAAGAACAGCAGGCTCCTTATGAGCCCAACCGTGAGCTGTCTGCCTGCACCTGTCACTGTAGAACGTCATCCGCTTCCTACTACCTATTATGTAGGTATGTAGAGGGATGTCGAACCAACCAGCCCTGGGTCGATACGCCCGCCGCGTTGCTGCTGCACCGGCGTGGTTATGATCGGAATCAACATTTTCCCTGTACGGAAAAAACCCCGCGTGGCCTAACGGTCACGCACCCGGCGGAGTTAGCATTGACAGCGGTCCATCTATCGGGTTTCCAAGCCACCCACCGCGGGTGGTGAGGGTTTTTGGTTCAAGCCACGGTTCAAACTTCAGTTTTTGTTTTTGCTTAGTCGGCAATTGCTTGCCACCAGGGTAGATCATGGAAATGTAACGCCACCGTCCGGCACGGTTCATAACTTCATGATTTTATCACTCGCCGCGTGAGATCGCGTGAGCCCTCCCCGTGTCCGGATAGGATCATCCAGAGTTCAACCTTCCCGAATCCCAACTACGGAATCAAGAACTCGCCATGACCGTAGTTCTTGCGAGCAATGAGCTTCGTCTATGTTCTACCTCAGTTGCGTGATACATCTAGCAAGTCGTTGGATCTTTGCAGGTCTGCACTGCACCACGCCGCCGCAGCACTGAGCAGAGTCTCGTATGCCGTTCGGGGTGCGGATATCAGAACGGTATCATGTTACATGAGTGATGACCGGCGAGAACTTCGTCCCAAACCGTCACCCACCCCGGCGCCCATCGCCATGCAAAACCCGCGAGTGGCTGCAAAAAGTAGAAACTTGAAATTGGGTGGCAAGGAAAAGGAAAAGAAAAAAAGAGGGGATTCTGGTTCCTCGCGTACCTACGCTTCAACTCTGCACAACATACATTGACAGTATGAGCATCGCCAGTGACTTCGCTCACTCCCGCAGTGACCCGCCGCCGGTTCAAAATGCCAGACACCACCGATGCCCCGTCTGCAATATCGGCTTCAAGAAGCCGCAACATCTCATGCAGCACCAGGGGGACAAAGAGCACACGCTGCCAGCGAACAATAGCTCCACAGCCGCGACCGCTCCTCCTCCGGCTCCTCACGTACCAGGTGAGGTTGTAGCGGAAGCTTCAACCCAGCCTCAAGCTGCAACGGCAGCAACCAACTCCTCGTACTGTACCGTTTGCGCCAGACAGTTCACCACCGTGACAGGTCTGCAGCAGCACCAGTCCTCGAATAGCCACATCACACGCGCGCGGCAGACAGCAGGAGGGGGCGCACCCGGCCCCGCCGGCGGTCCTAGCACAACCACCATCCTCAGCGCGGACCTCGGTCCAGTGGAACAGTTCTTCGCCTCCTACGCCTTCGCGCTCGATCCCAGCGCGAACTACGAAGCCGAATTCCAGCGGCTTTGCGTCGCGCGGGAGTGGGCACAGGGGGGCAACCAGATGTCCGCCGCTCGCAAGGCCTTGAAGTTGGCGCAGGTGAAAGCGTTCGGCAGTGGGCGTGTGAGCGCGGTGGCCCGTCAGCGGGGTGAAGCGGTAAGGGACGCGATCCGAAAGTTCTTTGAGGGCTACGCGGAGCAAGGGTTCGTGTACAATCCTGATGCGCATCACCGCGATGAGTTCAAGCGGCTTTGTCGGCATCAGGGGTGGGTCTGGGATGAGTCGTGGGATGAGGAGCGGCGTAACGAGGTGAAGAGACTGCGTGACGAGGCGAAGAGACGGTTTAACGAGGCGGAGGTGATCGATTTTGGCGACCTGTTCGGAACTGACCCGAATGATCCCGAGGCGTGGAGGAAGTTGTGCGAGACGGCGGGGATAGTGCCGATTCCCGCGACACTCGAGTTACGGCGTAAGGTACGTCCACCCGCTTTGCATGTGTGGCTGCGAGGGATAACTTACTGACAGCGCACAGGCCGTGCTGGACCTGCACAACAACATGGTGGATATGCATGACGCCCACAGGAGAACCGGTATTGAGGCCCGCACGTTTCCGACGGAGGAAGGGCTGGCGGAGTGCACGATGGAGAAGAAGCGGTTCTTTCCATTGCGCCTAGCGTAAGGCAGTGGCCTCTTGCGTTATCTGTTGCGTGAAATACGCCAGGATTACTTTGGCGACGTGTCTGGCGGTGCTGGTAGCCTGAGGGGCGTGGGTAAGATCCGTATGAATCCGCGCAGACGTAGATAGAGTACGGATAAGGTGGTGGATTCTCGGCCGTCTGTAAGAATCGGAAATATTCTTACCTATGCTCACCCTTCGCGAGATGCCCATCATCCCGGATCCGTGAGTGAGCTGCGGGAAGTAACGGCACTGCCGCCGACATTACCGGTAGATAATGAGAGACCTCCGATGGGTACGGGCAACTGGGGTGACCAATTGAAATGACTTGAAACCGACAAGAAAGAAAAGCAGCCTGTGTTCTTCAGGCCGAGCAACGTCGAAGTATCTCCGCGATTTCGAACTAATAATGAGTGATAGTGGTGATAAGGTTGATGTATTGTGTATTGACCGGCCAAACGAACATAAAAGTAGCCGCAGAGGACATCTCAAATTTGAGGCGACCGAACCGGGTCTGGCCCCTCCGAGTCCCACAATAGGCGCCTATCATGACAGAATTCAGCAAGACAGTTGTGACGTAATCCCAGAAGGAAGACGGCGGAAATGAAAGATGAAGAAGTCGGGTTGTATTGAGAGACCCAAAAAACGAGTGATGGTTCAAACCTTGATCATTTCCAAAAAAAACGTAAAGGTAGCGATGATGAAAACAGAAGAAAGCAAGGCGAGCGAAGCTGCTTAAATAGTAACAGCGAGGAAAAAAGAACGTTTGAAGCACCGCATCAGGTCGTCCAGCAACAACATCAATAACCACCTCTGCAACAGCTGGTGTCGACATGTCCTGCCAAAGTCTGGCCTCAAATCGATAAGTCTCACTCGGGTCCCGCAATTTTCTGCTCAAACCGACCCGGTCCTCCGTTCCCGGAAAGCTGGTCTCACCCAGGTCCTGCAAAATCACACTCTTCTCTGCAAATATCTCAGTCGGATTCTTATATGGCTCCTCTCCGCTGCCTCCAACGTTTGGCGTCACTCGATCCGGCTAATCCAGCTGACGCATCACTCGGATCCTCCGATCCGACTAGCCCATCCTTCTTCTATCTTATCAGATCCTCCATCCAATGTATCCTCTCAGCTCTCATGGTTGTGGCAGACAATAAATACGCGACTATCATGCCGTATTTTCCGAGACAATAGACGACTGTCATACCGTAATTCAGCCAGACAATACGGTAGTTAGGCGACTGTCATGCCGGAATCCACAAATGCGCCCCCAATTATGAATCACATGCGAGTCCGACCGCTTACCTAGCCGGGACCACAGGGTGGCTCGATTGCAGTCTATGTACCTGGTCTCCGGAGCACTCTACATTACAGCCCCCCAGAGTCCCCAGAGTTCCAGTCCCCAGAGTTGCAGACCCCAGATTTTCCATCCTCCGGTTTTTGTACTAAAGTACTGTCTCACACTGCACTCTATCTGCCCGGACCACCGAGCTCCTGAATGAAGGTAGACTTGTAAGTTAAGCCGCGGCCTCTCGACTCGCTCGCTTGTCACGACTCAACACGATGCATGTGCACAGGTACTGTGGGTATGTAGAGTACTGAGGGGCGCGGAGGCAGAGGCGACTTGGAAGTTGGGAAGCGGGGAGCCCCGAAGAAGCGGGATTTGTCGGGACCTGGGTGAGACCAGCTGTTGGAGGAGTGAGGTCTTGTCGGGTCCTGGCGAGACCAGCCGTCGGGGGAGTGAGGTCTTGTCGGGACATGGTGAGACCAGCCGTCGGGGGAGTGAGGTCTTGTCGGGTCCTGGTGAGACCAGCCGCCAGGGGAGTGAGGTCTTGTCGGGACATGGTGAGACCAGCTCTTGGAGGAGTGAGAACTCGTCAGGACCTGGTGAGACCAGCTGTGATGGGAGTGATGCCGTACGATGGAGAAGATGCCAAGTGCTTCCGAGGGGAGAACAATGCAAAGACAACCCGATGCGGTCGCTCAACGTTTAACTGATTCTGCTGTCACTATTTCTGTTCGTCCTGCTCGGCTCGCCTTTTTTTCTTTTCATCATCATCATCACCGCCGGCCGAGACCTCTACTCTAGTCCAATTGATCTCGTTTTTGTTCCTCAGCCGTTTTTGGGTGTCTCAGTACTCCACCAGACTCATCGTGGGGATTGCGGAGAAGCGGAGAAACCAGGCCCGGCGAACTGTGAACTGTGGACTGGGGACGGTGAACTGGGGACTGGGGACGGCGAACTCGGGATGGTGGGTTGCTCAAGGGCCAGGGACTTCCACCCGGCACAATCAAGGCGAATGTACGCACGATACACAGGTCTGTAATACAGTCTACATACCGGTAGCGTTGTCACTTACTTACCTATCGCCTCAGCAGCAGCTATCCTCTCCTGAGTCCTCGCCCCCATCAGCTAATTATGTTCTCCTCGCCCCCCATCAGCAGCTATCCTCCGCGATACGCCCCGATAAAAACCCGGAGAGAATGCCGCGCCCACGATGTTGAAACCCTCTCGTATGTACTCACCAAATGTACCTATGTTATTATGTATGTACCTGTCCGTTTCACCGCGATCGCACGATCTAGACCGTTCAAGTTCCTTCTCGACGCACGCACGTACGATTCGTTGCCCGCCACCCATCGAATAAGCAAAATACCTACAGGCTACATACCCCGCATACCCCTGAGTATCTCTTCCGCTCCCCCTACCAATACCCCACCCTCCGACGCCCGACGCTCCGACACCCGCTGCCGGCCATGCTCCGCGTCAACGTTACCCCGATAAGCGAGGCCGCAACGGATTAACTATTCGCCTAGAGTGTGGGGAATTGTATGTACCGAGCATGCCTGTGCATAGGATGATGGATGATGGATCCTCCGAGCGCGGTGTATATGTACAAACGAATTCTCCGAGCTCAAACACTGATCGTCGACGGCGACATCGCACGATGCTGCCACCTACGAGACACATGTTACCATGTATGTACACAGGCATCGCCGTCTAACCCTCCGCAGCCCCTCGGGCTCGTGTTCACCGCGACACACGACGCGAAAAGAATCTGCCGGTGGGGCTGTACGCCAAGGTCGGCACACCTCGGCGCCCCCACGACCGCTGGAAGAATTATTCGCCTTTTTTTCCTTTCTTTTTTTCGCACAGATGGCCGGCCGGTCGCACACACACATTCACACGCACGCACACGCACGGAGGAAAGGACGAGGACGTGGACGGGGAGGGGAGCACACGATCGGATAGAACGCGCAAGATACCATATCGTAGGTACCACACCACATCAACAGGTGCGAGGAGCTGGGAGGTGGAACTTCGTTCTGCAGACCCGACCGAAGCTCGAACGGACGGACGCGCGCGACACACAAATGCCTCACTCAGGGCAGATACGAACTCCGCAGTCCAATCGAGACGGCAGCTGCAGCCAGCTAAGAAGGAGGGAGGGGAAGAAGGAGGGAGGGAGGGAGGGAAAGAAAAGAAAAGAAGAAAACGAAAACCGACGCCCGAACCGGCGCCCACGCTACATACGCTACGCCGTGTGGAGAAAGGTGAAGCGTGAAGCGTGAAGCTTTGGAAAGTCTTGGACGGCCAGTCGGTCGGACGACGGAGGCACAGAGGCTTGGACGACGTCATTAGAACCAACTAAGTAACCTAAGCCTTTGGTGCCGAAGAAGATCATCGCTCGAACCCACAGTTGCACATCCCCAGCCACCCGGAAAAATGCCCGTCGGAAAAACCTTCTGCCGAACAACGCCCCTGCCGCAAAGCTTGTTTCCCCACGATACCGCTCGGTTGTCGGCGAACCCACCCTCTGTGCGGAGTGCAGTCTGGAGTCACTATGTACCGAATGTATATTCATAGTTACATACATACATCCAGCACGCAGGGCGACACGTTGGGGGAAGGTGAAGTCCACGACTGCTGTCAAACGCGACGAAACGTCGAGGGGGCAAGGCATGGTTCCCCCGTCCCTTTTTTTCGCGTTCCCTTACGAACCGCTGACCAAGTCGGTCATCGCGCCGGATTTGGGGGTAAATTATGCTTACCATGGACCCACCTGGCATCTCCTGCCCTGCTTTACCGGTTCCCCGACTGAGAAGGAAGCTTGTCTGGTTCGGTTGCTCCGTAACGATGCCAAGCGCGAGGCGCGGGTGGGGAAGAGGAGGGGACGAGGGGACGAAGGGACGAGGGGACTAGGGGAGGAGAGACGGACGCTGCTCAAAGTTCCGACCCTGCAAGTTGAGGGTGCACCATGTCTGTATGTACTATGAATTTGCAGGGTCGGAACTTTACCTAGCACACTTGGGGCGGCCGAAGGGCGACATCGGTGGCATGACATGTTCTGTCTGGTCGCGTCAGGAAAGGCAACTATATACTCCACATACCTACCTTCGTACGTGCTTGTGAACGACACGAGCACAACTAAAACACTTCCGCCGCCTTCGCCTTCGGGGCACCTCGTCGGTGGTGTGGGAAATAAGGAACAAAATTCCCTCGGGAGGTTGGTTGGGGGGTCGGGGAGAGATGTAGAAATCCGCAGATGATCGTCGGTTACAAGTTCGGTAACTCGGTAACTTCCACCCACACACACCAGACCAGCCAGGCAGGCAGGGGCGGGCGCGCGGGCGTCGACGATCATCTTGTGAGAGGAGTGAGTTCGGATTACTGCAAGCGGAGGAGTATCATCATCACGTTTCGTTTATCCAGTGGGTGTGCACGTCATAGGCGTACATGCGAGTCCACCTTCCCGCATGGGCTGCTTTGCAAGAGCTTGGCAACGGGGTGATGGGGGGATCGACAATCGACTGCCCTCTTGGAGTGGATGATCAACCCCCCAACCCAACCCCCGGTGAGAAGGGAGTGAGAAAACACGAGACACATAGCACAGCACAGCACACAGCACGGCACAGCAGAATGAATGCATGTGAGATCCCGGCGGCGCGAGGCCGGACGTGAGGGTGGGTGGGTGGGTGTGTAGGTAGGGGGGGAACGCTGGTAGTGAGTAGTAAGTAGGGGGAGAGCCGGGTGGAGAACGGGTGGAGAGCAGGAGAGGGGGGATGGGATGGCGGGTTTCGGCATCGCGGACGGGAAACGGGAGTGGAGAATACTACCTACCTAGGTAGCCACGAGTTTTCCGAGGACACCCATTTCGCCAGACAGAGGTAATTGGACGCTGCTGCACGCGCGCACCGACGACGCACCGACGCACCGACGCAACGTCAAAGTTCATGTGCATCCGTGTATGCTGCGTGGGGATTTTCCGGGGCTACATACCTTTAGCCCAATCCATCACACGTGAAATCGCATGAACGGAGAATCCGGACGTCGGGTCTAGTGTTACCGACCGACTGACTGACCGACTGACTGGCTGACTGACTGACTGCCGGCGATGGATGCGTGTAGTGGGTCACACACCGTAGCTGTCGGCGCCCACGCATCGAATCGAATCAATCGATAGCGCATGGGAATGCGCATGGGTATATGTTCCGCGCATGGAGCGTGCTGCGTGTGTGCGAGACGCTGATCTTTGCCCGAGGTTGGTGGTTTGCTGGGTGGTTATAAAGGTATTCCGTGCCCCACGTTGTTCCCCTCTCTGTCTGTCCGTTCGAAGAAGAAGAAGACGAAGAAGACGAAAAGGAAGAAAAAGACCGTTGACTATCACCTACAGCCGCGGATCCATACGGGATAGCCACATCCTCCACGACACAAGAGACACTTCGACTTCACGACAGACGGTCAATCGATATGCAGCCTCACTTGGGGCTTCGGGGGAAGAAGCTCGGCTTCTTCCTGTCCACGATATGCACCACTGGTATGGTTTCACCGACTGGACTATCGGCTGGGCAGTTGGGCTATTCGGAAGCTGACAAGTCTCGCAGGATTTTTACTGTTCGGATACGACCAGGGAGTCATGTCCGGCCTGATCACGGCGCCGGAGTTCAACAAGACGATACCGGAAACTTGTAATTACCCCCCCTCGTTCTCGGTTGCGTGTTCGTTCGCGGCAACTGACGAGTCGGTGTGTTTGCGCAGATGGCGACTCGACTATGCAGGGCTTGGTCACGGCCATCTACGAAGTCGGGTGTCTGGCTGGTGCGGTGCTCGTGCTGTTTATCGGAGAGAAGATTGGTCGCAAGAGATCAATCATCACTGGCGCGGCTATCATGGTTCTCGGTGTTCTCATTCAGGCGTTGACGTTTGAAGGGCATGCTCCGCTGGTAAGGCGATTCCCTCCCCTGTCCGTGTGGACACAAGTAGGCTTACACAGAAGAACAGGCACAATTCATCATCGGTAGAATCGTTATGGGAGTGGGCAACGGAATGAACACGTCGAGTATTCCGGCATACCAGGCCGAGACGGCGCAGTCCAAGAACCGTGGAATTCTGATCTGTATCCAAGGAGGATCGATCGCGTTCGGAACGCTGATCTCCTACTGGTGAGACATCCTCTCGTCCGACAGTGTCATACACACAGAAACTGATGGCTCGCAGGCTGAACTACGGAGTCTCCTTCACTGGCACGGACATGGTCTGGCGATTCCCGATCGCCTTCCAGCTGGTGTTTGCCGTCATCATCATCGGCGGCATGCTGGTGCTCCCCGAGTCTCCCCGATGGCTCCTCGCTCGCGACCGCGACGCAGAAGGAACCGCCGTCATCTCGGCGCTCCACGACCAGCCCATCGACTCGCAGGTGGTCCTGCTCGAGAAGCGCATCATCATGGACTCGCTCCTGGCCGCCGGACAGATCGGCGTAAAGCCGAAGATGTCCGACATGCTGACCAACGGCAAGACGCAGCATCTGCGCCGCGTCATCCTCGGAGCGTCATCGCAGATCATGCAGCAGATTGGTGGCTGCAATGCCGTTATCTACTACTTCCCCATCTTGATGCAGCAGTCGCTCGGCCAGACCCGCCAGATGTCGCTGATTCTCGGCGGTGTCAACATGATCGTCTACAGTATCTTTGCTACCTTCTCCTGGTTCGTCATCGAGAAGATGGGACGTCGTAAGCTCTTCCTCGCTGGTACCATCGGACAGATGGTCAGCATGACCATCACCTTCTCCTGCCTGATCCCGGGCACTCCCGAAGCGGCCAAGGGCGCCGCCGTCGGACTATTCCTGTACATCGCATCCTTCGGCGCCACCTGGCTACCACTCCCATGGCTCTACCCCGCCGAGATCAACCCGCTTCGCACGCGCGGCAAGGCGAACGCCGTGAGCACGATCAACAACTGGCTGTTCAACTTCGCGGTGGTGATGGTAACACCCATCATGATCGACAAGATCGGCTGGGGGACATACCTCGTGTTCGCAAGCCTCAACGCCTCGTTCCTGCCGTTCATCTACTTCTTCTACCCGGAGACGAAGAACCGCTCGCTCGAGGAGCTGGACATCGTCTTTGCCAAGGGCTACACTGAGGGAATCTCCTACGTCAAGGCATCCAAGGAACTGCCAATCCTCACGCAGGCACAGATCGAGGAGTACGCGGTACAGTACGGTCTCGTCAGCGATGCGGACGATGTTGGCGAGAAGACCGGCCTCGGGTTCGGTACGCCGGAAGAGCGCGTCGAGAATGTGAGGCAGTAGATACTGGATAGAGCGCGCGCGCGTGCGGTATAGTGATGGATCATGATTTTTCTTTGTTTCTGGTGAGGACGGGGCGGGGCCTAGGGTGTGGGGTGTGCGCGGGTGAGGTTGTACATAATAGTAGACTACCTTGAGTAGACGAAGACGGGGACGATGAATCCTATGAAATAAAAAACTTGAGTGCTCCTCCAATTTTACACATGTATCGATTTCGTGGGGTGGAGTGAAACACGTGAACGTACCACCGTATGATGGAAACAGATGGAAACCGCTCATTGCGACCCAGCTATGGCTATGATGACGCAAATGAAGAACACATCCACCGCCGCGGGTGATATCCCGTGATGTCGCGTGCTGCTACTCTACAGTAGGTGCCAGTACCTCAGACTCCTCGTAGGTAGTCGGAGCGGAGCGGTGGTAGTCGGAACACGCAGCGTGGCTCTGAAAACACCAGCCCGCCCCGCCCCGCCAGAAGCCCTACGCCAGAAGCCAGAAGCCAGAAGCCCAAAGCCAGAAACTAGAAGCCAAAAACGCATAACGCAGACACAATCTGACGGATGGGTGCGCAAACCTCGACGGGGCACGAACGCCGCACGCCACATGATGCTCAATGCACGATGCACGCTGCACTCCGCATTCCGAGTAGAGTACATACACACAAAGAAAGTACATATGTTCTATGCCAATGGGCAGAGCTAGCCATCATACATATCCTCATGTACGGTATGCCAGCACCCCACCGGCGACAGCACGACCGCGTCTGTACTACCATAGCAGCCGCGGCGGCAGTCACGCTTCTTGCGCGGACGTGCAAGCCCTCCTCTCTGCAATGCCGATGCCCCGCTGCCCCGCTGGCTGGAAACCTTTGTCGCAGCCACGCTCTGAGGTTCACAACGTATCACTCGCGCATGCTTTGCATCGACGGGATTTTCGGCTACATCGGTCTGCCTCTATAGTAGACTTGCTTTCCTCCACTGCTGTGCGCAGGCTGATACCAAGGGCTGATGGGGAAGATGCAAGAAGGTGGGGTGTCCTAGTGGGAGTGAGAGCTGGGGGAGCCGGAAGAGCGGAAGAGATGGAAGAGAGGGAAGAGAGGGAAGAGAGGGAGGTTCTGCGGCGGCTCTAGGCTCGAGGGAAAAATTATAAGCATAATTGTGGCATTCACTTATCATCGGGTTGGTTGCCGCTATGCATTCTGTGGGTGATCCGGCATACTAATATCTATTTCCTGCTTCACTTCCCTGGGGAGGCGTCGTCTACCTGCTACACAGTATCTCACTCCGAACGATGAGCACACGGAGCCTCGCCAGCCACGGCAGCCCTTTTCCGAGTATTTTCGAGACAAGACGATACGGGCTGCGAGTAAGTCGTGAAAGTAGCGAGGTATTGAAAACCCACAGAAACAAAAATTCAGACAATAAAATACACACAAAAACTCATGCAACACGCAACAAAAACCATGAAACCCATAAACAATCCTTTTCGGTATCCTTTTCGTCCTGTTTCTTGGGCTCACATTATTTCCATAAGCTGAGATTTTCATCTAGGCCCGCCGTCCGTGTGCCTTCCGCCATTTCGTTCCCTTCCGCTGGCATTTCGTTCCCTCCCGCCATTTCGTTCCCCCACTGATCCTCCTGTACTACTCCCACCAGGTGCTCTCCTATACACCTCCGCCCTTAAAGCCGTCATATGCCGCCCTCCCGCCGCTTCGAGTCCGCCGCTCGCCATCGTAACTTCGAAATGACTTTCGAAAGCCGACACGTTTGTCACGACGTACCTAGAATTAGAAAGCTGAAAGGTTTAGCTTTAGTACGTCCACATCTGGGGACTCATTCCAGTGACAAAGCTTGCGTGTAAACTGAACATACCTCACTGAGCGCGTTTATAATGGAACAACAGGGGCTAATCGGAGTCATCAACTGCCTGCGCAGGCACGATCGAGGCATTGCCGGAACTACGTTTCCAATCCAAGATGTTGGTCACACTTGCTATTGCCCTAAGAGTAGTGGGATGCTCGTGTCCGAGTACCTTCTCATAGCCGTCAATTACCCGCTGATACCACACCAACGCCTTGTCACGATCCCCCTGCACGGTAAACAAGGCGGCCATGTCTCTGGCGGTGTCGAGAGTGTCTGGATGGTCTTTTCCAAGGGTCTTCTCCTTGCTGTCAAGCGCCCGCTGATACCACATCAACGCCTTGCCATAATCTCCCCACGAGGTAAACAACAGAGCCATGTCTGTAACGGTGCCGAGAGTGTCTAGGTGATCGTTTCCGAGGATCTTCTCCTTGCCCTCAAGCGCCCGCTGATACCACACCAGCGCCTTGTCACGATCCCCATGGAAGGTAAACACATCGGCCATGTCGTGGACGGTGTCGAGAGTGTCCCGATGGTCCTTTCCGAGGGTCTTCTCTCTGCCGTCAAGCGCCCACTGATACCACACCAGCGCCTTGCCATAGTTCCCCTGCGATGTAAACACGCAGGCCATGTCGCTGACGGTGCGGAGAGTGTCTGGATGATCTTTTCCGTGGATCTTCTCTCTGCTGTCAAGCGCCCACTGATACCACTCCAACGCCTTGCCATGATTCCCTTGCGAGGTAAACATGTCGGCCATGTCTGTGACGGTGTCGAGAGTGTCTGCATGATCTTTTCCGAGGATCTTCTCCTTGCCCTCAAGCGCCCGCTGATAAAACAATGACGCCTTGTCATAATCCCGCTGTAATTTAAACACCCCAGCCATGTCTGTAATAGTGTTGAGAGTGTGTAGGTGATCTTTTCCGAGGGCCTTCTCTCTGCCGTCAAGCGCCCGCTGATACCACACCAACGCCTTGTCATAATCCGCCAAGTACAAAAACCCTATGGCCATGTAGCTGACGATTCTGAGAGTGTCTGGGTGTTCTTTTCCGAGGGTGTTCTCCCATAAGTCAAGCTGCTTTTGGAGCCCGACTAAAGCACCGGGAAAATCCCCTTTGTCTAACATAAAAAGGCTTAAAAGTATTTTTAAGTTGCGAGGAGGATTACTAATGGTGGCATTCCCGTCGTGGCTCACTACGGCCGCTGCGTGGGGGAAAAGGTATAAGCACCGTGCGTAATTTCCAAACATATCATGTGGGAAATTGTTGCTCAACATCTCAGAAATGATTTTTAGAAGATGATTTCTCCGATGTGGGTCATCGGAATCCATTTTTGTCCGGATGTATAATCCGACAAGGCGGTGTAGACGAAAACTTGGGCTTTCGAGTTTGTAGATCAGGGCAAAGGAGATAAGTGGACCAAAGGCTTTTTTGAATCGTACGTCACTTTGGTTGCTGAGGAATGGTAGACCTCTCAGTAATTCTTCGGATATGTCGTCTGAACTGAGAAAGCTCATATATTCCAGCAACTTCACCGAATCAGGGCTCGTATCCTGGATTTTACTAAAGGTGAGTCTCCACGTTGTCATCACCGCGCGCGACTCCGGTCTGCGGTCCAGATTTGTCGACGGTAATTGCTCCTCCAACAGCTCCCGTTGATTGCGCTCACATTCCTTGAACATCTCCATGTAGGCCAGAACTCCTACCCTGGTAACTCGTATAAATGCAGCCGCCTGTTCTATTGCTAGAGGCAACTTCTCCAAATGGCTCAGAAGCTCGAAAATATGGTGCGAGGGGGCTTCATCGATAGACAAGAGTTTTGAGAACATCTCAACTCCTTCCGCTTCGGTCATCGCATTAATATCCACGCCAGCATCTGGGGGGACGTATGCACGGTTTAGGACGATCGCTCCATCGCGTGTTCCGTATAAGATCGCTCCACGTTGTATTGGAAGATATTTCTCGGGGTACGAGTCGATGTCGTCGAAATTGTCGATGATCATAATCCAGTTACCGCTGGCCGGACTGTCTAGCCACTTCTTGACCTCCCCCAACCCTTGCCTCGAAGGCTCGCCTCGAGTCGTTCCGTGCCCATCAATAGCTTGTTTTTGATGCCCATCGTCACTCAAAACACCCGCTTCCTTTCCCAACTCCAGATAACTCATGTTGAAGGCTTCGTGAGATTCCCCGTGTATCCAGAAGATGTGATCGCCTGGTTGTGCTTTCTTCCACCGGCGACAGAACTCGATTGCAATTGTCGTTTTCCTGGAAGGTATTAGCACCAGTTCGACACTAGATGACAACGCTCCCTAAACGTGGAGTCATACCCAACTCCTCCGAGTCCATGCATTGCAGCACGCCGTGGCCTTTCACCGTCGGGGCTTAGTAGATTTTCGAGCCGGCTCAGTACCTCCTCTCTCCCAACGAAACATGAATTCGCCCACGAGGGGGCCATGAATATAGGCTCCTTAGGTACTACACTACCTCGTCAGTATCGGTACCGGGAACAGTCGCAATACTTAGGAAAGCCAAGAAAGGAAAGACTTGATGCATATCCTCTCCTCGCTCCTCTTGCCCATCCCGCGGCTCAAACGTCAATGCATTTGCAGTCCACATACCTTCGTGTTTCCGTGGTGGCGTTTCAACTTTCGGTACTCGAGCTTCGACAATGCCTGGAGCTTTCGCGACACACTGCGAGAGTCTCTCTCTTATTATGCTGTAGCGATGGTCGAAGGGATCGGTGAATTTCACCATGCTTAAGTGGTCGGCATCGATCCCTAGCTGCATGTGGATCGGATCGGTGGGTAGAGCGTACGTTGCTGAGTCCTGTGTGACAACCCGTATCATTTCGCCTGTTATCCAACGTCCCGTTCGGGGGTCCACGATCACAGCTTGGGTGTCCCTGAGCTCATAACACGACGTTATCTGGCAGCCTTCGAGCTGGACGGATTGTGTGAAACGTTGATACGCCTGTCGTAGGAGTTCCGAGCCTTCTCTCAGGTCATTGACGAAGTATTCATTATTCTGGTCTTGCACCAGCGTCCGTAGATTCCTGATATTAAGTCCTCGATTGGGAACGCCGAAGAAAAAGAGACCAGTGCACGAGCGCAAGATGGCTTTATCTTTTTCGTACTCTTCTTTCTGCTGGGATGCATCTGCGAGTGCCTAGGTAATATCGGTAGTTGGTAAGAATCAAGGGCGCCAATGAGAAGTGGGAATGATGTTGCCCCACCTGTTTGATGATCAAACCACCGATGCTATGGCCTATGAAAATGAGGGGACGGTGCCGCTCCTGAGATCATTTGTCAACCGGCGGATTCCACAACACATACATGTGTACCCCTGCTGTTCACTTACATTGTCACCTGTACGCTCACCGCTCAGGCTGTCAAACAGCGCTCGCGCGTAGTCCTGAATGGAAGGAGTAGCGGTGGTGTCGATGAGGCCCGAGTCATAGCCAAAGGTCAGAATCCGCACGCTCTGACCTCGTGTTTCCAGATCTGATGGCAAAAAGTCCCGTAGCCACATCCACGGTCCGCCGGGCGAGGTCCATGACTCGTATGCATGTCCGGCGAGGCCTGTGACGGCAACAATACTAGAAATACTGATCAGCTCTACCGAATATTGTATGTAGTGTACGCTGAGGGGGCAGCGAAGTGGGCATTACTCCACCGTGGGCTCTTCTGCGCAATACAACGGCGTCATCCCGAGAAAGACACAGTCAACGACTAGGCTCATGGTCGATCCTGGGTGTTGAAGGTAGATTCTGTTGCCTGGAGTGCATCCAGAAAGTCCCGTGGTCTCCCCTTCCGTAAGAGTAACCGTCGCTACCGCGTAATCCTTTGAAGGAACCATCGATAGTCCAAAACCATGATATCCGATTAGTTCCTGAAGATAGACTTCAAAATCATCCTTCGATACTGTCAGCGGGATCCCGGAGATCCGCAGTGTTCGAGCTGGAGTCTGTGGGGGCGACGCAGACCGTCGCGCCGGCGACGGTAGCCTTTGCTCGTGATGGTCTAGTTTCTGGCGTTTTGGCATCGCAGTAACTGATTATTGCCGATATCGTGCTTCTGGCGGCAGCCGCGTATCACCGATACACGCACCTCTGCAGCCCACCTCTCCACGGAACCGTTCTGCTGGCGAGTCGACGGCTACTATAGAGATGTGGCTAGTAAGTTTGGACGGTGCAACAAGGCGGCGACGGTTCTTCGAGATCGGGAATGCTGTAGTTATGATGGGTATGCTGGCAGCTGGAGTACTCGTGTACGTGCCGAGGCGGCTATATATGTAGTCACGACGTGTGCGGGGCCCGGGCAATCTAAGCGAGATTCCGGGGGGCTCTTAATGGGGGACTGCGCGCGTCGGCACGTGACCTTCTGGCATCACCACCACCCATTGGCCATGATCATCGAAAAATTCACAAGGCCTACCAATGCTCACGGTAGCGTACGTTATCATCTAGATACCTGACAGACTGGAAGTTACCCGACATAATGCACATCCTCGCATCGACGAAACTAGTCTGTGTGGCGTGGTGCGCACAGCAGACTGGAGGCCTGTCGACGATCAGAAATTACCAGATGTGACGTTGGAAACGTCAGGACTTTGGAGTCTGTTCAGTGTTCTACGTAGACCAGACCGGTCGGCCGACCGGTCTGGTCGGTCGGGAAATATCCAGATCCGACCGTGGCTTTGGTTGGTCGGGATGAAATTAAGTAGACCCGATCTAGGCTTTGGTAGGTCGGGATATATCCCGACCGACCAGACCTTGCCAGGCTCGGTCGGCTCAGGTCGGCCGACGTCGGATTAACTGTTAACTCTATCAGCCGCAAAATTTTCCTCAGTTTCCGGCAGTAGTTAGAGCGTTTCCGACGTCAAATGTTGTTTCTTAGCCAGGCTTATCCCGACCTATGCGCGGTCGGTTGGGATATTTCCCGGCCCGACCTGATAAATCTATGTTCTGGACATATCCCGACCCAACCAGACCTGAAATTTTTGGGTCGGGATATATGCCGATCCGACCAGACCGTACCTAAATGTGGTCGGGACTGGTCTATGTAGAACATTGGCTGCCGGAGGTCAACGATATTATGTACTGCTGTAGCGTTATCGTCGACGTAAGGCTGCATCTCTACTACTGCAGACTCTGGAGTCTGTGAGGTTTCAGCATGGACCGTACTCTCCAAGCAACGATCATCGGGGAAATCCGATTTTGCGTTGTGTTTGTAGACCCCTCCCAACGCATGCAACTCTGCTAACGTAGCCTGACTCGTGCTTAAACTGTTCTTTATCTTCTAATGTTATTGGTGCGACTGATGGGATTTTGCTTTTTTTAGGCAGTGCGACCACATCATTCCAGAATGACAATGCGCACAGCAGCCCGTGACTGGAATTCATTCTCCATCAAACGACAAGTCACCGCCAAGTGGTGGAATCGATTCGTGAGGCTGAGCCCCTCGCAATGAAAATCACCCTCAGCTGCAGTATAATTCCTGCGTTCCCCCTAGGTACTTCAGCGATTGCCATCTCCTGATTCATTCTCACCGATATCTATTGCACGACCGACTACTACAAGTTCCAACTCACCAAATACACGGCCGTCTCCGCCCCACCATGATCACCTACTCCCTCAAACCATCGCCGTGGAGGTGGTGTCTTGCGATTGCGCTTCTTTTCGGCAGTCTTGCAACGTCAGTCATCGGCGGCCCGCTTATGAACCTGACTGTCACGGTTCCCAGTGGCTCGACCACCTATGGCCGCCCCGGCTTGATCTGTGTTCCGACCGATTGGAAGGATATCGTGCAATTGTGAGCCACTGCTATCATACTAACAAGATCTGTTGGGAGAATCGCTAAAAAACAGCCCGAAAGCCTCTTGTTGAACTATGTGTCCCACGTCGCCTCCCTCAGATTCGGCCCCTGGCAGTCCTTCACATCATCGCTATTCAGCTGCCTGGTCTCACTGTGCTCTCCCTTCTACGGTATAATTATGAACTTGGACGTACTTTTCCGCTGCGCGATCTCCTCGAAGGATCCGCTGGAAAGAGCAGCACTGGCTGAAGCTCTGTGTGTCGTCTGCCGCAATGACAAGTGGAGACCATCCGATGGCCAAGTAATCGAGAACGCAAGGTTGATAGTGTCTAACAGGTAATGCACCTAGGGTCAGGCTCTGATGATGGGGTGGGGAGGTGGGGCAGTGTGGGGCTCTGTTAACTGGAAGTTTGCCATGCAGTGCATCTACCGGAAACACGGTAACCTTCAAGGTAGCGCATAACAATAGATACCGGGACGTGGCGGTGGTGGCCCGGGTCGGTAATAATGTCCACGGCGTTTGCGAGCTACCAGAGGGCTATGCACTGATATGCATTCACCGTGCTACCGTTATCCCGACCGGCGAGACGACAAGCAACAAGATCACTCTATCTTCCGAGTACAACATTCCGAAGATCATTGCAGCAATATTTCAGACGGTATTCGGATCATTTACGCTGTATCGAGCCCGCGGAATTCAGGTATTCGACTCTCCGCCATCGAGATGCAGAGACGTCGACTGACTTTCGTCTACTACTAGGTGGATCGTTATGGCTACGCAGCTTTCGGCCTCACCGTCTTCCCATATATCCTCATGTCCTTGGTCAACTTGGCTATCCACCTTGTCACTCCGAGCTACCCATCAATTTATCTCGTCCATTCTCCGGAAATGGACGAGGCAAGGGACCGCGGGGGCATCTTTGAGGGCTACATTGGAAAGGTGATTCCCAGGCTCTACATGCATGCCGGCGAGGCTCTGGGAGGCGAATGTTCCGGGAAATTCAAACTTGACAAAGCTGGCAACCCATCCGGGCGGTTTATCTTCCGCGTCCACGGCGCAGCGTCTTGCGCTAGCACTGGAGACAGCAATGACGACGCATCGATACCTCTTGCAGCCCTATCGACGGAAGGCAGCCTAAAGGACTCCGATGCCATATGGACCGAGGAAATCGATCCTACCACCGACGCGGCCGCCATCCTGTTAGTTCCTATGACATCACCCTTTGAAGTCGGAGAAGGTCGACGATTCTGGGGGGAGATGAGAAACGCAGCTCCGTTAAGAATAGTGGCACTTATAATGATGATCCTCTGCTTCCTTCCCATGCTTCTCCTTACCCGTTTCGAGAAACGAGAAAGCACAGTTCCACAGCGCTTTTGGACCTTGTTCTGGCTCACCTTCAATGCTTTGTGGATTGTTTCAAGCATAATTTGGAGTAGGTGGTGGATCATAGCGGTGGTATTTTTCATTTCCCCAGTTGCGTTTATCGGGGGATTGACAGTGGTCTGTCAGATGCTGGAAGAGCATGGCTCCTGTATCCGAGTCTGATTCTCCTTTGAAGTGGGGGCGGAGGCCGGTGTGGCGATTCGTATATTTTTCAATTTTTCAATTTATTTATTTTGGTTCAGAAGAGTATCAGTAGCTCGGAAGTCCCTGGATAGTATAAATGCGACTTGGTGTTTCCAACTGCGTTAAGGTTCCCGGTGAAAGACGCGACAAATCGGGCTGTTTGCGACAATTCTGCAACCCCACTTTCACTGTTCCAACGATCAAGATAAACCATTCACACTATATGGATATCATATCTATAGTCATGTTGTTTTTACAACACAAAATCAAACCCTTCCCCTACCCCTCACCACCGTCCCGCTCCCCACCTTTCCCGGATGTAGGTATAATACTGGGTACCGGTACTGCCTACAGTGCGGACATCCCATCACTTGATTAAGTCAAGAGTCAATAAAAAAAGTCTCGTGTGCCAAGAATTCTACAACCCCAATTCTATTCTCCATCCTCGCAGTCTATCAGCTCCACCACACATCAGCCACCCAGTAATTTTATACAGCAACTACACTAACTACCACCTCACCCCATTATTCTAGCAGCATCCCCATTGCGCATCTAAAGCAGCTCGGCCTCTCCGGGGATCAAGGTCCCGTTCTGAGTGGCGTAACCGTGCCCGCGGGCGAGATAGCCGTAGGCAGGAAGGTACCTATTGAGTTTGGTCAGAACTGCGGGGACAGTAATGGTGGGGGAGGGGACTCACTGGTCGAAGAAGGGCAGGACGGTGGCCGCGCCAGGGGTGCTCCTCCAGTCACGCATCAGCTCGAGCGCGATAGCGAACATGCCCGTGGTGGTGACGCCGGCGTCGCGCATGCGCGCATTCGCCTCGTCCGCGATGCGCTTGTTGAACGTGCCCGAGGCGTCGGTGTTGGCCCAGACCTCGTAGCCGGCCTCGCGGAGGGACAGGGCGAGGAACGTAGTGCAGACCTGTGGGGGGTCAGCATTCGGATCGGTAGGCACGGGTAGCAAGCGGGAGAAGACTCACGTCGGTGGTGATGCCGGCGAGGATCACTTGGCTCTTGCCCGTGGCCTTGACGGCGGCGCGGAACTCGGCGTTGTCCCAGGCGTTGACCTCGCCGTGGCGCATCACGAGCGGCGCGTTCGGGTGCATCGCGATGATCTCCTTGGGCAGCGGGCCGTTGGGGCCGTCTTGGGCGCTGGTGGTCAGGATCGTCGGGATGTCGAACAGCGGCCCGATCGCGGAGTGTGCGAGCGCGTGGTTGCGGTACTCCTCGGGGGAGGTGTCGCGCGCCATCTGGAATAGTCCCACTTGGATGTCGACCACTAGGAGCATCGTGTCGTTCTTGTTCAGGCGCTTGTAGACAAAGTCTGGGGGGGGTGTGTTAGCCTGGGTAAGGAGAGGAAGGGGCCCAGGAGGCGGTGGAGTGGTATGTTCATACCTTTGCCTTCAACTGCGGCGATGGCAGAGAGCGAAAGGAGTGCGACGAGGAACTTCATTTTGAGGAATTTGGAATTAAGATTGAATGTGCTTTGCTTGTGGTGAGAGGAGCTGGTAGTGAGCAGGTGGATGATGAAGGAATTGGACTGGAGCGAGAGAGGCGGGTCTTATACCTCGAAGTCCAAAGCCCAAGATACTCACACGGAGTAGTAGTCCTAGTCTGCATGGTACTCGTATTGCCACCCCCCCCCCTCTCCCCCCCCCGCCCAACTGTATTAACCTCTCCCGAGGGGCCGGGAGTTGTGGGACCGTTGCATCTCAGGGATCACTCAACACTCTGTGGGTCGTTTGGCTGCGGGGGTGGGGGCGGCCTAAACGCCGTAATCTGGAATTCGGGAATCCTTAAAAACTGCCGCTCAGTTCATGCAATGATCATAAGCACGCAGCTCGTAGGCCTCGGGCCTTCCTACCAGCGGTACAATGGTACATAGCAATCCAATAGGTAATGCTCTTCTGTTTGAAGGATTGCTGGCTGGCTGGATGTCAGACACGTGCCGCACAGTTCCCCGTACTTTCTAGGTATCTGCATTGCAGCGTCCTGGAAGGGACTCCGGGGGTCTCGAGTCAGTCTAGCTACCGTCATTCTTTCCATAAAGGAACACATCCAAGGTTTGCCGCACGTGCATGCGGAAGGGCACATGGATGGTAGAATACCAATCATCCAGGGAGCCCATTGTTGAGTCTCGACTCTCAATCCCGCCCCCTTCCGCAGTGAGGCGTAGGAGAAAAACCTCCCGAAGGGACCCATCTAAAGCGGTTTTCTCTGATGAATGTCGACAAAGTCGCTTAGTGGGCCATTCCTATTTCCGACTGAGCCCAGCGGATAATCCTGCCCGCAGGCTATGTACGTACAGCAGATGGATTGCTCCGATTATTCCGTATAGCCGGTATGCTTACTCCGCGCCCCCGGCCGACGGGCACAGCGAATCATTCGCCCCTCCATCTCGGCGACTGATTGGTCGGATAAGCGATTCGCTTCGTATCCCCGACGACCGACGACCGACGGCGTTTGGTGCGGCGTTTGGAGGCGTGGTCGAAGCGACCGGCGTTAGTTAGTTAGCTTCTAAAATCTCATGCCGCTCGTATATATGTGGCCATACAGAAGTAAGAGGTAAGTTCCCCACTAGCACACGGTGAACCTGGTACTCTCCGGTCCAGGCCCGTGTATGCCCGGGACCGAATATTTGTCACTTTGTTCCAATCATGATTCATGTGCCGAATGTCAGTTCACTTGACGGATATACTTAAAATTGTGGCGAGTTGGGTATTTTTGTTTCATACCGTTACGTTTCTATACCCGCGACTAGAGAGTCGCTACGCCACCGGCTCATCCAGATACCTAGCTCGCGATGTCGCGTTAGGCACACGGGCAATGCTTATCACTCCTTACTTCATCATCAAAGCTTAATCGAACGGATGGCTTGCTAGAGTTGATGCACATATCTTTCCAACTTGCATGGACCAAGCGCAATTTCGGATGAAACCAAAGATCATCGGCCTCACAGTATTGTTTTTGTGAAAATATTCATCAATCTGAGAGCTAGTGAGGTGAACCCCACATAGAGGACCGACAGTGGTATGTGCATTGTACACCTTCCTCCCGCGGGACATGGGCATCGTGCCCCAGTTCTCCCTACCCGACCGACCGACCGACCGATATTTTCGGTGATACCGGTATGTGTGCTCACCCGGCGGCGGCTGAGTTCCTGGCCAGTACTCTAGACCGCGAGAAAAATTCCGTCGTCGTGCTTACTACTATATCTACATTTTGCTTGCTCACCAAGCCTTCCTCGTTTGTAAGATCACCATAAGCACTGCTCGGATAAGACTAGCACTTAGTTACTAGCGTAAGTGGGCACATTTCTGCCGTCCTGTATGTAAGTAAGTTCTTATATATGATGACTTTCCCACGGGGTGATTACGGTCCTATCCGCAGGAACCCGTCACGCTTATGAGATCGATTCGGCACGTCAAGTAGGTCGGGTCTTAGATCTCGCTAGCACTGGTAGGTACGTGCATGATAGATTGCCTGCAAAATCTTTTCCGTGGCGACCGCAGTCTGTAGTAAAATCATGGTCGATAGCTGAGGAATTTAGTGCCGTGACAGTGCGGTGAATAATCCTTCTGGAACAGAGTTGGCTATGTGGAACACCGAGCGGCCCACGGTCAGTACTGTAGTACCTACTCTATTGATGTGACAACTGATCAGCCGCCACAGACGGCACCGCCACAATAGCACCGCCACAGTGGGTGATATCCGGTACAATCCCAGACAGCTTACAGGTCGACGTCCTCACAGCAGACAGACGCCCGGATACCGGTTCAACGGGGACGTCTGCGGGAGCTCTCCATCGCACCAATCCGCTCATCCACCAGTCCGCAGGGTGAGACGTCCGGAAACCCGCCGGAGGATGTGGCGTCTTTTGTTGCACCCAAACTTCCATCTATGTACAAACAGGAGATTGCGTGCTTGGTAGGGCCCGTTCCTCTTTGTATGCTTTGATTTACGAGAGGCTACGTCAGTGACGGTGACGGCGGACGTTCACGTCGCCACTGCCCTGGAAACATGAAGTGTACCTGGGGCCACACATAGAAGTACATGGGCACATATGAATTTCTTGAAAGGATATTCAATCGATTGCAGTTCTCAACCCCGGCTGCTCCGACCGCTCCCATCTTCCGATCCCTCCGTCTTCTGTGCGTCCTGCGACTCCTCCGTCCGTTATCCCACATCATCCACTCACTCCCTTCTCCTCCAACTGATTTAGCCATCCCAACCTCTCTAACCCCTCCAAGCCCTGCAGATGCTTCTCTTGTCACCCCCAGCTGCCCAGGATCCCCCCGGCGCACCCGACTACCGCGACCCGTCCGACCAACCCGATGCCCCTAACTCATCCCGTCGGGTCACTGAGATTGCCCGGAACCACACACGTGTGCGAGCCTAACTTCAGCCTCCTTGAAGCAATGTTCCAACGTCGACCTTATTATTTCAGCCCTCCCGGTCATATGCCATAGCCCGGAGTCGTGGCTACATTTTTCGACGAGTATGACAACCGTATCCGTGGGAATGCTCATACAGGACATGATATTTATCACTCTCTGCGTCCCAACGATGACCGCATGTGTTCCCGGCGTCGTCCCTGTGAAGAGTATCTCCGAATCCGCACCAGCCGCACGTCCTTCACTGTCGAGGAACTCCACCGATCCCACGCCTTCCGCAGTCATCGCGGCTCGAACCCTTGCCATCGGTAGTACTACCGTTAGCGTCCCGCTATCGTCAAGAACGCCGCCGGGTGCATCCGACATGACCACGTTGATCTGAACCCCAAAAGCACTGTCGAGCTCCACAAACTTTCCATCCGCAGTTCGATGGCCGGCGCTGTCGACCGTACACGCATTCGGAAATTGCGGCGTTGGCAGCGTATTCGTAGCGGATGCGAGGATCCAGTTCGCGCGGCCGCCCTTGGCCAGAATGGCCTGCGCCAGCCCGATCGTGGCAGCTTCCCGCGTTCGATATCTGGCCGGGTCCAGCTTCACACCGAAGAGTGCCATGGTGCTGAAGACCATGTCGATGGGGCGCTTCGATGTCCGCAACAGCGCACTGCGCCATATGAAATCTTCCCTCGCGTCCACATCGTCATCACAGTGAAAGATACCCATGAGCGCGTTTACCAACAGGTCTGCGGTGGCGTTGCCGCGAAAGATGCTGACAGGGTAACTGCGAACCTTCGGATCCCCTTCGCACCGCTGATCGATCTTCCCCATTACCGATGCGATCAACATGTAGAATATAGGCATTCTAGCGCTTCTTCCTTTTTCAATCGTGAAGACTTGGGAATTACCGCTGGACATTGTGTATTCCAACTGTTCCCGGTCAAAGCGGAACACGCAGTTCGCCGACGGGGGGGCCACCGCCTCCTGCAGCGTCCACGCTCTGAGGATCCAGTTGGTTTCCTCCTCGAGCACCACCAGCCGCTGGAGACCCCCGGGGAAGATCAGACACGTCCGGCAGGCCCGGTAGATGTCGCCCATGTTCATGATCTGCCAGTCCTTGTCGTCGCGGACGGCCTGCATGATGCACAGCCGGTCGAGCCATAGGTACTCGGCGCCGAGGTCACGCGCGGCAAACGCCGCCGTGCGCAGCAGGTCGATGCTGATCGGATCGATGTCGGCGCCTTCCATCGCGCCGACTACGTGGAACGTCTCGAGACAGTCCGGAGCGCACGCATGCGCTTTCCCCTTCCACACATATGATATCGTGGCGTAGGCAATGTCGCCGATGCTGGGCTTGTCGGACTCGACGATTCGAAGGTGGAAATCGATCAATGCGGCGACTTCGATCCACCGGAACCGGCGAGGAGTCGCGCAGTGGGTGATGTCCACCGTACTGTTCGAAAGCTTGCGAAGCGGCTCATAGTAGATCTCTTTTCTTCGAGACATCGAGTTTGCGTGGTGAAGATTGAATCCCGAGTGCTTAACGGCTAAGGACGACACCACGGAAAGTGCGGCTGCGGGGTATACGCGTGTTTCTTGTGAAGCGGGGTAACGCGGGGTTCGAGAGTGCATACTAGCCCTCTCCTACTGCATATGCGTGCATACGAACCGAATCGACTCGAGGTATCATAACTTGGCCCGCATCCGGCCTCAATTGTCATGTACTGACGTACAGCCGCTGCTTGGCGTCAAAGTAGTACCTAATGATTCCTCAGCTGTACCTGACGGTATTGTACGGTATTGCGCTCCACACTAGCGGGAAATTAACAAGTCCTGAGAATACAATGCTTGTCGTTACTTCCTGAGACGGAGCGATGCTGCGATAGTGTGATATTTAGTGACTATCTAGTGTTATCTATGCTCGGGCTAAATCACCGGAAATCTGAAGCCAAACGGTATTCAACGCCGCACCACACAGCTGCCGCTGTCTTTGATCGAGATCTCCATATGTATATGGAGTAAATTTGTATGCTAGCAGGATGATCTCCGCTCTTGGCCGGCGCTAATTACCTGAGTATCCGCTTCTTCGGATGTGCCGGCGCACACAGCTGTCAATATAGTCCAATATTAAGTAACTTCTTTCGGAGGAATTGTGCAGTTGAGTTGGGGTGTAAGTGGGGGATGATATTAGTGGGATTTCCAATTTCGAACTCCAACTTCAGAAAACTCGTTTTTACAATTTCCGGGTTGGGTGGGATTACATTTTCCGAGTGTATTTTTTTCCACAACTGTGATCATGCCCGCACTCCCCACTGTTCAACGGCGGAACTGGGTGATCATTTGCGCTGGGTTGTCAGGTATTATGGTTACCAGCCGGTATTTTATCCACTGGTCGTCAGCGAGCGAGAATACGTAGCGAACGAGCAAAATTGTGAGTGGGAATGGAGAGTGGGAATAGTGGGTGAGAACGGTGAGCGATAATGGAGTGAGAGAGAAAGAGAGAGTGTGTGTGTAATCTTCAATTTATTGATAATGAGGTGAGAGAGAGAGAGAACATCAATTTGTTTCGCATGCAGCCTTACTAGACTATGGCGAACCAACGCAGTCCTTTTCCTGCCCGCCCAAGCTAGTCGAGGTGAAAGCCCCGGTATCGATGAGTCCGATGCATCGCCCCACTTCCCCTGCACATCTACCTTAGGCCGACACAAGCAAACGGAATGGAGAATGAGAATAGCGAGTGAGAATAGAGAACGAGAACATCGAGTGAGAAGAGTGAGAACAGCTAGCGACAACAGTGAATGAGAAGAGTGTCTAAGAAAGTAAGCGAGAATAGAGTTGAGAGAGTAGTGAGTGAGAACACTGAGCGAGAGAATCGAAAGGGAGAATGGCGAGCGAGAATAACGAGGAATAAAATGAGTGAGAACAATGAGCGAGAGAGAGATAGTAATGAGTAAGAATATGGAGTGAGAATAGTGAGTGAAAATAGCGAACGACTATGTTGAACGAGGATGATGAGTGAGAATGGGAACGCAAATAGCTGGTGAGAATAGCAAGTATGAATCGCGAGGGAGAATCGTGAGTGAGAATAGTGAGTGAGAATAGGAACGAGAATAGTGAGCGGGAATTGGGAGCGTAGGAGAAAGAATAGTGAGTGAGAATGATAGTTCAGTAAGAATGGAGAGGTAGAATGGTGGGTGAAGATAGTGAACGAGAATATGTAGTGAGTAAAAGTGAGAGAGAATAGCCAGCGAGAATAGTGAGCGAGAATACGGAGTATGAAAAGTGAGTGAGAAAATGAATGAAAACGGTCCGCCCGGTCGGCCGACCATTGCGCCCGGCGACGCGGTCCCATCTGGGGCGAGGAATTGCCGGACCCGGGCGGTCCTGATGAAAGGTTCCCGGAACCCGAGTGGGGCCCCGAATTTTAGTGGGAAGTCGGCTAACTAGTGTGCGAGCGGCCTCGGCTACCCGGAAACCGAGATTTGATCATTAGTTCGGTGAAAATTTTGCATGGCGACAGGAAGCCGGTGGAGAAAATCATTCTTCGGAGCTGAAAAGTCTATGCTCGTGTAGATTGCTGTGGGGAGCGATCGCCGATGAGGTTGAAGTGAGGCGACACAGTTCATACCGCTGCATCATCACCGCCACAATACGGCATCGCCACAGCCGTCAAATCTCCGGGCCCCGATGGATTATGGGACTCCAGTCCTCCTCAGGCTTGCCGGGAGAGCTGCAATCCTTCATTTTTCGGGCCCCACAGATTCGGTCCCATAACGGGCATAGCGGGCATAGCAATGGGCGGACTACACGCCTTATTCACAGACCTGGCGAGAATATTGAGTAAGGATAATGAATGAGAATAGTGAGTGAGGAACGTAAATGAGAATAGGGGGCGAGCCCGATAATTGTGAATGAGAGTGACGAGCGAGCATGGTAAGGGAGAATAGTGAATGAGAATAGTGGGCAAGAATAGTGAATGAGATTAGGGAGTGAGAACGGAGAGTGATAATAGTAAATGAAGATGGTAAGTGAGAATAGGGAGAGGGAGAATGGACATTGGATACAGTGAGAATAAGGAGGAAGAATAATGAGTGAGAACAATGAGCGAGGATAGTGAATGAGAAGAGTAAGAAAAGTAGGCGAGGATAATTGTGAGTGAGAATGGAGAGTGAGTATAGTGAATGAGAAAATTGGGTAAGAAAAGGGAGTGAAAATCGTGAGGGAGAACAGCGAGTAAGTTGCAACAACAGCGAGTGAAAATAGCAAGCGAGAATAAGGAACGACAACGACGAGTGAGAGCAGGGACGAGAATAGCCAGTGAGAATAATCAGTAAGAATAGGGAGGGAGAACAATGAGTGAGGATAGCGAGCCAAGATAGTGAGTGAGAGTACTGAGTGAGAACAATGAACGAATTCTTGAGCGAGTACAATTATGAGTGAGAATTGGGAGAGTGAGAATAGCGAAGGAGAGAGAGAGAATAGGGAGTGAGAGTATCCATGACTCGTGAGATTAGTAGGCGTGATTTCCTTCAATCCCCAAGTCTTCTTATCCACACCTAAGCTGTTCACCCATACATCCGGTACCTGCTGCCACCGTCATGCGAACCATATCATGACATCGCTGGGCATGAGCGATCGGTGAACTCCATACCGAACCGAATCGAGCCCATAGACACATTGACTGCTATAATCATGTAACCGTCACGCTTCAAAGCTTTCCGCATCCGCCGGGCCGGAAAACTTAGGCCCGCTATCAGCATGGTCAGACTCACAGGCCGGGGACAGCGTTGATAGTTCCGCCTAACGGCTGCAAGGCCGCCCGACGTTGGAACGACTCTACTGATCAAAACTACGTCGTGATGTTTGTTTCAGTACACAGAGCAATCTGATAGCCCCCTAAGCATAGACGGGGGTGTGGTTTAGTGGTATAATTCCTCTTTAGCATAGAGGCGGTCCAGGGTTCGATTCCCTGCTCCTCCAGTCTTCCTTTTGCATCTTCCATGAAGCAGATTCTTCTTTTATTTATGTTTCCAGATGTGGTGACGGTTTTCTGTCTCTACTGGATATGCGCTCGCACTTTTGTCTAGGATTTTGCGCACTGTGGAGGCCTGAGACTGGCGGTGTAACCAGTTCACCCTTTTTCGTGCTACTAGCGCCCGTTAGCGTCTAGTTATAACTCGCCGGAGAATCTTACGTAGACATATGTTCCCACGGTCTGCGGGCATGGAGCCTGAACACATGGAGTTGGGAATGGTGGGGAGAAAAGAGTGTTCGTGTGCAGGGGCATCACAGACGTCGTGGTGCCTTTGTACGTACATAATACCCCCATCAATACCGCGTTTTTTGTTTGCACATATGTACTGAGCTGTCGGAGAAACTGGTGTCTGATACTTGGCTATGTACCAGTCTACCAGAGGAACGTGTGTCTGACCAGCTAGTACTCGAAACTTTTCCTTCGCGGCAAACAATTCCAAGCCCTCTGAGTCACGCTGGCGGTTCTGGTATTCTCTGCGTATGATAGGAAAGCGGTCATTGTCGACGATATCCCGGGGCCGGTCGATTCCGCATCACAACCTCTCACCACGTTGTTGCAAGCTTCTGTTCTGCGGCGCCACCAAGAAATGTCAGAGCTGAGGTCGCACGTGAGCTATTCCAAGCACGGCCGGGAAACATGGTTTTATCCGTGGCTTTCGATTTCCTTTGTATGTGCTGGAGATGATTTCGACCGCATAATGCACCGTAAAGACACCTTCAAGGTGGTGGGCATGCATCAATTGTGCAGCCGGCAAAGCTGAGCTCAGCTGAGCTGAGCGTCGATGCGACGCGACGTAGGGTGTATAGTGTGTGAGATTTCGCTTAGGTGTAGAGGGTGGTTTCACAAGGGTAAGCACCCGGAAAATTGAGCTAAATTTCAGAGCGGAGGTGTCTGTAGACTTTCAAACTGTCCACCACACGCGGGAGACGGTCATGCACTCACAGCTGAGAACCCCGCCCATTGAGCGATACCCCCACTCCCCTCAGCTCGAAGGATGCATCTACCCCGCTCGCTCGAGGGGTACAGATACCCCGCAGTCCCCGCAATCCGTGGAGCCCACCGCGCACGCTACGGCTTCGAAGCTCAATCCTTGGACGACATATCATATTCCACCCGTTTCCTCGCCTCACGATGTCCGCAAGAAAACAGATCTACTATGAGCCGCTCCACAAGCTTTCCAAAGGCATCATTGATCTCACCGGCTGCGCAACCCCCCAGCGGTTCCGCTGGGTCGACGCCGCTGCACTAGTCGACGACAATTACCTCCGCATCGTCGAGTCCGACCAGACCGACGAGTCTGCCCTCGACGAGATCCCCTATGCGTCGATATCGTACGTGTGGAGGGGCGAGGCGCACGTGTGCGATCCCGGGTGTCTCGGGACCTTCCGCGTGGTCGGCAAGCGGGGGCCGACGGCAGATCCGATCAGCATCGACGTACTGCGGACGGCGGCGATAGCGGCGCGCGACCTCGGCGCGGCGTACCTATGGCTCGACCGGCTGTGCATCATGCAGGCCGTCCGCGACGACAAGGACTGGCAGATCATGAACATGGGCGACATCTACCGGTGCTCCACGACGTGTCTGATCTTTCCCGGCGGGGTGCAGCGGCTCGTCGCGCTCGACGAGGAGACCACGTGGATTCTCCGCGCGTGGACGCTGCAGGAGGCGGTGCTGCCGCCGCGGGCGGAGTGTGTCATCCGCTTCGAGCACATCATCGTGGAGGCGATATCATCCGGCGGCGACCCCAGCGTCTACCCGGTCGAGGCGAAGCGCAGCGGCCGGATACCGCTGCACTCGCTGCTGCAGCTGTCGATGAGCGGGCGCGTCCACCACCGCTACGAGGGCGACGCGGAGATGGGCGAGTACCCCGTGACCATCTTCGGCACGAGCACGACGGCGGTGCAGCTGCGCACCGCGCTCTTGGGGATCTGGCACTGCGGCAGCAGTGACCCCGACGGGCGCGAGAATTACATGTGGCGCAGTGCGCTGCTGCGCACCACCAGGGACGACGTCGATAACGTCTTCAGCGTCATGGGCCTGTTCGACATACGGCTGGACCCGGCGAAGTACCCGACCCGCGAGACCGCCGCCATCGGCCTGGCCCAGGCTATCCTTGCTAGGGGCGGCCGCGCGAACTGGATCATGTCCGCCAACTCGAACACGCTGCCGCTTCCGAAGTTCCCGAAAGCACAGCTAGCCGGCAGCGGCCTCGAGGGGCCCGCGGTTGAGGAACTCGAGAACTTTCATGCGTTCGGGGGAAATTTCAACGCGGTGTTGGTGGATACTCCGACAGGCTCTCTTGCCGACGATGGAACGCTGAAGATGTCGCTACCCATGGCGCGTGTTCGCGTCGTGACCTCGGAGGAGGGCGAGGAACACGTGGAGTTCCTTGATAGTGAAGGCAACCCTACTGGAGCGAAGACTGGCTTCTCAGGCGCGCCGGGAACTCATGCGCTCCTCGTCGGGAAGCTAGTAGCAGTGCACTTTGTGGCCGTGTGGCAACTTGCTACGGATACGGCGGTGGTACTGGTCGAGAAATGTGGTCGCAAAGATGGGATGTGGCATCGAACGGGCGTTACTGATGTGGAACGATCCGAGGTGGCGCATTGCTTCAAGGACGCTGCTGTGGCGTTTTCACTCAAGTGTTGTGACGATCGAGCCCAGTGATCTGGCGGGAGGGGAAAGGAGGGGAAAGGAGGAGAAGTGGGGGTCGGGAAGGTCTGGTAGGTCTCAATGGAATGTCCGCGAATAGTCTCTACCTGATAGTGCGTGTTTCTCTTGCTGTGCCGTTTCAGCATGACTTCTGTAGGCGAAATGGTGGATCGCGAAAAGGTTCCGTTCCCAGCCGCTGTACGCCGGAGGCATAACATCATGATGAAACGAGGTGGAAAAACTGACGTCTATTTCTGCCTGCCACTGCGACGAATAGTCCACTAGAGACTCATATCTACCGGTAGATATCCCATTCGGCTTCACCAACCACTTTAAACTTCAGCGAGTCTAGTGTCGTCACGTGCTGACGCATCAATCCCACAGGTCATCACCTGAGTAACGCTGACTTTGGGTAAGGCGCAGTTACATGACTGATGCTTCGCACTCACTCTAAGAGGGACGCGAAATCGGCTTCGCGTCATCGGTGAGCACGAGAGAGAAGAGACCTTGTTGAGACCTTGTATTTGGAAGGAGAGATCTTGCAATGACCTGGTGTGACCTAGATGCTATGAAGATGGGACCCGATGCAGACTAGATGCGGTCGTTGAACTTTGAATTGTTTCTGTTGTCACTAATTCTGCTCTTGCAATTCGTCTTGCTTTCTAATAATCATCGTAAACTTAGACCTCTTTTCAATTGCTCACGGGTTTGCCTCTCACCCGTTCTTGGGTCTCTCAACATCAACCTCCGAGGTGGCACACAACACCAGTCCTTGGTTAGAGCTCCACAGTCGAACACGGCGAATACCCTCCCCCCCGTTCGCCCCCCGCAACGGCAATTCCTACGCCTCCCGCCCGGATTATAAGTCGTGGCCACTCGAGCCACGGACTCCACTCCTCGCTCAGATATTCCTCCCACCGTGTCAGCTCAAACAGCGCGCTCCCCCTGACCCACCAAAACTCCTCTAGCAGCGAGAGCAGCGTGCAGTAATGCACGAAGATGACGAGAGCGCGTGGGCGACGCTGCTCGAGCAGCTCCACGAACCTGGCGGCGACAGACGTCGGCCAGCGGAAAACCGCGCTGACAACCGAGTCCCACAGGTGGATAGTAGCGAAGGACCTGCGCAGATCCGCAATGGCATTGAAGTACGCCGTCGCGACCTCCGTGTCCGCGATCTCCTCCCCGTCCGGCAGCGTGCGGTCTGTACACAGCTGGAACAACCGCTGGAACACGAGCTCGGTCGCAGGATCGAGGCGCTCCGCCGACGCGGCCGTGGCGGTGCACGTGTGCGCCGCGGAATGCTGCAGCATTGGCGAGAGCGGCCCGCTGCGCACACAGGCCTCGTCCTGGCGGAGGATGCACGACACACCGCGGAATAGAGGCACCCAGGCGGTGTACACGGGGCGACTGTGGCCGCCGAGCCGGCGTGGTGAGGTGTGCGATGCGGAGAAGGAGAAGATCGCGATTAGACTGGCGGTCGCGAAGACGGCGTCGCAGTTCGTTTCCGAGAGGTGCGCGAGGCTGCCGGATAACCCGCGCACGGCGCGCGAGAGGTGTTGCGACGCGGAAGAGAGGTAGCGCGTGCGTGCGCTGCGGTCGCGGTCTTTGGTGTGGAGGTGCATCGCGGAGACGGCGAGTACCGCGCTCATGAGGAATGGGTGGCGGACGGCCAACGCGGGGATGTTAATGCGCCAGAGTTGCTGGATTGCCGCGCGGTTGCTCACGGTGCTCCAGGTGGCGATTGTCCAGTGGTGCATCAGAGAGAGGTCGACCGGATTGAGATTTTTTAGGTCCGTTGTTGGGATCCCGAATTGGCTGAAGGAAGGCGGTATAAGTTGGCTTTCTGATATTGCGAAGGAGGGTGACGACAGCCGCATTACTGGCGATCGAGATGACAATGCTTGATTGCGCGACTCTTTGCCGTCGATATCATGGAAAAGGAGATCATGCACAGTATTACCAGTGATGCTCTTTCTACCGTTTCGGGTCTTGGAGGATAGTGGTACTGAATGTGTCTCTGATGATCCGTCCGGGACATGGCAAAGGTCATCTACGAACGGCGGATTCCAGAGGTAAATCTGCGACGGTGCAGGAGAAAACGGGTTTCCAGAAACAATCAGCTGCGGCGCCCGCATGTCCGACGGAGTCACCTGTCCTGCGGTAGAAACCCGCGGAGTCGACTGAAGCTCCCGGGAAACAGCTTGCCGCACTTCCGGCGACAGTGCGAAATCGCAGGCGACGGCATGCTTGGTGCAGTTACCGCACGAAGGGCGGGTCTCATCGCACTACAGGGAAACGATCGGTTAGCAGATGTATGCTCGGGAATACTATATACCGCCGCTGTTCCGGTAGCTTTAGCCCAGTTTCGGAGCGTGTTGTATTCGAACCGACGCCGATTTGTTTTGCGGTTTATCCGTACGCGCACCCCTTCCACCACCGAGTACGTGACGTATGCAAGTAAGTACCTTTATTCTGCGCTTCCTGCACCTCTGACATCCCGTCCGCGACTTCGTGTGTGATCTCCGGGGAGCCATTTTCTTTTCGTCGTCCGACACGCCGGCGCACCCGGTATCCGTTTCTTGAGTCGCCAAGAAGAGAAAAACAAGTCGCTATGTGTGAAGAGAGTCGAGATGGTGATTCTGCGAGAGGATTTTGTCGGCAAAGCTGGGGGTTTGATGGTACTCTGGAAGGGACCATACAATACAGAGCAAGGGAAATCGGCGGTGTTCCTTGGGCCGGTTCCTTGACCGGACACGAGTTCCTCCGAACGTTCCGGGATCCACGCTTACATGATCCTTTAACCATTCGCCGGCATGGTGCAGCATGCACCGCCGACCTGCGGTTACGTTTACTCCGTTGGGCCAATCCGGGGTAAGGCCGGGCAAAGCTAGGTATCGAAAACGGAGGGATCACTGAGACGTATGGGATTCTAAATACTCCTTGGTACAAATTATAGCTGTTATATAACGAAGTACCTAGGCAGAAGAAGATAATGGTATTCGGTAGAGCAACAATATCGTAAGCAACGAGCTCTCTCTATATAACTACAAGCTTCATAGACCAGAAAATATCTGCATCGATCCCTTCGGAAGTTGGGTCTTCCGGGCTCGGATACCCTGCTAGGATCTCCGGACGTCCCATATTCTAACAAAAGCGGAGCTGTGGACCCCGCACACAACTAGCGATGCAAAACCGATTGAGCATTTCCTACAGGTCGATAGACGGGGTCCTTCCAGGCCAGGAAGCGTATTCTTTTGTCCATTATTCGATTGTAGCGTTGGTTGGCGCGTTGAACTTTGAAGTTGTCGACAGTAATGGCGGAGCGGTGAGGACAATTCCAGTGCTCAACACCTGCTGGTTTCCGACTCCCGAACGAGGTGGCTAAGCGAGGAGTGCACGCCATGATCTACATGCATCATGGTTAAACGAACGAACGAGCAAACATGGCGGCCAAGCAAGACCGGCTACGGCATATATCTCCGAGAGTGAGTCGAGAACGACGGCATTGCCAGTGACAGGCTATCTCTCGCTGTGCGCGCCACTAAGCGACTCGCGAACGGCGACGGCGCCTATGCTCCAGCCGCCGTTGGGTGCGTGAGAGATGATCAAACAAACGATGTCAGAGTCGTTAGGAACTAATTACGACGAGGGGCGTGATATGGCCCGGGAGCAGCGCCGAGACCGGCCCGTTTTGCCAGAGTTGGCTACCTCTCCTGTATGATCCTACCGTACGGTAGGTATCGACTTGAAAGCCTCAATCACCAGGGGCTGAGATGGTTAAACAGACTTGCGGAGCTGCGACGAACATATTACAGTCGGCGGCTCTGTTGGCTCTGTGGCGAAGGCTTTTGCGACTCCAGTAAAAACGACCAGCTCATGAGTGGAAAAATCGCCTACCGCCCGGTCATTAAAAATCAAGTTTCAAAGCGTGTAGCACTAAGTACGGCCTTACCTGCGACAGTGCAGAAGTCGGCTAGTTGCCGAGTGATTGAGTGATAAAGAGCCAGTAAACAATCGAGCGCGGGAACTGAGATCGCATGTAGTGTGCTAATTATCAGCCCGAAAAGGGCATGGCAATGGCTATACACCCCCGGCTCACCTACATACGTTTTGTGGCGCGGAGTGAGAAGAGAACCGATTTAGTCAATTCGGGGGTAAAGAGAGATCTAATGCCTAGATGCTTACACGTTTGGATGCTTGGGTACAGGACGACGGGCAACTTTGGGTTTATATAGAAGAGAGAAAACATGCAGTGTCGTCAACATCGTCTTCCTAGCCGCTGTGCGAGGGGATGACGTTTTTTGCTTTGGTTTGATGCTGTCTATAGAAGAGAGAAAACATGCAGTGTCGTCAACATCGTCTTCCTGGCCGCTGTGCGAGGGGATGACGTTTTTTGCTTTGGTTTGATGCTGTCTACGACGACCGATACATATGCTTTCACAAATTGTCACTCGTGCACAGCTGCGAAACAGGTGTTGGTTAATCATCAGTCATCACGCCAGCGGCGCCACATCGTACTGGCTGGTAACGGGGCCACAACCCCCGGCCGCCCAGAGTGGGCAGGAAAGAGTGGGCGGTTGGTGGTCGCCATAGTCTAGTAAAGCTGCATGCGACAATAAATTGATGTTCTCTCTCTCTCTCCATCACAGACACTGACGGCGGAGCTGAGGCGAGAGAAAGAGAAGGGCACCGCAGAGGTTGAGGAACTTGGATCACTTTTGCTATTCCTTCCCACGCCCTCTTTGGTATTTGTCAGAATATGGGACGTGCCGGAGATGACGATGTCCCTAGTATACTCTAGTGGAGCATCTGTCAAACTCTAGTCGCCCAGAGATCTCGGTACGAGTCAAGGTTTGGAGGTGGAAAATTCTCGACGGCCAGGCGAACTCTGATGTGCGGGCCCTGCGAACTCTGACGAGCGGCCAACTTTGTTCGGCGGCCAACCTTAGGTGGCCTCTCAGTCTTAAATAGAGGTCTTCGCCGTCAACGAAAGGGGTTTCTTCTGTATCGAATACTATTGTTATGTTTATCTACCTCTTATATTCAACATTATTTCCTATCGAAGAGGTAGGAGGCGAGGCGGGGTGAGAAGCGGACAGTTTTTTGTTCCTAGCCTAATTTCTTTGGTGCTCTCATATATCGTCGGGCATACCAGGGCGGAGGGTAGGGAAAGTCACAGCGGGCCGCTCGATGGAAGTTTGGTTGAATAGTGGCGTGGAAACGGGGGGTATACGGGTAGAATTAGATAGGTCACAAGCAATTATCGATTAAACAAAAGAAAAAAACGGAACCGTGGCTTGAACCAAAAATCTTCACCACCCCATGTGAGGAACTTCTGGCCGTAGAAAGGCGCGCGATAAACGATGCATCCTGCCAAACAGACCGGCTGAGACGTCAGTACTGGCCCAAGGGGAGGCTGGATGCCGTCGATATACACGTGTGCTGTCTTCAAGTGCTCTCAGAAGCAATTCGCGATATCAAACTAGGCTGTAATAGCAATATTTGACCGTTTTCAACCGCTAGGTATGGCGCCAACATCCGCGTCAGCAAATATCACTCACTTTTCTATCACCTCTCGAATGTGGCTGACGTTCGATGAAACAGCTTCGGAGCTATTCCGTCATGTTAACCACAACTTTCCCTTTTCGTAAAGACATCGATTGTGTTCCGAACTCTTGTAGAACGAGCTCTGGCACGGTCTGGTTACCAATAATCCGCCCTCCCCGGTGGCGGGGGGCTGGTTAGATGAGCACTGGACCTGACCGCCTGGCAAAAAGACTTAGTAGAGCTGACTACCCGAAAACATATTTACAATTGGTAAACACGAAACGAGTACACTGCCCGTCCACCAAGTCGGAAGGCCGAAACCAAAATCCATGTACTGTCGGCAATCAAGGAACTGCCAGCCAACTGTACTACTACGACTTTCTACCACCAAAGTAATTCAATTAATTCACGAATCTATTATCTAGGTACAGTACTCTCCGGATCTCTTGGTGATGAATCGTCGCAGCGACCTCTCACCCAGCTAACTTTCTTGTTCAAACGTCAAAGCTCCCTCTCAACATCCTCCTTCCCAATATCTTCCCGACGCCCGAGTGCCGCCTCAATCGTAAAGGCGTGTGACGTAGTGACGTAGAGGCGACCGCTGTTAGAGAGTCTGGGGCGGCACGGCGAAATTCGCTACTGTACCTATTGTGCGGTCAATCCGATGGTTACTGTGCCCGGTAACGACGTCCTGTGTTTCGACACCGACAGTAGAAAGACAAGTGGCGAGAAATTTCTTCACTATATCTATTTACCAAGCCGGCCGGTCTTTGCGGAGTTTTGCGGGTACCAAGCTCGGCCATCCATCCATCCAGCAGATGCCGGTCGTCTCAAGCGTGAGGCGACATCCGGCGCGGCCCGTTTCCGCACAGCCGGAAATGCTTTCGCAAAATCTAGCCGATCAGCTATACTAGTATACCGATGAATTGTGGATCTGCCTGGTATACTAGAATATATCCATCTGTCCGCGTTTCCGGCCTCGGGGGTGAATTCAGCGCGCGGCATTCGGCACCGGATTCGTGGTCGACTTGGCGTTGGGTTCGACATGGATGCGGCGTGGATACGGCCTGGACACGGCATCGATTCAACCTCGAAATAGCACTGCACTAGATTTTGCCGTCGTTCGGTGGGGGATTTCGCACTGCATTTGTTGGTGATATCGTATGGGACTTGCCACATAATTGGCTGTCGATTCAGGTGTGGAAGTTGGCGGGTGATTGTGGTGTTGACTATATTAACTGACAATTATTGGATATTCTGGTGCTAGCGGTGGCAATTCTTGCAGTATGGGCGATACCTACCCGTCTGTCCGGATGTTATTGAGAATTGAACTCTGGTCTGTTATCGGACCGCCATTTCTTATCTCCGTCTCCTAGAAGCCCCCACACCATACCTCCGCTCCGTTCTAGAAAGTTCCGGCACGTAGGCACCGACGTACCGTCGTCGAACTGACAGAAGCCGGGGCAAGGGAGTAGCAGTTGAAGGGTTCGACGACCCCAGTTCCTGGTTCTCCCCTCCCGCTGGCAGCCATGGGATGTGTGTCTCAGGTGGGCCCGGTGGTTCTTAACCGAGATCCGAACCCTGCACGCTCGACTGCCGCTCCTATGTTTGTATTTAGGCGAGCGGCTAGTGCAGGTACCATGGGCACTGGGTGGGGGATTGCGTACGCACCTATACGTCAGAGCATGGATAGCGTCGTATCCGCCGGCCAGATCGGATGGTGGTGTGTGGAGGAATGGGCCGCGGAAGTGATTGTTGCCGATAATGATGGAAATGGAAGTGGACAAGACGGAGCTTGCCGCACGTGGAAAGTCTTCTGCGGCGCAGGTAGGATGAATTGAAGAGGGATTTGTCCCTGTGGCAATATGAAGGCGATATGAAGGCGATATGAAGGCGGTCGTTGGCAAGGAATGGCATGGTCACATAAATCATGGTAACCATGATTTCCGCCTATGGAATGTGCTCGGTCTCGGATGAAGAATAGCAGTGTCGATACTATGACGTGAATTCGTGAAGCGGGACTCTACTGGTACCGAGCGCGGCCATTCTCGCAGGACCGCTTTGTTCCTAACGGTCGTATGAAATCAAGTATCAGCCCGAATACGCCTTCTCTTCTCTTACGACCTCGTATTTTTCGGATACAGCCCCTTTTCTCGACTATAGGCAGTCTTCCACAAAAGCAGACGGCCTACTCTCAGGAAGCCGCGACAACTCAGCTGTGGTATGTCCCGAGTAGCTATGAAGTACGCAGGCACTCACGATAGCAGTCGGTGCGCAGAGATCGACATGGCGCTACCGTGCCGTGTCGTCGACGACGCCTGCAAGTGTCAGGGACAGGCCGCGTCCTCGTCGCCGGGATTAGCCTGCAGAATTACCGACAACTAACCGCCGGAACACATCCGACTGGCGAGCTACGCAAGGGAGTAGCCGCTCCTATCCACCACTTGAATCCTTTGGGATGTTTGTACATGAAGACGTATTTCCTAAAAGAGTATTGATTAATATATCGTCGTTACTTCAACCCGGTGGAAAAACCTTGGTATGTATTTCGCTTCAGCACATCTACAGGACGGAACCTTCACCGCAGGACAGCCCTGCAGCGATCGGGAATTCAGCCTGGTACGCTGGGCACGAACCATCGATCCGTCGCGATTGCTCCACAGCATCTTCAGGATTCTCTATTACCCGAATAGTTCTTCACCGGTTGTATCGGCAGAAGTGTTTCCACGGGTGGCGTGGCTGGATTGTGGAGTCGGCATATTCATATAGCAAGACTTCCTGTTGAGGGGTAGTTTGGTTCAGTTGGTAGGATGATGGTATGCAAATCATCACTCGGTCTGTTCCCATTGGTCCTGTAGGGATGTGTCTTCCCACTATTGAGAAGATATCTTTGGCGAACCAAGAGTGACGGCAAGTGGAAGTCCAGACCTGTCAATCCTGTCCATAGTAAGTACAAACCAGTGGATCGGACGACCCTTCTGACAAACCCGGCAAGTTGCCGTTCTTGATTAGGTGGTGCTGCGATATACGTATTTATCCCAATCCATCCCCGCTTTCTACGATACTCTACATCTACCTAATACTCCTTTTGTACTTCCCCTCAAAGAAGTATGGTGTATGGTGTACGTAAACACTCCACCTCTCGGCACAATTCCTCCCTAGAGCTAGGCAGTTGAACGGCAAGCGATCAGGCACTGCGTAGTTCTAGGAGCTTCCCATGCAGACCATAGCCAACAACTTCGGCTCCATGACTCTCAGATCTATTCGTGGTATCTTTCATGGGGGCAATGAATCAAGCCGAATGCTTAACGCGATAGTACGTACCGCCACGAGTTAATACATACCGAATATATTTCCTCTTCAGCTCCTTCTTTTTGAGGCCTTCCGGATGTCGTATGGCACGTAAGATGGTTATCCGATGTAGCCGTAGTTGATCTGATCATAGCTGAAGTTTCTGCGCTTCCTCAGAATGCCGTTCAGCTGTGACTATTGGCGTTCACGAGCTAGCGGCTGCTGGGGGATTCCGCCGACGTTGGGCACTTTTGAGTGGTTGGCGCTCCATCGTACTTCTCGACTTGTGTGATATGGCTTTGGCTTCTTTCCGTGTTCTACGTGAGTGTGCATCTGTTGCATGGAAAACTGCCGCTTGGTCGGCAGGTTCACAGACAATCACCCGCACATCGCAAGACCTCCGAAAGTCCGATTTCCGAATGCTACCCTACTTGTTCTGGAATACCTACAGTAACCGCGCATAGCTATCGAATGTTTCTGCATGTACTATGGCAATCATACGAGCTAAGAAACACAGCTGGATGAAGTATGTATGTTCGTGACCATTTTTGGAACTGAACACGCAAGTGCATGATAACCGAAGAACAGGTACGTGAAAGGAGAATACCGAACGCGAATGGACGGTAGTTCTGGCTCCACCATTGTGGATATCCATTCGCTACAGTACGAGATGTCCTAGTGCTCTTGTGGATACTCCATGTTCTCCTTTCGGTCTTTTGGTGGGCCGGCGGCTGAGTGGAGTAGATTCAGCGGGCACAACAGCTAGCTTCAGCACAGCCTCACGAAGCACTTGAACGGTATACACGGAAAGGTCAGTGGAGACTTTGAATAGTGGTGGACTCTAGTTATCGGACGATGATGGCGACGAATAAGGTATAAAGGAGTCGTCATTTCTCCTCCGAGAGATTGTTCTTCACCAGCTCAACAGCACCGGACAACAGTACAACATTCTCTCATAATCACCTCTCTTGACATTCCCTCATAATCACTTCACTTTCACCTCCCCATTCACTTTCACCTTCACCTTCACTACTCTCACTATGAAGTTCTTCGCTCTTCTCTCTCTTTCCACCCTCACCGCTGGGTTGGCCATCAAGCGCCAGACCACCAGCACCTGCACGGACCCCGTGGTTCGCCAGGAATGGCGGTCCCTCACTGAAGATATGAGGTCCGAATACGTCGCAGCCGTCCAATGTCTCACCACCAAGGACAGTCGCCTCAACTCGACAATGTCTCTTTACGACGACTTTGCCTATGTTCACCGCGAGCTCGACACCACCAGTAAGCTTTCCGAGTTCCCTTTAGGGATCTGCTTACCCGTTCAACGAGCTGACCACACATTTAGTCCACGAGGTGTCCCTCTTCTTCCCCTGGCACCGGTACTTCGTTCAGACCTACGAAGACGCACTCCGCGACTGCGGGTACACGGGTCACGCCACGTACTGGGACTGGAGTCTCGACTACTCCGACCCCTTCTCGGCGCCGGTCTTCAACACCGACTCCACTGGCTTCGGCGGCGACGGCGACGCCACCACCACGTGCGTCGCTACCGGCGTCCTCGCCGACCTCACCGTCAAGGTTCCCGACACCCACTGCCTGCAGCGCAGCTTCAGCGCCGACGCGTTCCTCGAGTACGCCGACCCGGTCATGGTCAACGCCACGCTCGCCATCACCATGTACTCGCTGTTCCGACCGGGTATGGAGGACGGGCCGCACAGGTCTGCGCACGGCGGTGTCCGCGGCGACATGCTGCACAACTACTCTCCCAACGGTAGCTACCACTCTCCCCCCATATTTCTGATGACAAGGCTAACGATTCACAGATCCGATCTTCTTTCTCCACCACACCAACGTCGACCGCCTCTGGTGGACTTGGCAGCAGGCCGATCCCGACACGCGCTTGACCGAGTACAGCGGCAACCGCTACCAGAACGACGCCGACACCGAGGCGACCATCACCGATCCGGTGCCCATGGTCGGCATCACCGACGACACCGTCGTCTCGGAGTTGATGTCGACCGAGACCGGGCCCTTCTGCTACACCTACTAGAGGGGGATGAGCTGAGCTACCAGAGATCCGGGGGTTGTGGCTGCTCTGGCGGATTGATTGATTGGCGGAAATCTTAATGGTGCTTTCTTGGATGGATCGGATTCTACCTGCCTAGTTTTGTTTGTTGCGGTTTTGTCACAGATGTTTTTCATATAGCTATTGTACGGCGCCGGTAGGCGCTAAGTAATAATGAAAACAATAGTATTGCTAGCCATTGAATGATTCGCTCCAAAGCCTGGCACAGGGAATTTTGCTTCATGCCATAAGTGTTTCCTTCGGCATATTTGACTGCCCAAGAACCAGCTATAGGTTTCTTTTAGACATCCGTCCCCTTTGGAGCCGTTATTAGGATGATTCGGGTAGATGTCGGCTGGCCCCACTGGGTGTTCGGCGCACAGGATATCACTCGAGCATCTGTGGATTTTGAGACCTTTGAACATGTGAATCGGGGCAGAACAAGACTGCACAGGAGGGTACTGTGTCTGTGACCGGTGCGAGGAAGTAAGAAACGAGGATTTGTAGTATATGTTCTTGGTGCGATTTCCTCTGTTATTTGTTTGGTAAGCGGCGCCGCATCGTGCTGGCTGGTAGCGGGGTCTCAACCCCCCGGCCGGCCAATGTGGGCAGGAAAGGAGCACGACGGTTCGCCATAGTCTAGATAGGTAGGCTGTATGCGAAATAAACCGATGATCTCTCTCTATCTTACTGTTGAACATGTGAGGCCGGCGCGGGGGACAGGGAAAGCCACATCAGGCCGCTCGGTGAAAGTCGAGTTGGACAGTGGCGTGGAAACGGGGGGATGTACGGGGAGACATTGCCATAATCTAAACAGACCGCATGCAATAATGATCAAACAAAAAAAAGGAACCCAGCTTCCTACTAAGAAGGGAGGGGGCGGGGGAGGCGTCCAAATAAAAACAAACGCCTTCACCACCACTCCCGGGTCGGGTAGCTTGGAAACCCCTCTTCCCTGTGTCGAACAGGGAGCTCTCCGCGGAGGGTGGTGGCCTAGCCGACAAGGCCACGCGGGGTTTTTTTTCTGAGTGGAGATTGCTGTTGACCTTCATAAACCACCAGCCGCCTCCGCTCTGCCACCTACCAGCGGGGTCCAACGGATGTGCGACACAAAAATGGATAAGGTATTACCTACCCCAACCTATTCCCACTCCGCATGCTCTCGGTCGGTAGGATTCTTCCTTTCCTTTTACGAAACTACCTAGGTACTTACATAAGGTAGGTAGTTCCCACTATTCATGAACCATGACTCGTCGTATCCGCAAGTTTCCGCGACCACCGCCGCCGCCGGCCGCACATGGAAAATGATGAAGTCGGAGCACTGCAGGAAGGGCAGGAACTTATGGATATGTAGTACCTACTTTTGCAAGGGTTCTTTCAGCAATGCGTCTCCAGGCTACAAGTCGCCCAACACCCTCGCCCTCGCCCACGGTTCCGAATCCGAGGAGGAAGATATGGCTGGCACTGGCATAGTATGAGCCACCACTTTCCCGTGTGACCAAGGGTGAACTGAGAAGGAAGTATACTATAGGCAACAGCATGGGGGCGGATTACCCAATATTCCAATTCGTGCCCCACCTCACTGCTCAAAATGCAATGGCGTAGGTCATTACGCTTCTACGTGCCGAAAGGTGTATTATGTAGGGGCGGTTACTCTTCAGTATGACTAGAACAGGAGAGAATAATCAAGCCAAGAGTCGGACAAGTAGGAAGAAACATACACGTGACAACAGTGAACAAACGAGTGATAATCATGAAGGATGAACGAAACAAACGCGTGACAATTAACACAGAAGAGCTTCCACTGTTCGATACGCGCTCATAGAGGTAATGTGGTTCGTTTTTGCTAGTGGCTGGGCTTAGCATTTGCTTTGGGGATTCAACTTGTACTACGTTTTCCTTTTGTTCCGAGGTACTGATCGAAACAGTGTTCTACATACCTAGATCAGACCGGTCGGCCTAAAATATTTTGGGACCAGACCATACCCAAATTTGGTCGGGTCTGGTCTATGTAGAACACTGGGCCAAAAGAGAGAGAGAGAGAGATCTTCAATTTATTTCGCAAGTAGCCTAGGTATCTAGACTATGGCAAACCTTTGGTACTGATCGAGCTTGTGGCGTTCGTTTCGGGGTTTAGCTCTTGCCTGCCGGAGTTTGTATGATCGATGTGCGGAATAGGTGCTCCCGGGACTGCTTGGTAGGTCTGTCGCATCACCAGCAATGGTCATCATCCCGCTTCTTAATCCACTTCAGGTACACCGCCGTGATGGCGTGCCCTGTCTTCAGCTGGTAGAAGCGGGCGGCAGGCTTCTTTGGCGCTTTGGCGGGGAGCTGGTCGGGGTCTTTTTCGGGGGCTGCCTGGTCTCGTACCGCCGATTCTTAATCCGGGTCAGTGACCACTTTTGCATGAAAGAGGACCGCTATTGTCAATTCAGAGAGTGAGACCGAAGTACCGAGTGAGATATTACAACAGCATGACTGACTAAGCGATTGAGTGATATATCATGACATTCGCATCCGAGACGTGGGCAATAAAGCAAATAGAAGCGTTTACCACCAACCCCAAGCGCCGTACTCCTGCAAAAGTTTCGCAACCTCCACGTGACCCTCGCTTTTTGCGAGCCGAAGTGGTTCCCTCCAAAGCCGATCCGCAGCTCTAACATTCGCTCCTCTTTCGAGCAACACTCGCACCACATCGATGTGGCCAAACTTCGCGCCCATATGTAACGGAGTCCATAGGCTGGTGACCTTAGCCTCGATATCTGCGCCGTGATCCAATAATATTATAACCGTCTTATGCCGCCCCTGAGAAGCCGCCAGATGCAGCGGTCTTTGTTGCCAGTGTGCCCGGGAATCGATGTTCGCCTTATGACTGAGTAGAAGTCTTACAATTGGGTCATTCCCGTTTCCCGCCGCGATATGCAAAGGTGTATAGGTATCGCATATGGACTCGATGCTTGCGCCGCGCTCGAGGAGGAGCTTGGCCAGTGCTTCTTTTCCTATCATGCAGGCGATGTGGATGGGGGCCATGTTCTCTCCTGTATTCATCAAGAGGCCTTGTGGCGAACCGGTCGCTGTCAGTAGGGGGCGGTAGGTCTCGCATTTTGCATCGATGTTTGCGCCGTGGTCTAGCAGGATGCGTACCATAACCTCGTTCCCCGCTCTTGTCGCCTCGATCAGCGGGGTTTCGCGGTTGTTCATTTTGGAATCCACTTCTGCTCCGCGGTCAAGAAGGAGTTGTACCACGGGCTCGTGAGCATTCTTGGCGGCGAAGTGTAACGGAGTCGCCCAGTACTGGTTTTTGGCTTCGATGTCGGCTTTGTGGTCAAGGAGCAGGCGCACCACTTCTTCTCGCCCTTCGGTAGCTGCTGCGTGAAGAGGCGTACGTTGGTCGTCAGTCTTCACCTCGAGGTTCGCTTTGCCGGCAATGAGCTCTTTTATAACCCCGTCGTAGCCGTTATGAGCAGCGACGTGCAGAGGCGTCCATAGTGTGTTCGTAGGCGAATCGGGCATCGCAAAGCCTTCGTGCATCAAGACAGCCACCACTGATCGGTGGCCCGCCGCGGCTGCCACATACATCGCCGTTCTCCCATCGACCGTTTTGGCCTCGATATTAGCGCCTCTTTTCAACAGCTCTCTGACGATCGCTTCGTTTCCCTTGGCCGCGGCAAGATGTATCGCCCTACGACCATCAGTGGCGCTCGCCTCGATGTTCGCTCCTCGAGATAATAACAGCTTCACACAACGGTCGAACCCGCAATCAGCTGCGGAATGTAATGGCGTGTAGAGATCGCTATTCGTCGCCTCCATCCCGGCCCCCCGATCCAGTAGCAGTCGGACGGTCCGCTCCTTTCCCACCCCCGCCGCACGGTGTAAACACGTCCACTGGCCCCGAATGATGACTTTGATATCGGCGCCTCGGTCCAGCAAAAGTTCCACTATAGCTTCCTGCCCGCTTTCGCTGGCGTAGTACAAAGCAGTTGATCCAGTGAAGTTTTTCGCGTGAATGTTGGCGCCCTTGTCCAGGAGGAGTTTAACGACTGGCCTGTTCCCAGCTGCCACGGCGACGGAAAGTGCAGTCTCATTCTTGTTGCCCTTTTTTTCGATATCCGCACCGTCTTCCAGCAGCTTCTCAACTACTTCCAAACTCCCCTTATGGGCAGCAAGGTGCAGCGAACTCCACCCACTTTTGTTTTGAAGGAGGTGCTCTTCCTCGGTGATCGAGAACCCAAGGGGGACCCCCGAATGGAAACGTTTGGAGATGATGATTGGTGCTTCGTCACGGAATTGCTTGATCTTGTCCCGAGCGATGGTGTATTCCCTATCCACCTCACTGCTGAACTTGACCATCTCCGAGTGAGTCGCGTGGATTGGAAGGTCGTGGTAGGCGGGTTCTTCTGGGCGACTGCCTGTGGCGGAAGACCGGGTCACCAGCACTTGCGGCTTTCCGGTCATCTTCCAGGAGCCATCCGATTGCTTCTCGGCAGTAGGGGACAGCAGGTTTTCGTAGAAGGAAACGATTTTCGAATCGCGGAAGCGGAAGTGCGTGCAAAAATCCCGATGCAGCATTTCGAGAAAATGAGATTCTGGTTTCAGCGCGCGCACCAGGTCCTCGTTCGGCTGTCCATGCACCATCGGAACCAAACTCTCCACCGAAAGACCACGGTTCGGAACTCCATACGATAAAAGGCCAAGCGTGGAATTGAAGACTGCTTGACTTCGATCATCGCCTCGTGCGGCCTCCACCAGCAGCTATAGTTGTCAGTTGGAGCTACCAGCCACGACCGGGGTTGGGGCCTAGGGGACGAACGTACCTGCTTAACAACCAGACCTCCGAGGCTGTGCGCGATGAATACCAGCGGGCGTTGTTTGATCTAGTTATGCCCAATATCAATCTCATTATTCACAGAAGAAAGATACGGGACGACCCACAGCATCATGGTCTCTCGCGCCCTTCAGCTCTTCCAAAAGCTCCTGCGCATAGGTACCGATGCCCGCAAAGCTAGTGCTTCCGACTAGTCCCGAGCTGAAGCCGTATGTCATGACTCTTAGTCCGGAAACATCCTCCGGCAGCGAATCGCAAAGCCACATATAGTCCGCCTTCTTCGCTTTCCAAGATCCGAAAGCGTGACCCCCCAATCCCGTCACCGCCACAACACTATTCTCCCCCGCGATGCGTAAGAAACCAAAAGAAAGAAGATAAGTACAGTTAACTTACTCCATGACAATTTCTCCCTTCTCCCAGTTCAGCGGCGTAAGTCCCAAAAACCCACAATCAACCTGTAAATCCACCCTTTTCCCCTTAATCCCGGCTTTCTTCAATATTTCCTTCGGAATCTTGATCGACGGGCAGGGCGTCTGCTCGAATCCCTCGGGTACTTTCCCGAAGCTGACCAAAGCCACGCGCTTCCTGGGAGCATCGATGGCATTTGTCGCCGGGGCGAATGAAGCCACCTCCGAATCGCCGCCGAGAAGCTCTCCGAGGTCGTCTTCATCTAGTTCTTTCGGGATGTTGGAGATTCGGAAGGATGTCATACTGATTATTGGCCTGAAGGGCGAGCTTTCGCCGAGCGAGGGAAAGCATGATGATATTAAAGGTTTTGCAAGGAGCGAGCGCTGCCGTTTGCGTGTATGGTGTGATGCGTTGTCCCCACAGCTGCGGGGAACGAATCATCGTCGCTTACTGCAGCGCCTGGCTGGCTTAATTTTACAGGGGCTTTAGAGCCAAGGCCAGGGGGATAGGCTTTCCTATCAATGACGCAACAGACTAGGTACGTGAATTTAAACGCCGCGCCGAATCATTTTTCGTCACACGGGTTGGCTATCATGACTATTGTTAAAAATATGAGTGAGATTATTAGGTTGCTTGACTTATTCGCAAAACACAGCGGACGACCAGCTAGACATACCAGACAGAAGCAGAAGAAGCAACCTAACAATCTCACTCATATTTTTAACAGGTTATGAGCCCGGCCCAGCGATACTACTAGCTACATACAGAGAACTACTCCGGCTCCGGCCCCCCTTATCCTCATCTTTACCAGTGGCACCGGCACCGGCCGCGGCCCCATATTCACATCATCAGCGGTACCGGCTCCGGCCCCTTCATATTCATTTAAGCGGCTCCAGCCTATATTCACATCGATAAGCGGCACCGGCTCCGGCCCCTTCATATTCATGTTGTAAGCGGCTCCGGCCCGTCATCTTCCTTTCCACCGGTACCGCTCTCGATCAATGACCACCGAAATGTCTGCTTCGTACTACAAGTCCCCACACGGCACCTTCGAGAAGCTGAATAAGGTCAACTATCTCAGCTGGAAAAAAAGCGATGTCACCGCGGTTCTCACATCGCTGAAGATCTTCAATATTGTCCTAGGCAATGAGCGAGAGCCTCCCAATCGGCAGACTGCGGCTGCCCAAGATCTACTCCTCCAATCGAATCCAGAGCAGCGCAAGCTAGGACTATCCTACGGTTCTCCCTCACTGAGAGCCTCAGAGAGCGGATAGAGAGCATCATGGATCCTGCCGAAATTTGGCAAGTTCTTAGGCAACAGTACGATAATTCGGCATTCAAGGCTGGCCGTCTCCACCTGGCGCGAGCCTTTCGCAATCTCAGACCCGGCACCAACGATAAGATTTCCGACTACTGCGCTTGTCTCATTAGGCATCGCAAGCCTCTACAAGGTGCTATAGAGCAGATCACAGACCAGCGCCTCATCGGTCACATTTTCTCCGCGATTTCGGACATCTTCGGTTCCCTTACCGATTCACTACAAAATCTACGTGAGGAGGAAGCAAGTATGAGAATAAACAGGATTTCCAAGACGCGCGCGTATTTATTTTTTGTTTATTCAATAATTGCATGCGACCTATATAGATCATGGCAATATCACCCCGTCCACCCCCCCCCCCCCGTTTCCACGCCACTGTCCAACCCGACTTGCATCGAGCGGCCCGATGTGGCTTTCCCAGCCCCCGCCCCGGCCTGTCCCAAAAAAGTAAATACACGGTAAAGACTGAAATGGGCCTGCATGCCCGCCCGCCCCTTCCCACCTCTCCTCTCTACCCTACGGGCTGACTCGCCCGCTCTTCCCACCTGCCCTCTGTCCCTTCGTTTGAAGGTTTTCCAAATCCTTTTTGTGGTGTTTGCGTGCCTTTTGCGGCCTGGAGATCTTGCTCCCGCCGATGAAGACGGTCACATGTACGCCGCCCCTACCGCGAGCAATATCAGCCCACGACGGGACGCTTCACTCTCTTCCATGTCCTGTCCCTCTCTTCTCCGCTTTCCCCTTCCGTTTCCTCTCAACCTTCTTCCGTCCCTCATCCGTCTCAGTATCGCGAGGTGGAGACGCTGCGGACCCGGCAGATGTTAGTGGTTTAGGTCTTACGGAGTCGGACTCCAATTCCCTATGCTCAGATTGCTCAGGCGTCGGGGTGGGGGGTTTGGCTCTCGCTAGCTTCTTCGGTTGGTGCGGGGTTGGCGGTCCCGTCCGTTTCCGTTCCCGCCGTGGAGGTGGTGTCGATGGAGGAGGCGGCAGCGGCTGGACGCGCGCGTATTACCAACATGACCAATCTGCCCGCATATTCTGCACGAGTGACAACCAATGAAGTTCCGTCGCTCCATCGTTCCGCCCAAGAATCGCAACAATTATCACGTGTACTCCAGAAGCTGCTGAAACAAGTTCAAGGTGCAAATGTCGTGTACGACTGTGGAAGAAGAATAATATATTCCTCATCCTATTTTATATACCACCAACGTACTCCCCGCACCACCAAAGTCCATCCACCCGCCCCGCCGAGCACACCGTCTAACACAGAACTAACTACCGCACAAGTCGTCTCCCAACCGCAACCGCTTAACAGCTAGCGCCGGACGGAACACCCTCACACTTGGTGGAGGTCTTTCCTCCGGTGACCGAGACGCCCGACCAGGTGAAGTCGGAGCACGAGGCGCAGAGGACGTAGATGTCGGTACCGCTGGAGGTGACCGAGCCTTTGACGTTCTTAAGGGTGAGGCCGCTGATGGGAACTCCGCTGGTAGGAGTGCCAGTGGGCGAGCCGTTCTCGTAGTCCTGCTCGATGACAATACCGTACTTGGTGATGTTCTTCAGGGTGATGCCCGAGTAGGTGACGTCCGAGACAGAGCCGGTCGCGTCGTAGACGGTCTTGATGCGAACACCTGGTAGCAAGGTATGTCAGTATGATGGGTTTTCCGTGGTGTAGTGGTGGGACTTACCGTTCTCAGAGTCGATAATTGTCGTGTCGGAGACGGTAACGCCCTTGACGACGTTGTCGCTGCGACCACCGACGGATCCAATGGAGACACCGTGACCGCCCTGGATAAAATCACGTTAGAGAGTCGAATCAATGACACGATCGTGCGGAGTTGCTTACAGAGCAGTAGCCGTTGGAGAAAGTGATATCTTCACCGCTGTTGATCGCCAGGCAGTCGTCCTGGTTGTAGACCGTGGCCTTGTTGATGATGATACCGGTGGACGAGCCGACGTCGAAAGCGTCAGTGTTGTGGCCGCCGTCGGTGACGTCTCCGTCGGTGTTGTCGATGCTGACCGAGTCGATAGTCAAGTTCTCGGAGTTGTTGATGCTGAAGCACTGGACGGGCGTGTTCTTGATGTTAATTCCGGTGATGGTGGAAGAAATCATCTTGTGGGCGTAGAAGAACTTGGGCTAATAGAAATGGTTAGATCATTGGGTTCAAATATTTGGCCGAATCTGAGCGAGAACTTACCTTCGTCTTGCCGCCGTTGCTACCCTTACCGTCCCACCACGAGGCACCGCCACCGTTGAGGAGGTTGCCGGAGCTACCGGTAACGGTGATCTTGGTTCCGCTGATGGAGACCAAAGGACCCTCCCATTCCTTGTATCCGAAAGTCACGGTGCCGTCGAAGATGACCTTCGTGCCGCTGTCCAAGTCCGTGAGGTCCAGCGTCTTTCCAGCCGGGACAGCCAGGTTACCGATGGTGATGGTAGTGCAGCTGGACTTGACCGTGTCAAGGTTGCTGAAGCTGGTGAGCGTACAAGAAGCACGCTTCTGGAGATCAGCTGGAGCCGCCAGGACAGCAGTGAACTGCAAGATGGCAGCGATGGAGGCGAGAGTGAAGCGCATGATGATGACTGTTTGTTGAACGAAAGTTTTTGACCGGCAAAAAAGAGTGTAGGAGTAGCTGGGGCGAAGGAATGTGAATGTAAGAAGAGAGTGAATGTAAACCGAGCAAGCTGAGGAACTGAATACTACCGATGACGGAAAACTCGTCGTTTTATACCATAGCATCGCGAGTGGTGGCCATGGCACGACTTCTTAGCCGGACGATTTAGGCTGGGCACTGCGGTACTTCGAAATTACAAGTGACCACCGGCCTTCGGCCTCATGTTTCTGCGAGAGGTGCAAGTGTGCCCGAGACTTCAGTAGTGAACAGGAGCTGCCGAACTTCCGTGAGACGGGACCGGGGCCCCTCGTGGAGGAGCGTCGTCACACGCGGCCTGGTGAGTGCACGGTCCCGGAGAGATTAACCAGCGGTAGAGTTACCCCCGGTCCACGCATCCTGCATCCCGGTGCCGGTATGCCGGTGCCGATAGCCGACCCCAACGTCGAATATGGCCCGCTTGCGTATTCGGTATTCTGTTCTCACAGATGTTCTATTCTCCTTCATATGGATCTTTCTCATGCTTCCAGCCTATTGAGTGTCGTCTGCATACCGTAATTTCATTCATCCGTACTCGCCGTACATACCCCGAGGCTGCTCGCGCATACATATCATACTTTGAACCTTTGCTAGCGATCCGGGAGGCGGGGCATCTTCATCATCGTTGTCTCTTCGGCCATATCTGCCACGACAATATCATACGTCTGTCTCTCCTCTTCCACGGCCTATCTAGTCCCGAATCCATAAAGTTGCAGGTGGCCATTCGACAAGCTTTATAAATTGATTGAGGCGGTAGTTTCGGATAGATCCGACCATGTGGGTTATGGGTCTCTAATTATACGCAGCGAGTGGATCGGACTCGGAGTCGGACTGAGTCGGCCCCCAACACCTGAACATAGTAACGATTCGTGACGGAACAAAAGCAAACCCGGGTCCTTCCCCTATTACCAAAGTGACCTCAATGCTGAGACGAAATGGTGGAATGTCTACTATAGAAATATCTTACGTGTTACTACATGGATAGACCTCCAGGGCACCGCTCGTTAAGAAGGACAGTGTTTACCAACTGTTGTCTGACTAATCACGTAATCAAGCTTTGTTTCACCCTATGGTGTTTCACGGCCTTCTCGCCTGCAGCCGTAATACAGACTCCACGCAGCGATCAACTTGCTCCGCCTCCCCCTCCGCCCTAAGCTCCGAAACGGTGGGGTTAGAACGCCCCAAGGAACGTGCACGATGGCGACATGCTCAACAAAACGGTTGTTAGTGCTGTGCTACCAATAATTGCTAGCCGTTGAGCATCCAGGAATCAGTACATATCCGACGCGTTTCCCTGTCCGTCGGCGTATATGGCGGGACTGGGGGCCGCGCCTCGCTGAAATACCGACTTACAACACGCCTGTTGTGCATACCCGGCACTAACAGAAACCGGGGGACACCTGGCACTTACAGCCCTACATAACCCACCAGCACACCGCCGAAAACATCGTCCCACTTCAGCAACACGACTCCATAGTCATCATCCGAGTGGTACCCAAGGTACAAAGCTTGTTCATTCCTTACGGAGCACGCAATTGATTGCTCCTAAGTGAAACACCGCCGATTCGCCGTGTGCGTGGTCATGATCTGCGGCGGGCAACATAGGCCCATTTGTCGCCGGCGTGTTCTCTACGTCATCTGGAGTGCAGCTGGGTTAGGTTTGCTGGCGTGCACATGATTTTGGCACTAGCGGATGCTGGGTTCCAACGTTCGCGTTGCAACGGCAAGCTCCGGGAATGTTCCCTCGAGCTTCCATGCGGCCTGTGCCCCATCGAAAACGCTCACTCGCGCTATCTACCGAAAGCCTCAGTTAAATCGTCCACAAGTCCTGTCCTCATTCCCTCCGACCTGGTCCCTGTTTCTTTTAAAGTGTCTGGATTGCTGAGCAACAAAGTGGGAGTAATGGTGTAGCTATGGGCGTATGGGACGATTCTACGGCTAACACGTACTTTTTTCAAAAAAGAAGCAACTGCTTCCGCTCGACACCGCGATGCCGGCACTGCTATACCTACTCTATCGGTAACACCTGTTGCGAGACCGGCCTTATGTACTACGAATCCGCCTGCTGCCCAGGGTGGTGGTGGATCGTGCGTCGGAACGGCAGTATAACGGCGGACCCGCCGACTTGGATGGGATCTTGGAGACTTGCAGGGAGTTCGGACGACAACAGTTCATGCTGCTAGAGTGTAGGGGGAGCGGATACGAGAGATATTCCATGAAGACGAGCGCTAGCCAGAGTTCCAACGGCTACCAAGAATACGGGAGAGCGCCGACTTTCTCCCGGCCGTCAGTACCTATTCCCCGAGGAAATAATAGTGAGTGTGTATTTGAAGTTGAACGCATTCCCTCGGGCACGGTTGGAGACATCTGACTTCTGGGAGGTAGGTGAGGCGGGACCGGGAGATAACTTCCCCCGGCCTTTTAGGTGGATATTCTCGGGTACTACGAACTCTGGATTCAGGAATCCTGGTACTAATGGCCCCCTTCGAGGTTAATCAACTACTGGCTCAGATCCGGATTACACATGTACTCCTCCCGAATCGCCGTTGCCGCACTTTGTACGAATCGCTCGATTTCTGTCCCCATTACACCTCTATCGTATGCCTGGCGGGCAGACATCAACTTGCTAGACCAGCTCGATATCTTCGGTGGGCAGCTGTACTTCCGCAACTACGAGGCCTAAGAAGGTATATGTATTCTGGGGCCTCTATATAGGTAGACGAACTTTGATGGAGACAGAAACGATGATGGACAGTGGAAGAGGATGATAAATGGACGCGGAATTCGGAGGTCGACAGGTGTACGAGGATTTGGAGGTATGAGCCTAAGTCCTATACAACCCATAAAATACGCTTTCTTCAGTCTGCTAACACCACGAAATGACGAGCGGGCGCTGCGTAGGCCGAGAGAAAAGGCTAAGGGATTGGGGCACCGCCGGGCGTGAACGTGTGGACAGACGAACCATAAGCCGACAATGGACCAACAGGGTAGTCGGTAGTGTAGACAAATGTGCACTCGAAAGCCGGGAAACTACTTCCAACAGGCCACGATGCAGAGCGTGCAGCCGCAGCTCGCGCTCTGGTAGAGGTGAAGGATTGGGCGTCACGACAGAAATTTCAGGGGGCAAGCGGCGGGCGGAGGGGCGGGCGGAGGGGCGCATCTCCACGGACTACAGAGACATGACCCAGTCATGTGCACGAACCTCACTTGTTCGTCACCACCGGCGAGCCTACCAGCTTCAACTACACCCCAAACACCCATCTGGCAGACAAAGTGATCTCGTAGGCAGTAAAATGCGCCCCCCTCCGGGGAGCCATAACTGACAGGAGGCGAGAACTCAAAGCCGGTCGTGTCTTAACCTGTACATACACAAGAAATCACATGTACTATTAAACCATCCAATGTCGCGCCGTGTGAAACCCTGTTATACCACACCGGAAATGTGAGCCTGTGCACACCGCTTCATCCAATCTCACTCGCCATGCGTTACAATCATGATTATGATGTGTACTTGAATTACGGTCTCATTTAGACGGCAGTTTGAAGCATTCGCTACTTAATCTGTAGCAAGAGTAACCTACGTGCCGCTAGACATTCAACTGTTGTTGTCGTCGGCAGGTTCGTATGATGAAGCATTTCCCCACTTACATCCACCACACTGACTTCTGCCCCGTCGGAGGGGACCGAAAATAACGGCAATAAAATTCTGTACTACTCACCACAACGAAAAGGACACTTAATGATTGCCAGGAAAGAATATAAATGTATAGACTCTCATAAAATTCAACTTTTCTGTCTTCTTTTTTTTTACACTCTCAGGAGTAGATCTCGATGAAAAGTGCCAGAAAGCCATAAACTGTGTCACAACAGGGATAAAGAGATATGGATGGATTGATAAACGGTGAGACTGTTGATTATAATGCTTCTCGTCGGGGCCGGAGCGGTGGGGAATTTGATTCCAGTCCATGCACTCGAGTGCTTTTGATATCACTCATATTCACCAGCTCTGCGCTAACCCCGGAAATTTGAAAAACACGGCGTCCCGCCAGACGGGCACGTAGGCATCCGCGCTCACTGCGACACGCCAATTACCGCCGGCTGACCGAAAGGTACCTACTGGAGGTACTATCAAGGCAACCTGCAGAACGATTATTTCTTGGGGCGAATTCTGAGCACATATTTCGATAATCGAGAGTGTTAAAAGAGACCACAGATCGCAAAGGAACGTGAGTACAAAGAAATTGGAAATCTCACGATAGACAACAATTTTGAGATCAGAGACTCGGAGTAGGGCAGAGGTTTTATGTACCAGGAGCTTCTCTTTTATGGAGAATCTCCTGTGTGATGGATGCCCCTTCACTACACTGAGAAGCTTCTGAAGGCGAGTTTCGCGACGACGTCTTGCGCCGAGTCGTGATATACGAACGGGTGGGCAAAGATATCACAAATCTTAACTCTACCATTCTATCATGTTTTGATTGATGTCGTTGGAAACCTATTCGCTAGGCACTTAATTAGGCAGGTCAAATCGGCTTTCTCGTGGGATAACTAGTGGGGAATCATTTGTGGTGTTGGATATGCTGATACTGCTACTGTGTGCGGAATATACTATTCCAATGCGGTTCCTACTATCACTACATCGATACGTGTCGGGGTATTCACACAATGACGGGCAACATGCTGAGAGGTTCTCTGAATTCGATTATCTCTTCGCCCCACGGCGACAGGAGATACGCGCAACCACACCGTAATATGTACATGACGCAACACGTCCCCCTCTCCCCTCCCGATTGCGCCCTATTCCTTCTCCGTTTTCGTCTCCGGTTTCCGGCCGACAACATGCCACCTGTATTGTCACAGGTGTCAGCACCGCGCGAAGTCGATCTGGTCTGTAGGCGGGGAGAGGGGGGGAGAGGGGAAAATTTACATGATCTGATATGAGTGCACCTTCTTAGTCTCGATCTCGGTCTGCGCACTGTTGCACAGCTTGACGACCTCGTCAGAGCTCATGCCTAGGTACCGCGTCAGCGGTGCCATGGCGTACGACTGCAGCCCGGTGGCACTGGTCAGCGCGGCGATGTACCCCGCCCGCTTCATATCCGGGTTCTTGGGCCAGCCGCCCCAGGGCTGCTTGAACTGGTGGATCTGGGTCCGTGTTGGTGGATGTTCGAAGCGGCAGAGGCTGGGCAATGGGCTGGCTTACTTTTATATCGACGAACCCAGCGGCGGCGATCTGTCCTTCAGGAGTTCACCCGACGGAAGCACCAGATTCGCCCCCGAGAGCGACTTGATGAAGCATGCAAAGTAGGTTTCGATCGAAGTGCAGGCCAACGTGCCGTCATCCGAGTGCACCGCTGTCTCGGCCTATGCCAGCTCTATGTATCCGCCAGGCTTGGTGTGGCTAGATGGCGCGCGCAGTCAGTCAGCCGAGTGCTTGCAGAGTGAGTGGACGAGGACGAACAGGAATATCTGCTCCAGGTATTTAGGCCAGTCACGAACGCTCTGGGCGATGTTTCGAGAGTGGATCAAGTCGAAGTAGTCCTGCGCGCGCCTTAGTGGGGGTTGCCGCAGGTCGGAGGCGCAAAAAGCTGCGGTGATCGTGTGCATACCTTGCGGAAGGTCCAGTCTAGTTCGAGGTCGTCGACTTCGAAGCGCACGTTGGGTACAACCCAGTCGGGTTGGATCGGACTCAGGTCCACGCCGACGACCTCCGCCGACGGGAATAACTCGCCCATATCCAACGCCCAGATACCGGTTCCGGTACCGCAGTCGAGTATGTGCTGTGGCTTCTCGCCGATCGGCGCAACGTAGAGTGATCCTTTGAGTGACAGAAGCTGTAGGTGATGGTACAAATCGAGGCTTTGACAGGGCGTTTAGCTTCACTTCCCTCCGATTGCCGTGAGAGGACTGACCGATCTTGCTCCCGCTCATCGTTCGGCAACATGTACTTGCCCTCTTGGAAACGGTGGTATCGCCGGCCGTTCTCATAGACGTAGTAGACGATCGAGGAGGTTATGCTGTGCGTTGAACTCTCCCTACGGCAGATGTCAGTCGTTGCATGTACACACGAACAGTGGTTGGCATGTGGGCGTACAGGGTGGAGGAATATTCCGACGAAGAAAAATCGGCATCGTCAACTTCCAACTGCGGTTGTCAGCCTGGTGAGAAAGTATAGTCAAGTCCGCAATGGAGACCTACAGCCGGCTGCTCGATGAATTCTGCTGTTGCCATGTTTTGTTTTTTTTCTTGCGCGTGTACTACGGGTACGGGTGTTCGTCGAAATTTCGAGTGGGAGGAATCTAGGCGTCTTCCGAGCGATATTCAGATAGCCGGAGCAAAACCGAACAATCTTCGGCGGCAGCACGGTACTTATGGGCATCAGCGGACACCAGCGTGCGGAAAGGATTTAGCTGCCTCGCAATTGTCCGCTTCCTTGCTTGACTCAGGGACACACCATTGGCGCGAGTCGCTTGCATGATGCGCGGAATACTCGCTTGCAGTTCATATGTCGTCTGTTTGTGGTGGGGTTGTTTACATAAATACCTAGGGTGGACCTCTGCAGTCAGCTGGAGTATGTGTTCAGTCGGCGTGCGGGACCATGAAGAAAAGGTCGCGGAGATTCTTCCATTTGCACCGTTTCTTCCATTGCGCCGTTGATATCCACTGAACGCGCGCTTAAAGGCGGGCCTAGCCGGCGGTGCATCGAGCAGACCCCAGCTCGAAACGTCCTCTAGCAGTCGACGGCAATCAACAGACATCCACAGTAATATCTGCTCCTACCGCAACAGCTGGAGTGGAAGCAAACACGGTCTTGCGCAAGCCAAGAATCGAAGGTATCGATGCAGTGAGCGTGGTACGTACTCTACACATCTGCAGGCTCCGGGTGAAGATCTGCAGTCACTCTCAGGACATTGACAAGGTACCCTGCGATTCTACTCCTCGAGAATCGAAATAACTGTATGAGAGACCAAAGTATTCCCGTGCTCGGAGCATAGTACATAGGTATGGGGTGAGGGCTGGTGTACGTACGGGATGTTCATCCCAGCGATTTATTCCATCCAATGTTCACGGTTCACTCCCCAATAACTATCGACTTCGATGATGAATAGAATCTGAGCATTGTTCCTCGCCTCCAAGGGCGCAGAAACACCACTGGTCGAAACGGCACGGCACCTCTCTGGCGGGCAGGATTTGCGTGCAATGATCAATCCCTGGAGCCGGGCAATTACTCTATATGTTTCCGGTGCTTGTCAACCCAAAGCCATCTAAAAGCGGGGTAGGCGGTTTGGAGGTCGAGAGTCCTACATATCCCATGGCCGTGCGGCCCCGCTCCCGGGCTTTTCGGAGACATTCCGACGGGATCATCGGGTGCCCCCCAGAAAAGCAAGCGCAAGTGCATGTGGCAATCGCAAAGAGACGAACGTCCGCCGGTATACGGTGTGGGTTGTGTATGGAGATGCACGTCCACATGCTGCGCACCAGGGGCTGTTCATCACGCGTATGTGCCTACATATGTACACGGTACATATCGACATACATCCAGGCTATTTGCAAACGATAGCCATAATCCTATGCATATCCTGTATTCACGAGTACCTACCGTATCACATGAAAGAGTTCCTTTCAAGCTGTAGGGAAGGGATGGATGGATTCGGCCATAGAAACTAGGTAGGAGTCGGTCAATCTAGTCTCCTAGGTCAATCTGGTCTGCCAGGTCAATCGTTGTGGGCCTGCAGTCGATACCTACCGATGCCCACGTATGTACCAGTGTTCCACGTCAATTCCTACCTCAATGGTTTAGCCGGTGGATGACAAGGGTTTCGCTGACCAGTTCGATTGTCGCTTGTGGCGCGGTGGAGCCTGGAGGCCATCAAATAATCGTGGCGGTATCGGGCCGCAGAGTTCCCAAGAGCGAGAACCTCAAGCCTTGCGTTTAAGGTTTCGTTTCCGACGCGTAGGCATATTGGGAATGTCACAAATGGGTCATCTCCACATTAATTATTAGTCCGTCATTCAGTCGACGGCGTGAACATCGCGCATCGCATCCGAATAGAACCTAATATTGCTCGTCCCAGCCATCCGTAACAAACCATCACTGCTAAAGCCATGCAACTACTCCTCCTCTCCAGGCGCATCCTCATCCTCGTCGTTATCTTGCTCGTCGTGGTGGGTCTGCTGCCCAGCGGGCGGTAGCTCCACTCCCTCATAGCGGGCAACATACTCCTCTCTCCTCCTCTTCTCCGATGGGATCAGGTCCCTAATCTTCAGTTTGAGTGCCTCGGCGGCCAGCTCCTCCTCCCCCTCATCTTCTCGCCGCTGGCTCAGATCGAATTGGAACTTTGCCTTTCTCTTGGGACGGATGGTGTATCGTCCAAGGATGGGGTAGAAGTAGGCGCCGCGGGGCCTGTCCTCGTCGCCGGCCCGCAGACACATGGCGACCTCCTCGGGCTGCATGTCGAACTGGGTGTGCCCGCCGCGGGTATCCTTCGCTTCGTAGCGGCGCACGTACGTGTAGCGGAATTCGTCGTCGTCCAGGTCTTCCTCGTACGAGAACTTGCGCTTCACGGCGCCGGCGGTGGTGGTGGTGTCGGGAATGTAGAAGTCGAAGCACTCCCTGCGCTCCTCGGGCGGGGTTTCGTCGTCGTGGTGCGTCTCGACCGGCTGGAATAGACTCATGTCGATCCTGACGTCCCTGCGACCGTCGCGCTCGGCGTCCGTCGGCGCGGTCTGGAACTTGAACACCATGTAGCCGCCGGTATCGCTCATCCCCTCGAGATGAGGCAGCAGCGGGAAAGTCTCGAGCGCCTTGACGCCGGGCTTGTTGGGATGCTTCAGCTCCTTCCAGTTGCGCTCCGCGTTCATGGCCGCCTTGTCGCCGGAAGCGTACTGTCGCGCCGCATCCGGAACATCCGGATTGGGGTTCGCGACGTCGAATCCCTTCATCACCGCAGCCAAGATGCGCACGGGATCGGTGTCCTCCGGTCGCTGCGTCGTGCGGCGCGATTTCGACGGGATCGCGACAAGCTGGCTCGACGTCGTCGATTTGAACGATGACCGTGATTGCTCGGCCGAGATGTACTCGGTACGACGTAGAAAGGAGACACTGCTACCCCCGGTCGCAGTGCGGTTGGTGGGCTTTCCGAGGGACGCCGCGGGCCGGAGAAGCGCGCGGTCGCGCGGATCGACAGGCGGGATAGGATCCATGGGACGTAATACCGAGTCGTCGCCCTCGAAGACGCGCGGGATGTGCACCAGGTCTAACGGCATGCCGAGCTCCGAGTCCACCTCGATGTTGAGGGGCTCCGAACGGGCGAGTTGCGAGACGAACGACGTATCGGTGTACTGCGAGAAGGCGGAGTTGGGCACGTCGAGAAGCTTCGGGGGGCCAATCGGGATGGGGAGGGCATTGTTGTAACGGATGCGCGCAATATAGTCTTGAGGGTAAGTTCGTGACGCCGCTGGGCGTTGCGAAGAGGAGGACGACATTTTGAATAGGGTGGTTGGTGGTCGTCGTGGAGTTAGGGTGGTGGAAGACTGGTGAGAGTGAATGAGCTTGAAGTTTCCCGACGCGACAGAGCGATCGAGCTGTGCGGTCCCGTGCGCAGACACGCTAGTCCAGATTAACGCATATCGAGTGATGGACCTGGGTAGCCGCAAAACGGCCACGCGTCTAAATTTTCCAACGGTAAAGCAGGCACTTCTATTCTATTCTCTATTGTTACAGTCGAATTCGTTTACTCTCATTATCGGGGGAGTCATTGAAGTCTGATAGAGGACGACACCCCAACTGCCCTCGGAAACAATGCAGCCAGTCAGGACAGCGGGAAAGCGGGAAAGCGGGAAAGCGGGAAAGCGGGAAAGCGGAGTAGAAAATGGGACTGTCAGCCGCTTAGATGGCTGTTTAGGAGTGATCGCCCATCATTATAGTAGATACCACATGCTCTAGAGATTTTTGACAGCGAGTGTTCCACCTGAGATCGTGGGCAGGGATGGAGAAATCAACCGTCCTGGCCGGTACATACCCGTCCTGACTCCTAATCGTTGGTGGTGCAGAGATACATCGGTTCTCTACGAGACTTGCAGACCCAACTGGGTTGCATGGTACCGTTGGAAACGGCGGTCCGCTCTGCTATGTAATCTGCCCGAGATCGGCACCATTGGGAGTTGCCCAACGCATCATCCGATGAATCTTCCCGCAGACCGTTTGTGGCGGCAGACGCAGCAATGCACGCTTTGCATTAGCCGCGGCAGTTGTATGTTCTATCATACGACCAAATAGACGGATAAACGCAACCCATCATGCAGACACCCCGACGGAGGAGGTTAAATAGCTGGCGGCTGCGAGCTGGGTGGCCTGGAGAAGGAGAGGAAGAAGCAGCAACTCGGCAGCGACGGGCCGCATAGAAGTGAGTGACGTGGGCGCAGTGGATTCCCGTTTGCTGGCGGGTGTTTTCTCGAATGCATGCGTGTGAAATGCTGCTACGTGAACTCTGCAGGGCGGCTAATCAACGCAGCTGCACACAGCAATGCCCACCACTCCCCCGCCTATCCGGCCTTCTTTCGGCGGCGGGGAACGGCGGTAGATTAGTGCAAATACGCCACAGTGGGAGTCGCGACTCGCGCGTGCCATGAGCATTCACTCATCCCTTTTCCACAACGCCAAAAAAATATTATTTTAATATGTGCGGCTGAGGCTGAGGTGGTTGCCGCATCGGGTAGAAATCAACGACCCCTGTGGGCCCACAGGAATTGTCACGACTATGGACCGTGCACGAAAAGTGAAGTGAGTGAGATAATGAGGATGTGTTTCTGTCATGAACGCTCCCTCTAAAGTTGGGCTTGCCACCAAAGCTTACAGGAACCGATCCCGCAAGATTGGGAGTCGAACCTTTAAAGTTTTCTTGGCATAGTGTATCGCGTCAGTTTCACGTATTCTACACGACGATCAGCCGCGGCGCACAATTGTCAGCAGTACGTAGGTTTGCAGCGCCTCCTGGTCCGTTCACCTGAGACGTAGGCTTCCCCACATACAACTGGCTCCCAATGAACTTACACATCATACGGAAGCAGACCAGCAACGCGAGCAAACATACCAACAGCAAGAACGAGCATACATACTGGCAGCAGGAACGACCATCTCGAGCGGCACAATGCTTCGTTCCCAGTATTGTGACTTCAGATCATGTTGGCATGCCGGGGAGGACAGCGTCCATCCTCGCCGTCCACTGAGATTTAGAACTCAAGCCAAAATTTACTCTCCTGCTACTGATGAACGTATCCGTCATACGCACGTTTCTCGACAACACGTCCCCTCTCCGACTCTCGTCCCCCGTCTTCCAGCCCCCTCGTTCGGCCTCCTCAAGCTCCCCCCAGAAATCCATAGCATGATCATCGAGTACCTTACTCCCGAGTCCGCACGCGCGATGACGGTATTCCTGTCTAGCCCGACGATCCTAAAAATATCAGAATCCGACATGAACCTCGGCATGTACGTGTGCAAGGCTAGCACAGGGGGAAATTGCGGAAGGATGCTCATGGAGACACTCTCGCTGCCGGAGTTCTCGCTATCCACCTTCGGTGTACTCCTTGACGCCTGCCCGACGAACGAGTTGATAACTCAGCACTATCCAGACTGGCAATTGGATGGCACCGTGCCCATAGTTAGGGACAACCCACCTTGGAAGAATAATAATGTGGCTTGGTTGCATACAGTGTGTAGCGTTGGGTGCTCAACACTGCAACTTGCACGGATATATCCGCGCGATGCACCGGAGACATGGTCGAATCCAATCGATATGGCTGCGGCTGTTGGTGAGTGGTCATGTTCCCCTTACGCGTCCCAATGAAGCGTGGAAGCTAACGTGAGCTCTAGGGAATGCTGATGTACTTCAGCTTCTGCTTGATCAGCTCGACAGTAGGGATGCGTTGGCTGACTCACCGACCTTCGGATTTATCCAGCCCGTGCATCCCCCGGATAAGCCCACGCGACCGGTACATCACCTTCCGCCATCCGCGCGCGAAATACGGGCTGTTGGACCTCTACACTGGGCGGCGGTCTACGGACAATATGATACGTTCGCTATCTTGATGGCTTGGTTCCTAGAGAATAATCCAAAACGGTTGCTCCATATTCTGGATTGCGACTGTAGTCTTAGCGTGCTTCATTGCGCGGTGCTTGCTACCTTTCACCCTGGTCGTCGGCGAGAAATAGGAGGAATAATAGAGATAATCCGTGCCGTGGCCGGGCTGCTGCCGGAAGAAGCTCGGTACGAGAATCCATCGCCGCTTTACCTGGCCGTGAGGTCGGGAAATACCGATGTACAGCTATTTCAGGCTCTCCTCTCAGTCCCTAGCGGTATTGAAGCGTACCAAGATGCCAATTTGTGCTCTCAGCTTCTCATGTGGCCCGCTGTCTTCAATACTCTGCTGGATGCTGGTCTCTGGGTCGAAGAAAAGAGCGTTGCGGCCCTTGCCAGGAGGATTATGGTTTCAAGACACCGCAACGAGTCTAATTGCATCAACTTTCACGCGGCACTACAGCGAATCCCCCAACCTTTGAAAGATTGTCTTGTTCACTATGTTCTGCGCTCGTTTCTGGAATTGGAGGCATGCGATCTGGAATATGGAATGGAAGATGAAATAGAAAATCCATTGGTCATGCTCAAGGATGGCGGCTGTCGCTTCAGCCACGGAGTCGGTCCTTCGGGTCTTTCCGCACAACAACACTTGATGTTTGGCCATTGGCCAGACGACCGAGCTGCGGCAGTACTGTTGGGCTGGCTGGTGGAGGAAACAGGCCTGGATTGCGCACCGTTTTCAACGCCGAGAAAATTCGACCGCGGATTCAGGTACATGTGGCCCGAGACGACCACACGCGAGCTCGCAATCCAGACTGCGTCTGTTCCGATCTACTCCATCGTTCTGGATGTACCCCACGTCCCTCTCCCAGGCGCCACTCCCGACGCGGCATGCGCCATCATTGGACGGCAGGATGATTCCGAGTCTCCCGAGTATACCGACACCGAGTATCTCGCCAAGTTTCTGGTTTATCCAACTGACATTGCCGAAGTCTTTGAATGGATGCTCACAATGACCGAGACGCACGCCGACATCATACTGGACTGGTCGTTCCGCGACATTCCTAACTTCGTTGCACACGTGGGACATGCGGTTTGGCAAGCGATGAGGTGGATTCAAAGCACCAGGGAGAACGGCGTGAAAGAGATGAAGGAGGCCGGATACGAACTGAGAGAGTGGGCTCGCCGAACATCAGTAGCCAAGCGGTGGGTACCCGAGAAGCTCACTGAATCGCTTGAAAAGCTCTGTCAGACTGCCGATTCATTTTAGGGGGGATTGCTTGCACAACATCAAGGGAGTAATAACTGCGGTAGTTCTTCTTGCTGAATTTCTTTAGTGTTTTCTTTTTCTGCTGTTACTGCTGTCGTGGGAGGCTTCTATGAAATCTTGAATTTGTACCGCTTAATAGCTTGTTTTTTTGAACGGTTTGTAGTATTTTTTTTGTTCAATCTTCATTACATTCAGCCTTAGCAGATCGTGGTAGATTACGTATCCTTTTCCACTCGGCTCTCCCGGCTGGCCGGCGGCGAGCTCGATACCGGTTCCCTATTGCTCTCCGCCCAGCCCTCCCCGCTCAATCTCCCGCAAAACCCTCCCGGCGCATCCCCCCTCACGGCGCAGCCCCCGCACGACCCTCTCTACTCAACCCGTCAGATAGAAAGAACGATAGAAAGACAGACAGCAATAAAGAAGTGTGGTTGCGACTTGTTGAGCGGCGGTGGAGGGATAGTCCGACAGATAGTGTGGAAGGAAGACGAGGAGAGAGGGAGGAGGGAATTTGGGAAGCAAAAGTTGCGTGATGAGAAAGAGAAGACAAACTAGGTGCTAGAGCCGAATCACCTTTGGAACTGAATCGCTGTTGCTAGTCGTTGTAAGTGTCGCTACCGTTGAGGCATAAAATGTCACTCGGAAGCCGAGTGCTGCACTGTGACGCGCTGCCCGAGGACCAGTTCTCTGGCGGGCGGCCACCGAAACAAGCTATTTACCATGTTCGGTAGCATATCTCCCTCCGGGATCAGTAAGCGCCGCTCTCTAGTTTGACGCCGCTTCGGACAAGGTTCGTTATAGTGGCAACCAACCGACTCAGCACCAAGTTTGCTAGCTACAACGACCCGTGCGGTGGGGTGATCCAATTGCAACGCCTGACGAGCAGAGAGGATGCTGTGTGGGAATTCAGAGTGAATGCGTCGACTCGACTTCAACATACATAGCAGGCCAATTCACATGATTCATGAATTACTCCCCCCCTATCCTCAGCCACCCTAACTAGAGTACACATAGACACGCACACTAGAAAAAATTACTCTAGCACTCATAGTGCCTATAAATCTGCCCGCTAGTGCAGGCCTTCGTGACGATGCCCTTAGCGGTGCAGTACGAATAGAACCCTCCATTCCTATTCAACCACATCTGCGCCCCTCCACAGCCCTCGAGTGTGAAGCCGGAGATCCCACCGGTCGTGAATGTATGTCCGACGGACTGGCTGGTTGTTTCGAGAGGAATTCCGCCGCGCACGCGTCCGTCGGTGCGTCCCACGCCAGGTTGTGTGTGTTGTCGTCGGAGCGGCCTTGGATGCCGATGTTGATCGTCGCGGAGGCGGTGGCAAAGATTGGGAGGAGGACGAGGTGGAGTTGCATGGTGATCGAGAGTGTCGAGTTGGACGGAATGAGACTGGGATCGGAGGAAAGGACGGGGTCTGTTGGTGGATGCGTATGTTCTGGAGAGGTGGTGTGGAGGTGGTGACGAACTTGGGGAATGTTGTAAGGAAGAATGAAAGCTGCCGGAAGAACAGGGAGGGGTCTGCGCTTTGTAGCAACTGCTCTTCCGGCGCCGATGCATCGGTGAAGGCATCGGAGTTTATTTCGCATACAGACTATCCAGACTACACCGAACGTACTAACAAACAGAAGGGGTGTACCCTCCGGGCGGTCGAGGAAGAAACCGCCAGTGCACACATCCCCGGTAATCGCCTAGGTGGGCGGGTGATAGTCTATGAGCGCATATCGACACAACCGGTCCGTTCAATGTCTACCTTCATCTATTGACTGGCTGACTATGGGTGCTAGGTCGAGGGGAGGTGCATCGATGACTCGTCCACTGCAGAGATCTGTGGCGAGAGCTGTGGCGAGAGCTGTGGCGAGAGCTATGGTGCGTGCTATGGCGCGTGTATGAGTGTGGCGCGTGCTGTGGCGTGTGTAGTTTACGAAGCAGCCTCGCCGGTGCCACCGCATCACCAGCCAGCCTCCCTTCAGCCTGCTACTCTACCGCTAGCGTTCCTTTTCCGACGTCCATTCCCCCAATCCCCCCTGCCTACATGCGCATCGTTGCACAGAACTTTTGGCCGATCGAAAGGATCTCTGCAGACGGTATCCACTCTACCCATGGTAGCCAGGTATGTGGGCACGCTAGTTGTACATCATCACGTCAGGCATCCTCTTCCGGTTGGGCAGGAAAATATAGTGCACGACCCCGCCCACGACCAAGCGGGGGAGCATGAGCCGCGACGCCGAATACTGAAACCTAGAGTACAACTGGGCACGAGGCGGTATCGGATGAGGGGGTTTAGGTAAGGCCGGGCCACCGATCTCATATAACCTCAATCCCCCTTCAATCCTCCATCAGCCCCATCTACCCCACCACACCCACACCATACTCCATCCGAAACTTCATCACCACAAAGCAGTCATGGGCTTCACCAAGGAAATCCTGTCCGCAGGCAACGGAGTCAACTTCCCCAAGAAGGGCGACAAAGTCTCTATGCACTACACCGGAACCCTCGTCGACGGCAAGAAGTATGTAGCTGCCCATTCTCCCAGCTCTGCAGCCTTATTGACATCGATATGGAAAGGTTCGACTCCTCCCGCGACCGCGGCCAGCCATTCGTGACTGCCATCGGAGTTGGCCAGGTCATCGGAGGTACGAAGCCATTGCCGTCCCCATCTCCACTGCGCGCGCACCACGAGCCGACATCTCTGCCGCCGACACCCCAATGCCGAGTTTCTGCCGCCTGTCGTCTCAATTAAGATTTACTGACGACCCTCTGTTATCTACACAGGTTGGGATGCGGGCGTTCCCACCATGTCTCTGGGTGAAAAGGCCGTCCTTACCATCACTGCGTAAGTCGTTCCCGCGTTCCTACCCCCGAATTTCCTCGATTACAACAACCATTCGTCCCCCACGGCTCCGTGTATCTGACTGACTTTTCCGCAGTGACTCCGGCTACGGAGCTAGGTAAGAATCTACAACCACGGTGTGCCGTTTGCACTCCCGCTTTGCTGACAATCAATTCCTTGCTCGTTCAGGGGAATTCCCGGTACGATCCCGCCGAACGCGACTCTCGTCTTGTAAGTTCTCAATTCTCTGTCCCTTTTCCCCTCTCTCGAGCTGCCGCAAACTTAATGCGAGCGATGCATGACTCGCATGAGCGATTCGCATGAGCGATTCGCAGCAGCGGGAGGCCACATCATTCGCCGCTATCACACCGCTAACTTCCTTGTGAATAGCGAGGTCGAACTCCTCAAGATCAACTAGTTTAGTGTAGTTGAACGTCAACCCTCAGTCAAACGGGCTCGCAGACTGTGTTGCTGAATGATTACGCCGATATCTTTTCTATTCACAATGTGATTCTGTTCACGCCCTCGTCTGATTTCCTGTCACTGATACAACTCAAACCTTGCGAGTAACGTGATTTTCGATTCTGAGACCCCCGGCGGCTGTGAGACGAAACCGATTGGCTCTCCACCATATCTTGTATCTGCCACTCGTATCATACAGCCTCCAAACTTCTGCAACCGAGGACCAAGAAAGTGATAACGCACAGATCACGTCTCGACACTTATTTAGTCAACTCGAGATTCCGCAATCGATACTTAATAGAGAGGAGGGTGAAGTTGCAGAGCGGCTGATTACACCTCGAGTCTCGCGGAGTTCCTGGCGACTCGGAAGATGCCGGTCAGTCTTATGCAGACCACTAGCTTATCGTGGGGACGATGCTGCGTCCCGTGCTATCCATCTTATCACCTCCGATCTCCTTCCCATTCACCAACACCCCGCCCCCTTTGATCGTCCCAACCTCTTGGGTTACTCTGTTATATCTCCGATGACAGACAGACTCCCTTACGCACCCCACGTCTTCGGGCCTACCTGCATCTTGTTGAAGATTCCGACCCGCAGCCTTCGACACAGCATCATATCTTCCTAGCCAAAGCAACTGTCCGATAGCAATGATAATGTGACTACCCCAACGAATTATTCCATGCCGTTGCACCCTGACCGTCTTATTCCTCCTCCTTGCGCTTTACTATCCAGGGCCATCTTTCGACGGCCGGCGTCTGATCGTCGACGGACACTCGGGTTTTCTTGCTGAACAGACACTTACCGCACAGCTGCATGGACCTCGCTCGCCTGCCTCTTTGTTTCCCACCCCCCACCGCCGGACTCCTCCCACCGCTCTATCATAGTCGATTGACATACGGCGTTATCGCCTCGCTTGCCACTCGAGTACTTGTAGATTATCAAATCCCGTTTCAATACCACGTCCGGTGATGACAGGGAATTCCTAGTATTAGTTTCGATTACACCGCCGAACGTGAGAAAGAAATCCCTAAATGATATTGCGCCAAAGGAATAGCTTGTGCATACATGACATCCAAATAGATAACCATCGCATCACCCAGGCGGTTGCAGATGCCCCCAGTGCGCTCGCCTCCAGATTCTATGTACCAGCTAAAGACCAACCATGCTCCAACAGCAAAGTACATGCATTGAATTGGCAAGAGAGAGGACGCGGACTGCTGGTGGTGCTACGATCAACTCTCCGCCTAGACACGCGAGCACTTGTTCAAGTGCTGCAGCAATTGGAAGGAATAGGAGAAGGAACTGTGGGGGGAGGTGGAAAAGATCAGCCGCAGAGGGCGGGACCGCTGGCGAGTATGTAGCGGACCTCTTTGCCGATGAGCGGATGGCAGAAGCAATCCTCACGTTTCTCAGAGAGACTGAGATTGGTAGAAGGCTACCGGGCGAAGAACGGTAGCAGGACCCGCCGCCGAGCGAGACGCCGGGGGTAGACTACGGGGGCGAGGAGTAGGATTCGAGGAGGAGAAGCGCAGCGGGCGCGGGAGGTGTGAAATTAGTTCGCTTCCTTTTGCTTTTTCCATTGGCTAGTGTATCTCTCGCGGGCAGGCCAGAGACGCTGATAATGACTGATGTAGACTTGCGTGCCCGCTCCTCCCTCCACCTCGCCTGTTCCCTTACCTGTGCCTTACTTTCCTTTGGTGTTACTGAATGAACGGCGTAATCAGTCATTGCTAGCGCGGCGGGAACTGAAGGAGGAAGCCGGGACGGACAGGCGAACGCAGGTGGATGAAAACCGACTTCTGAGACAACACGTGGATCCGATCGTGTGCGCGAGAGGCGGTTCGCTATGACGTATTCCATATGAGAGTATTCGTTCGGTGGTGTGTGCGGAGGAACCACAGATCTGAGGCTCTATTGTGGTTGTGTCAAGCAAATTCTCCGAAAGCCGCGTGATTTGCAACCGGAAGTACTCCACGTCTTTATTTGACCAACTTTCTTCTCTCATTGACAGTAGGAATTGAAAGTTGCAGGACAAAAAGACAACCACTACCCCAACTCGCGTCTAGCTAGATAGGTCACCGAAGTGAGAAAACGAAGAGAAACCGATCCGCACTGACGAGTGCCCGCAGTACAAACATGGATTTCAATGTCAACCCGGCGTGCTTGCTCGACGGGTTGTAAAAAGACAACATATTACCATCCCCAAACCACTGCAACCAATCCCAGCACTACGCTGCGACTCTCTTTAGGGGTCATCCAGTCTTCGGGCAATCGAATGGTTTCAGCGATTTTCTAGACCACCACTCCGCAGCGCGAACGTAAGCATCTGGCGGGTAGCCTTACCTCAAGAAGACGCCGCCTTCCGAGCTTCTCGGAGTTTCTTCCCGATTTCCGGATGGATGTCTGCCACAGTTGTGCACACTCGAGTATAGCCGGGGTTGACCAGTATTTCACCTGATTGTTGGCTACGCCGGACGTACTTCGGGATCGATGTTGCTCGAGGATTGTCGTCTAAGTTCTCCAGGATCCAGAGGAACTTGATGTCAACATCATAGCCTGTCAGGTGGGTAGACTAGAAAGGCCAACGTGAGAGAAAGTTAAACTCCGCGCTCTCGTGGAACTTGCGGATCGCAAATTGGACAGCGACAACAACCGCTTTCTGCCTCTTCGCGTTGCGGTATAGCAGCACGCCGACCGCAGAAGGGTAGTTCCACTCAATCGGTAGTATTTACAGCTGCGGCACTCCGTTGCGTATTTTTAGTGATGTTTTTGGAAGGTTGTGACAGGAATCGCTGCGTAAAACTCTTCTCCTGCAGGCTGGCAGCCTTTGGAAGATATGGCGCTGAACACCATTTGCTCCACAAAGAAACGCAAAATAAAGGGGTTTCCACGGGCCAACTTCAAGCCTTCAAACCATTGATGTGACAGGAAACCTTTCCCGCAATCACCTGATTCCATTCGAAGGAAATTGGCAAGGGTTGTACGCGCAAGCATGGGTGTCGCAAATCCTCTCCCACCTTTTCTGTGGAAGTATCGTAGATCCATGTATTCTTCGCTTGCATCCGTGAGCCTGCCGTTATTGAGACAACAGTAGGACGTCGTAAGGTACCTAAAGCGAATGTTAATTAAACACATTTAAAAGCAATAGTGAGGAACCTACCGTTCCCATCGGTCGTGCCGATTGTGACACGCTTACTGGAAGTCTTCCGCGAACGCACGCACATTGGTGGTCAGGTTCTGTACTTCTGCTGATTCCCAGTAATTTCGGAAGACAGCAGCCATCCTATTCTCATCCTCAGTTTCAGGGTCCACGTCTAAGTTGTCGCCATTGCCGGGGCTTTCGATTTTGATTCCATCCATTTGGAGGAATACACGAAGGAGGATTGGATTTCTCCCTGTAATAGCTTCGATAGACCGTTTGTAATTTTGGCTAACCTTTATAGGCAACCGATCCGCAAATGTTGACCACCACTCGACCATCTCAACCTAGGTAGTTCGGAGTGTAAGTGTGCATCGGAGATCCAGCCGTCAGAGAATCGTGTACAAGGATTGGCTACGTACATCAGTATATCCATCAAGGCAAATAATGCGGCTCTGATGTGTTTGACGTGATCTTTCTTTTCGGTAATCTTCCATGCTGCCACTGCAACTCCAGATGTTGGCATGGACGCTACAGATCTTATGGAGGTTAGCTAATGCCGCATCCTTTTGTGCCTTTCGGAGACTGCCAGTTTCGCGCAAGTCGAGGGCGTTCGTTTGATCGATGATGAGCACGAACTCCACACCACTATCCGCGAGTGCGCCGAAGATTGCTGCGAGTCCTTGGGATGGTGGGGTGCGTATAACCTGCATTTGGATCGCTGGACTGTCTGCAAATGCCAAGAGCAACGCTGCGCGCATGTACAAGAAATACGATTCCGCCAGCATGCGGCATTCGGGGATGTAAATCACCCGCCTTCCTTGTGCCTGTAGCAGACAGGTAAGCGCCGCAAGTAGGTGACTTGTGCCGGAGCCCTGCAGCAACCACTTCATATGGCCTTGTCCGGATCCCATTTTCTCAACTGCGTCGTAGACCTGAATGTATTTCTCTCTCCCGATGTACTGAAACCTATCGCCAACAAGGTCAAACCTGTCGGTTGGTTTCCACCGAAAAGCTGATGGAAATGGGAGGTTGGCGTTACCCGCCGCGCAGTCGGCGGGTAGACGAGGTACTTGGCTAAGCATCTGAGAAAGGCGAACGTAAGCTGAATTTTGGACAGTATAACGGCGCAACGACTCCGGCGCTTGGGGTATTGCCTTGTATGATAGGAATGTCTTCAA